CCAACACCCACTCGACCTGTATGTGCGATGGCGCCACCAGCAGGGGCTGGACATGGAGGGCAGCTGCAACCCCGTTTTGGCAGCCCCCTCGGTGCGGCAGAAGATGAGGACAGCAGAAGGTCAGCAGGTGGGAGCCATCAACCACAGAGCGGCGTTAGCCCCTCTTCTGCCCTTCCACCTTCAGCCAGACCAGCACTTCGAGAACGCCCTTCAGCTCAGCATGCAACCTTTGCCTACTGAGGGGCTTCCCATTTTGGACGATGACCTGAGGTTTGCCGCATCTTTCTCCAGCCTGCCAGGAGTTGACCTGCGTAGGTTGCGAGAGCGCTCCATGGGCATCTTATCAGAGATGAAGCGGCGGTGGAGCACGATCACGGCCCATTTGAGAGGTAAACAGACTGAGGCCATCCGGACAGCAACATTGCAACGAGATGTCGGTTTCACAGCAATTCTCCTTCTTGTGGCCAATTGGGGCGATGTGACACTGCCAGCAGGCCTGTGTATGGGGCTTCCAGCAGTGGGATATGCGCCGCCATATGGCATTTTTCCAGAACAAGTTGCCACCCGTCTGACACGGGATGATGTACTCCAGGACTGGCAGAGCCACAACAACACCATTTTGGCTCGGCTCAAGCCAGGCGCTGATGATGAGTTTTTGCTGCAGCAAAGCCTCAAAGATGCCGAGAAGGGATTTTGTGGTTTGCCCATGACTGCAGAGGAACTGCAGCGTTGTATGGGTACGGAACCCTACCGGTTAATCCCTCGATGCGTCATCACACAATCATCTGGGAAGCAAAGAGTGATTGACGACGCCTATGTTGGCTTGCAATCTGAGCGATCCAGTGATGCGAACAAGCTCACCCTTTGCTCAGCGCTGCGGCCGGCTCAACACCTGCAGTATGCCTATGCCTTTGGGAGTCCACCCAACTGGGAGGCGGAAGAATGGGAGTCAGGTGGTGAGGATTGGCCAGATGCCTATCGTTTTTGCCCTATGAGTTGGGATGAGGCTTTGTGCTGCATTGTGGCCTTCTTCCATCATGAATGGCAACAACCGGCTTTTATGATTTACACTGGTTTGCTTTTTGGTCTTCCTCTTGCGGTCACATCTTTCAATCGATACAGTCGTTTTGTGGAGGCTTTATCACGTCGATTTGCCTTTTGTTTGACGAGTTTGTATTTTGACGATGCTCACGTGACAGACCGCAAATCTTGCAGAGGATCAGGTCAAAGGGCTATGCAGACCCTCAACACCCTTTTGGGTACTCCCTTTTCAGAGGAGAAATGTCAACAGATGCAGAGTACAGGCACCTTCCTGGGCCTTGATCATGATTTCAATCAAGTTCATTTGAAGGGTCTGGTTCAGTTTTGGGCCCGTGAGCGCATTGAGACCAAGTTGCTCCACCTCATGCAGACCGCCGAGGATTCCGGTAAGCTGCAACCAGGGGTGGCTGCCAAGCTCTACGGTATCGCCAACTTCTTTGAGCTTGGTGTGTGGGGGCGCATTGGCTGCGGTGGCCTGGCCCCCATCAAGCGCAGACAGCAGGAGCGCTCCGCAGAGTTGACTGAGGAGTTGCGCCAATGCTTCGACCTTTTGCGCACTGTCATCACCACCCGTCCCTCTCGACACATCGAGATCTGGCCACATGCAGGGCTCCGCTTCCTTGCCGCATCTGATGCTGCGTTGGAGAGCCCAGGTCAGGGTACAGGGGGCTTCTTGGTGGTTTGGCATGACGATCACCGGCAACATCGAGAGGCATTTGTTTCTCTCATTCCTCCATTGGTGTACAGCCTATGGGAGCCTGGTGACAAGAAGATTGCCCAGTTAGAGCTGCTGCAGGTTCTCTATGCTTTGTTTTCGCGGCCGTCCAGGTTTCGAGGCAGACGAGGTCTCTGGTTCATCGACAACACAGCAGCGCTCATGGGTTTGATTCGAGGTCGTTCTGACAATAAAGATTTAGAGCATATGTCTCGGTTGATTCATATTACCCTTTTTGGTCTTAAAGCTTGGTTTTTCTGGGAGTGGATCCCTAGTAAGGCCAACTGGTCAGATGAGATCAGCCGTGAAGGCCTCCAGGCGACATGGCACAAACGCCATGGGTTCACCACGCATTTTGCATTTTTCCCCTTCGAGATTTGGTCTCTACCACTTCCCGCGTTTCTCCGGGTTGTGGAGTTTCTCTGAGTGCTTTGGGATTGAAGTGCATTGGGAGAGATTCAACCTGTGTAGCCTCCTGAGTCTACAGGAGTGCGGAACAGGGTGTACGGATCCAACCAGTGCTGCTGTGCAGGAGACTACCTGCACAGCGTTCCAAAGCACTATCCTGCGAGGAGCAGGTTGAGACCGCACGAAGAGTTTGGGAAGAAAAAGCCATGCGGATGTGAGCCTGGATAGAGTGAACCGTTTTGAGTATCTATGCTTTACATCTCACAACTAATGTATGTATGCATCGTGTTTGGCAGGCACTGGGTGTGCATTATCATTAGGGTGAGTATGTAAGCTGATGAATCCATTTTGGCTCAAGTCTGAGCCAAACTGGCTTCATCGTTCTTTCTTTTCCCTCCCTTCCCTCCCTATGAGGTAGGACTCCGGTGGAGTATCCTCCCTTGTAGGGGATCACATCATTGAGGATGTTGATCTCTACGTGGCGTTCCACGACTGTAGCACTGGGCGGGAGAGATTCAACCTGTGTAGCCTCCTGAGTCTACAGGAGTGCGGAACAGGGTGTACGGATCCAACCAGTGCTGCTGTGCAGGAGACTACCTGCACAGCGTTCCAAAGCACTATCCTGCGAGGAGCAGGTTGAGACCGCACGAAGAGTTTGGGAAGAAAAAGCCATGCGGATGTGAGCCTGGATAGAGTGAACCGTTTTGAGTATCTATGCTTTACATCTCACAACTAATGTTATATTATAATATTAGATTTTCAAAATTATCAGCAATAAACAATATACTTAAAGAAAAAATACCTATATATAGTAAGAGCAAATAAGATGACTAAATTTGACTGTGGATGTCGTATTATGAGCGAGTGTATCGCCTTAAACAATGGTGATTACAAAAAAACTAGTTGGAATTATTTGTTAAAAACCTTCGTGAATGTTTGTGGAAAGTGTGGCAAGAAACATATGAAATTCCAACAAATGGAAAACAAATTTTTGGAAATGGAAAAACAACGAATGGAAATGTTTATGAACTTTGAAGATGAAGACGAAGAAGAGTATGATGAAGCATATAAAGAACAATTTAGAAAGATGACAGACGAAGAGATTGAAATACATATCGGTTTGGAAAAAGTGAGAAATGTAATGGAAGGGTTTGACAAAGAACACGGTATGGACAAAATAAGACGGATGATACAAGAAGTAAGAAATGAAGATAAACAAGAAGAACCTGAAGATGAAGAATATGAAAGTGATAGTAGTGAAACGCAACGAATGAAAAGATTACAGTGGATACACGACAACAGAAAACCCAAAAACTGAAAGAGATCCCAAAATTACTTAAAAAAATAAGACCTATATATAATAAGAGAAAATGAGTAGAGCAAAAATTGAGGTTATAGATACAGGTAATATCGGTTTATATGCTGACTTTGGTAGTGAAAGCGAAAATGATGATTGGGAAAGAAAAACAATAGAAAAAGAACATGAAGAGATTAGAGACTTTGTACGGTGTCATCCTATGCCTTCACCCGATGACGAGGAAGGAAAAAAAAATTGGAAGAACGAAATTGATAGGATGAAAGATAATGAAGGAGTAAATGGAATGATAATATATTCGTTCGTAAGATTTGACATTATGAAAAAGATGCATGACAACTTAACTGATAAAAAAGTAATCATTGACTGTGGTAAGGAACTTAACCGCGATGGTGAATTCAACGCGATGATTATTATATAATATAACTCTTTTATCAATAGCGATGGATGAACTAAACGATACAAACAAACCGTGCTTAACACAAATGAGAGTGATTGAAAACTGGTGGGATGGAATAGGAAACTGGAAAGCTTAAATGATTAATTCATAATATCTTAACAAAATATATTATGAAGTAATCCTTATGACCCAGAAACCCATATAAAGAAATAGTCCCATAATACTTTAATGAGTGAAAATCAAGATAAGAAATGTTCAAAATGTAAAAAGACGCAAACTCTAGAAAACTTTGCTAATGGAAAGGCATTATGTAAAAAATGTTGTGAGTATATAAACAGCATTATAGAGAAAACCATAGAGAAGAATTGCGACAAAAAGAGCGGGAACGCTATGAACAATACAAAGGACAAAAACTTGAGAAACAGAAAGAAAAGGCTGAATGTCCCATTTGTAAGATTGACATTTCAAGAAACAAAATGTCAAGACACAAAAGAACCCAACGACATAAGAAACACCTGAACAAACCTGACCCAAAACAAATAGAACAACAAAAGAAAACTGATGAAGAAATGAAACGAATAAAACACCAAGAAATCATAGACTACCTTAACGCAACATTTCCCTCATATCCAGATGGTTAAATCACAATAACCTCAACAAATCCTAACCACATTCAAACAGAAAAGCCCCAGAAAAGTTAGGGACAGAAAATCCCCAGAACATACAACACATAAAACATCGAAGGTAAGGAACAAACATTGAACATAAACCGAAAAACCATAACAGCCAAAACACCCTCAACAAAACCTACCCTCATCCAAACCAAACATTATCACAACAACCTCAACAAAACATTTAGCAAGATAATAAAAAAGAAACAGTCAAACATTTAGATTTACAATATTGAACAAAAACATAACAACCTCCCAACCAACCTCCAACCTCTCTTGTCCTAGTTTCCCCCTTTCCCCATTTTTTGCTGGGACATACTGTACTGGGACATGTTTTCTTGGTTCTATGCTTTTTGAGCCTGGATTGATGCAACGTAGTTCCCAGGATAACACCTAGCGAATCTAGCAGGAAAGGTCAACTTCCCCAAGCAGCTGTGGACCATGTGGCAGGCGCAATATCGCAACTCCTTCTGCGACCTTCTCATTGGTCCAGAGCTGAGAATTGATCTGCGACTGTGAGGTGAGGATCAACATGACGAGGTACGGATCATAGTTCGGTCCTATATTCTTTTTTAGTCCTTCATGGATTAGTGGATCGTAATGACGGTAATTCTTCAGAAGTCCTGATTTTGGTCCTCTTCATACCTAGCATGTGAAGAAAAGGTATAGTAAAATACAGCAAGCATGAATTCCATTGATTCCGTGTGAGTGATGGAACTCCTATTTGGGAGGCTTGTGCTCACAATGTGCCTGTGTGAATTTGTTACCTCAGGTTGCAACCATGGTTGGTCGGATCCTTACAGGGAACTAGTCAGCAGATCGGCAAAGCCTCGATGCCACACCTTGATGCAGACGCTGTCACTGTTTTGCGGACAGCCTCTTACAATCTCTTACCGGTATACCAGTATCTGTATAGATGTATTTGTCTGTATTCGCAGGAAATTCGCAGGAAACGAGTCAGATATTCTCTTGTCGCTGTTACCTGCCACCAATTTCCAACTGATTTGCTGACAAGCGCGAGAAGCAAGACAAGAATCTCTTCCAGCCACTCTCATCTCACTGAAAAGTCGCTGGTGTTCCAGTTTGCTGTACAGAAACTGAACAGCACTTGGAATCCTGAATTCTCGTTCAGGTGGTGGAGTGCTGTCGCTTCCTTTTGCAATGAGTCAGTTGCGTGCTCGGTGGCGCCGACAAAAGCCTTGTGTATGCTCGAGCCAGTATCCACACTAGCAGAAGTGGGTAAACTATGGCTGTCTCCAGCAGGGGCAGTTTGTAGATGCATTTAGCAGTCGGGTAGACTCTTGACTCATGGTGAAGCTTTGAGACTCTCCAAGGTGTGGCTTGGTCTTGGGCACTGCATGCCTTTTACTCTCTGCAGTTGGGAGTGTCCGAAGCACAGCGATGCAATCAGCGACGCCCCAACTCGTTGCACTGCTGTTGAGAGACCAAGGCGTGGACACTGTCCATGTTGGTCGACTGCGCAAGAGCCACTGGCCGGCTCCTCACCGTTGATCACCTGATGTCACCTGATGTCACCTGATGTCACCTGGACCTGGGCACCATGGCAGGAGGTTTCCATCATTCTTGAAGCTTAATGAAGATAAGAGAAGGAAGAATAAGAGTCTAGGTCCTAGTATACAGTCTAGGTCCAGTCATATGCCCTACTCAGTGTTTGTGCGGGGATCATGCACCTACCACCATACAAGACCAGTGTCTGGCAAGCTTTCAATCCTGGGGGGTTTGTGATAGCACCATGATACCTGTACAAGGTGGTGCGCGCCCAGTCACAAGTTGTTTTGTAATCCCCATTAATTAAGTAGTTGGGCAGTGTTGGAAAATGTTGAACATATTATGATATATTCATGTCTACAACAACCCCCACTGATGTGAATTAAGTGAATTCTGAATCAACTTAGCTACTTAGCTAACCATAAATCCCATGGAAATCACCATTTCTGGTCAACTCCAATTTGGATCGACCAGTGCAGGCCGTGACAGCTTTGAACTGGTCGGCCATGCTGCCTATGGAGAAATGAGCCGGAAGGCAATCCTGACATCTCCCGACCAATTTCTACCAATCCCCTTATCACCACAATATGGCTATGGGTCAAAACCTTGTACCCCTGGTGAACCCCAAAAGTGCTGGGATTTATGGATGTTCATCCCACTAAAAATGTATCTATAGGTATTGACCCATAGCCATATCACCACAATATCACCAAGCCCCTTTCGATTCTTTCGATTTTTTTGCCTGGGGCAGATTTCGTTCAGATAAAGGCTGGAACATGCTGGAACTCGAATGCCAGGCTCTGTTCATGACATATATTGAATGTAGTTGTGAACAAAATGCGTGCGCTTGCCGCGGCTCTTCGTGACCATTCCAAAACCAGATTCCTACCTTTTGTCCACCCCACCTCAAACCCTTACCATTCAGCTTTGTCTCTCAAGTTGTTTCCATTAATTTCCATTATGTACCCTGATAGCCAGGCAACAATTGTGTGAACCTCAGTTTCAAAACCTACCCCGGCATTGCTTCAGAACCTCCAATCCCTAGCTTTAGTTTCGTGTGATCAAGCGGAAAAGGAGCTGCCTGCACTGTACTTTGGCAAAAGTAATACTGATCATTGATGATTGATATTCCCCATAGGATCCATGGTGCTGGTATATATACTAACATTGGGGGTATATTGATGGGATCCATGTTACCATATATGGCAGCACCATGGATCCGTCATGGGTTCATTGATTCCCTCCGGGCTTCCCTTGGAGATTTCCAGCAGCTCGTCACGTGGACTTCGACATCCAAGGCTCTCGTCTTCCTCATCTGTTGGCTCACCAAGATTGCATACTTCGTCCTGCTGACGGATCTGATGGTGGGAGACTGACAGCCCCACCCCAGCAAAACCAGTGGACATTGACTGTGGCTGAGATGTCTTAGATGTGTATCCATGTCTGCATATGGGACCCCATATGTCTTCATACATTGTGCCTCTAAGAAAGGTGTGCGTGAATTGTTTCGGAACTCAAATCATGTCGTGCTTGGCCCCTCCAGAAATCTCATGACATTTTTGGCACATGGTAGCATTCCGTACAGATCTGTGCAATGACCTCAAACAATTGATCCGCTAACCCGTCCACATAACCTAGGTGCCAGTGGCAGAACTCATTGTGCCTGGTGCTCAACTTTTCCAGTAGAGGTCTGTTCTTTTTTGGCAGCGGTTCAGCAACCAAAGGACCACGGACTTTTGATGGCGTGAAAAGATGGGCAACCACCGGTGGTCTGTGCAATTCCATATTTTTAGTTCTGTGTTCGACTATTCGCATGGTGGTCAATTTTTCTGCTCTACCCGTGCGAAGTGCAGTGAATCAATGAGGCCGAGTTTGCATCAACATGATCCTGACACCATTCGTCGCATTGTTCAACGCTCGGAACTGCAAACACTTTCTGGCGAACTCTACCATGCGAGGAAATCATTCAGTTTGAGGAAAGCTCGCTGAATACCAGAAAAAAATGAGCATGAAATCCTTTGGAAGCGGCTCATTGCTGTTCCTCCCGTAGCCTCCAAATCACTAGCCAGGAGCACACCAAATATGCTGGCTGTAAAAAGCATCAAACAGACAGAATGTATACAAATGTATGGTTGCCTACGTAAATACATCCTGTTTCAAGAGCCCACGAAACAGTCTTGCATTTGAACATAGCCACACAGCTCAGGTGGTTTGCATCGCAGCATTGCTCCTATCTCCAATGTGCTACAAGAGCAGCCTAGCTGGGCCTAGCTGAAGTGATCTCCAGAAGTATCCTGCCACGACTGGGGACATTGGGGACACTGTCCACGACTGGGCCAAGGCAATCTCTCTGCTTTGAGCTTCATGTGCTTCGCAAGTGTTGCCAGTGTTCACATCTCAGATCATCTCAGACTAGTGTCAGTGTTGCTGGTGTTGAACTTCATACTGAATATATTCCCATAGGATCCATGTATGGTATATATGCCAACATTGGGGGTATATTGATGGTAAATGTTACCATATATATAGCATACATGGATCCTATGGGATTGAGGATTCAGACAATCCACACGCCAGGCGACATTTTCAAACAAAAAAAAAGGCCAGGCTCACTCTGGTTGTGCTAAGTATTGCTAAGTGCTGCGTCTGAGGTGGTGGTGGTGGGCTGTGTGGTGGGAATCCGTGCATTTGAGTCCTTCGGAAAGGAACACCAGGCTTGGGACTGTCGGCTCTGTAGCCGGTAGCCGAGTCAATCTGTTGAAATGTCTTGGGCTAAAGCCGCAATCGATATGGGTTTGTCTAATCATAGGGGATACCACAGAATTTCCAGTTTCATCCGGGATAAGCACTGGAATCATTGGAATTCTCGGGTATTTTCTATGTTTCCAGGCAAATTTGGCAAAGCCCATTAATTGATCCATGTAATTTAAAAAACATTTGCCGAGGTACAAGTGCAGATGCCAGATCATACCAATCGCGCTGTGGAGGCTGGCCTAAGATCCTAAGATCTCCAAAGCTGGCATGGCAGCATGACATCCCCCCCTAACAAAAAGCGAAGCTGCCGCCAGGTGACGCCAAGCTATCATCTGTGGCCAGAGGATTGGGCGACTTGATCTTGACATATCTTGACTGGCAGCCGGGTTTGTCTGGAAATGGTGGATACCTGGTGGATACCTGGTGGATACCCCGGAACATGATGATTAACCATTGGAGTTTGGGGCATCCGGCATCCTATTTTCAGACAAACTTATATCTTGGCTGACCTGTAGTGATGTTTAGTGTGGCTATGTTTTTGGGTGATTTGTTAAGTGGTGCCCGTTCGTAGTCAGCTGAGGCAAAAGCCTTGTACGCCTTTCCCACTTTCGGTGTGTCGTTCTTGCCACTGGGCCATCGTGGGAAATTGCTGCAAGTACTGGGGAAATTGCTGAACGTGTTGCGTTTTTGAAGGGCTTTTAAAGGTGTTTAGGAGGCTGTTTGCAAAGAACAGATTCGGGAAATGTGGAAGGAATATGAGTTAAAGTTAATATTGAGTCATGTGAGGTTATGATTCATGCTTCTTTTGGGTGACGATTGAGGTGTCACTTCAATGCACTACCAACTCATCAAGAGCTCGCAAGACCTACTCGGCATCGAATGAGAAGAGTGATCTTGGTGACATTGACTTTGACCTCCGCTGCTTGGAATGCAGTTTTGGACGATTTACCACTTACAGAGATCCCGCGAAATGGAGAGAACTTGAAAGGACCTGGTTTTCCAGACTTCAACAGTGTTGGACGCTGTTGGAATGAATACTGCTGGATCATATTCGATCCACTGATCCACTATCAAAGTCTATTACTGTATTTGCAGATTCTGTTCGCCACCGCGGAAGCATGTGCACTGCCAATTGCAACCGAGATGATCTACCTCTTCGTGAGTATTTGTGGGTACTTGTACACCGGCTGCTACACCTGCGGCAATGTCCTGCTGAATTTTTCACAAGATGATGCTTGTCCGCCTGATTTGATCCAGCAAAATCTCATGAAGCACTGGAAGAGAAGGCGACCAATTTAGGATAATTTAGGCGTTTAATGGCGTTTAGCTTGGTTGTGATGTTGAGTGTGAGAAGTTGCCTCCGCAACTAGACTTCAAGTTGTATTGTTTCAAGCTCCTGAGGTAGCATTTGTTGAATGGGAAGTCTCTATAGAAACATATATTTATAGAAACTATGGCTTTCTTGTTTCCAAGGGTTGCGCTCCAAACACGTGTGGTTCACACGTACCTAGCAGGAATGAATTCACTGAAGGTGGGAAGTTGAAGTGATGGTGTCGTGCCCCTACCCAAGGATAGTCTCATCACGGTTGCACGCACCGCTTTGAGTCTGGCCAGGGGCTTAGACACGCCTTGACACGCTGCACAGCATATTCAAGGCCGCCTCGAGGATCACCAAATCCGTAATACCATATGAATGGTCACTTCCGTAATGGTACCTACATATACCTACCTTTGTCATCCTTTGTCCAACAAGCTTGAGACACACTTTCTGTGGAATTTTTACTAGACTGGTGAGAAACACTTTGACTGAACAGTTTTTTGTTCAAATCTTCCTGACTTTGTAACTCGTGGGTAGCAAGTACGGTGCAGAATGTGTAAAGCAGCGCAGTACACGGAGTGTGTATAAAGCAACAGAGTGCGCTTGCGCATGTGTTATGTATATATCAGTCTGAGGTGAGGTGTCAATTTTGAAGTGAACCATAGTGAACCCATGCCCTTGCTTGGTTTTGCTTGCCCTTCGAACCGCAGTTCGATCAACACAGCTTTTCTGGCCGAAATATATCGAAATATCGTACAATGGTTCCTGATCCAAGGTGTTGATGCTGAACTTTCCACTGATTTGTCAACCGTGCCGCAACGCCTTGTTCCGGCTTCTCACTGGCTCTGGATGTGTTAAAGTTTGCGCAGCAGCAAGTTCGGCTGCCGAGGGTGAAAATGGGCAAGAGAAGCTCAGCTGCAACAAGTTGAAAAGAACGCAGCAAATTTCAAGAACTGGTCTCAGTAAGCCTCAGTATGTTACAATAAGGCAGATAGAGACAGCGAAGAAACAGAAGACGAAGACGAAGAGGAGAAGAAGAAGAAGACGAAGAAGAATAATGAGAAGACGAAGAAGAAGAAGAAGAAGAACAAGAAGAAGAAGAAGAAGAAGAACAAGAACAAGAAGAAGACGAAGACGAAGACGACGAAGAAGAAGAAGAAAAAGAAGAAGAAGAAGAAGAAGGAGGAGAAAAAGAAAAATAATAAACATTGTTATACATTTTTGATATTTGATGAGTGAAGATGACGATGATATTGATTATGACTCATATACAAATGAACATGCATGTTAATGAATAATAAGTGGTAGGTGTTTGAAGCTGTCGTTGAAATTCATCCTGGTCATCATCAGTATCACACAGTGGGGGTGTATCAAAACCCATGATTTTTCCACAATTTCCACAAATTTGAGGGATGAACATCCATAAATCCTTGTTTTATTTTATCTGGAGTTGAACATGAACAGCAGGACCGATGGTTTTTCACAATCTTCAGCACATTTTTATGGCTTCTTCGCCAGGAACGGCTCTGGTTCTTTCAGCATGGAAATTGTGACCACCGATGGCGTTGAAACACGCGCAGCTCCACGTGAAGCAACAACAGTTTCAGCTGACGCAGATCAAAACCGGAGGCGTGAAAGATTGTGCCTTTTAGTGTCATGGCATTTCAATCAACAACTAGCGCTTAAAAATCCATAGAAATCCATATACAAATACCATTTAATGATATTTCATGATGGTTCACAATGGTTCACAACATTTCACAACCATAATTTCAACTTGGAATCGATGACTGCAGGCCATCCTGGACACCGTCCTCTCCACCGCAAGCCTGTGTGCATGTCTACCTACGCCAGGCGGACACGGCCGGACACGGCCATGGCAGATGCTGTGTTTGTTTGGGACTGGATGGTGTTGGAAGCTTTGGGACTGGATATGACTAGATCTACTTTGATTTGATTTGGTTATATATATATAATATAATATTAATTATATACGGATATGGATGTAATATATATATATATGTAATATTATAATATTCTATATAATACATACATTTGATTCGATCGCTAACCAGACAAGTTCCTTTCGATCAAGATTCGGTCCTCCTACCGATGGCAGGATACCCGTGGTGGGCGGGGCGTTGCCAACGGCCGGAACTCGAGCGTGCAACCAGGGCTCAACCGAACGTCCGTTTGTTGTGGATCGAAATTGCTATTGTTTTCCAGCAGCATGTGACCACATGATTTTGAGCGAAATTTGAACTATAAAACACATCTACTCCCACAGACTGGGGTTTAGTCCCCCAGACTTCCTACCCAAGGCAAGTCTTCGACACCTTCCTGCCCAAGGAGCAATGTGATGTTAAGATAATTTCTTCTACAGTAGATTGGCTTTTGGTTAGTAGAAGAGGGCGTTATCCATGGGCTTGCCCATTTCAATAGGGTAGAGCCCCAAATGGCCGCGAATTTGATGCAGAAGACGATCTTTCATCCGGTTTCTAGTTTTTGGGGACCCCATTTCTTGTACTTAAACTACATCATATGACTGGCCCGAAGTGTTAGTGTACATGAAGCCAGAAGAAAATGGAGGGAAGATTTACAGTAACATTTCAGTGTAAATGATTACTGTAAATGGTGGTTCTTCGCATTTCACCATCCATATCTACCCAGATGGTGCAGGAAGAGGCGATGCAACAGAGCTTCTTGGAGCCCAGCAATATGCAGCGCATCGCAGGAAGCTGAGTGAAGTTCGAGTCGTGTATCCAAGCTCCGGAATCCTCATGAACAGCCATAAGGATAGGTTTTCCATGAAGCATTTTTAAACTATATTCAAATCATAATCGCCAGCCATAAACAAACCAACCTACCCACCATTTAAATCCATTTAACCGATAATCAAGACCATTCGGGGGTTGATTTTCCAATAGGTTGCGCTGGGTTCCACGGCTCAAATGGTCACTCAGCTCTTGCCATTGCAGGTGCTCACAACGCTTTTGTTGGGTACAGCCCTAGTAGTGAGCTGTGTGATGAGGAGACACGGACCACCGTGAATCTGATACTTGCTGGACTTGTCTGAAAATTGCCTAGCCCAAAATTCCATGGTTTATCAGCCCTTATAGCAATATACCATAATATACCATGATATTTACATCATTTCCAGACACACCCAGATACTTTCGGACTATTTCGTGCAAAGTGTCAGGAGCATCATGGTTGTTTGGTCCGTGATTGGCAGCACAGCCGACTGCTCAACGATTTCATCTGCGGGAGTCCGGCATTTTCCCGGAGACATAATGAGACATTCTCAGTAAATCATGAGTATCCACAGACTATCAGCCTAGTGCTGCTTCTTCTAATGGATTGGATGGAGGGAACATCTAGAGGAAAGCATGGTTTTTACCATCAAGTAAGAGGCTTCCTGCAAAATTACCCTGAACGCGATCCCCTGATTGTTAGAATATGTTACTGTATATGATTAGACTCTTTCTGCGATTGGTCTTATGTTCTTGGTTTTTTTCTTGTTCTTGTGGTTGCAAGGTCAGCTTCCTCATTGCTTTCATCATGCCAGCCATGTTCTGGTACAAGGTGCAAATTTGACCACGGCAGTGACTGTTGGAAGCTGAATATATCAAGAGATGGGGGGTTCCAAAGATGGAGTACGCCAAAATCTTCCAAGTTATTGTTATGTTTATATAGTTTATACATGTTTATACAGTATAATGGCAAACCAATAGTTGGGGGTATCCCAATGTTGGGATGCCATGATGCACCCAGATTCAGATGATAGCCATGGCGACCCTTTGTTGACCTGTCCATGAAATGCCTTGCTTTCTACAGGTTGTGGGGCCAACTGTGAGACCCTGGCGGAAGCACTGTTCTTTGCTCCTGGTGCTGTTCTGTTCAGTGACGCGGCACGTTGTGGGGTTTTACTTTAGTACGTTTCAGATGTTTTAGTATCAAAAGATTCCCAAGAAGAGGATACGAAGGACCAGCATATCCAGCATGTATTGATTTCCGTCAATTGAAACTCAATCAAAATCCTACATTTTCTCGAGGTGATGTCCTGCATTTGCTTTGTTCTGGCCTGCATCTTTGGCCGCAGAAAGTCGTGTCAACCACCTGTTGGAATGGGCGTCAGGGGGACGAAGATCGCCCATAAAATGGATCAGCCATGATTAACCAGGATAAAGATGACACAACACTCACAACACTCACAACACGCTCTGGTGTGTGAAGACAGAAACCATGCACCTGCTCTGCTCCCGTGCTTTCTATTTACATAGCTCCACTGGCTGTCGTGATTATGGAGATAGCTCGATTCAGCACCTTTGCATTATATCATTTGCAAGTTTTATAGGTTTTCCTCGGCAGTTGTTTGGTTGTGTTGTCTTGCTTTGTTTTGCTTCTGTTTTATGGCAGTGTTTTGGTTTGTTTGTTTCAGCTTGAATTGCCAAAACCCCAGGCTTGAATCTCAACGAGCCTCCTTGTCCAACCAAAGGAATTTCACTTGTGCCTTGGCTCAAAGCACCGCCTTTTTCAAAGCAAAGGACGTTCCTACCACCCAAGTTCGACAAACTTTTGTGTTTTAACTTTTGATCAAAATTGCTTTGTACAGAAACACCCCTTGTGCCATGTTAGAAGTTTCAAACCGAGCTCGATCATTGACAGTTCGCCTGATCCAGTGCTAAGGTTCAAACTAGCTGACATAGAGTCGTCGGAGACAGATGCTGGCCTCAAATTGTGTTGACATATCCAGTGAAGGTTCAAGCGGCTGAAAGCCGTCGAATTTCTGTTTGCAAGGGACAACACTAAATGTGCAATTGACATTGAAGGATTGCAGATTCAGAGCCTCCGAAATTTGTAATTTCGATACCATATGACATTGTATCTTTTCGAATTTCTGAACACACAGCTCTGCTTTGTCGAATCAGTTTCACTGTTGTTTGCTGAGTATCTGACAAGCTGTCGCCGAACCGCTCTCAGGATTTTCAATATTGTCAATATGTTCCTTTTGGCGCCTTTGAATCAAGTGCTCCGAAGTGGACAGAGCCTTCAAAGAAGCGCCTTTTAGACTAAGACGTGGTGAGAGGTTCCCCGAAAACATTCTTTTGGGACCTACACACTCCACAAATCTTCACAAGTTATCGTCAGACTCAGTACCTCCAATGTTTGATCTGATCTTTCACAGAGCCCTTGAAGAAGGTGCGATAAGTAGCACTATGGCTTGCTGTGCGCTTTCATGCACCTTTGTTGGCAATGCCTTCAGTGCTTTCAGTGCCTTTGGATTACTCTGCAGTGACTCCGGTGGTGTATGTTTCCTCAAAGACTCAAGAGACATTGCCTGATTGGGGCTTGGTTTGGAGAGAGTCAAAGGCCTGATTGGGGCCTCAAGAGTAATCCTGCCCTGAAAATGCTTGAGCGGAAAAATGTGTTTGGCTTACTGGGTTCGCTGCAAGCCGCGTCATGAAAATGCTGGTGAAGAATACCATGGGAATTGACAAGTACGACTCCGTGTTTTGTCTCCATCCCAGAAAGACTTTTGAAGGCTCTCCAATCCTTTACCGTGGGGGACAACTCAGTGGCTTTGGCAATAGCGACTTGGAGTACGTAACGTGAGCATCACTATTGTCGCAGACCCTAAACGGTCTCACCTTGACAATATACCATAATATACCATAATGATCCATAGTGCCTGTCATTTGCTGGTTTCATTGTTTGATCATATATCCACACCTTGACCAATCACAAAACATATCAACACTTCAACCTTACCAAAGCATTTTGTGGGCGGGGTCGTTTGCATGACAGTCCTCTTCCTTTGGCCAATGGTGCATGCAGCGGCATCTCTTCAAGAGGACAGCCGCCATTTGGATATCTGTGTGTGAAATCACCCAGAATCGAAGAGTTTGAAGAGCAAGTTGCTTCAAAGTGGGGTCGAATGTCAACCCAAGGTTTTATTCGTAGGGCGAGGGTACCAATTTTAAGTCTAGTCATTAATCACTATAATTTTTGGAGGGAACTGAGGGTAACCCCCTAATTGATAGTCAAACTTTAGCCAAGAGGACTGCCGTTCCAGCTTTACTCGCCTTCTGCGCTCGGAGCTGGCAATCTGCGCTGGTTTTGCCTCGGCGAGCGAGCCACATAGCTATGGCAGCTGAAAGCATTCCCAGAGGTTGGCACTTCACAACTGAACCATGAGATGCGAATTGATCAATACTTGAAGCATTTGTTCATAGAACATCATATCATCATATAACTCAGATTTCACAAATCATGTTCTTGACAATCTCTCTAGAGCTCAGTTTGGACAAGCACAAGTGCAGGAGACCACATTGCAATTCGCAGTCATATCAGTATATATCAGTCATGGATTCAAGATCTGATTGACATTTATTGACTCTGACCTGCAGCCAACCACTCCACACCTGTGACTTGTGATCTCGTAGGAACCCCGTTGAACCTCGAGGCCAAACACGTCTCTGCCCCTGGGCCCAACACTGTCGCACTCAGCCAGGGGGGCTGCAGGGAGATGCTGAGACCCCACCGATGAATTGGTGAGGGAAAAGCATGGAAAATCTAGAGACTTCTAAAGGATACCATGGTTTCGATTTACCAGCAGAATTTCCAACATGGCTACCCCCTGAATTCAGTGATTATTTTAGTTCATGACTTTCCATAATTTTCCCCACAGGGCTGTTTTGGGTTATCCCGTTTTCCCTTATTTTTGCTCAAACCTATCTGGGTGTTCCACCGATTCAGAAGCGAGGTGTTGAGCTACAATTTGTTGGCGCCGGCCTTTGTCCGACCCATTGACCTGCGAACTGGAGCTGTTCAAAGCTATGCAGCGTTCGAGTGGGTCTCGGAGGACGGAGATGGGGGTGCCACCGTTTGATACAGTGCTGGTGGATCAACATGACTAAACATGATTAACATTGATTAACCATGCATAACATGGCATAATCACAATCACCGTAAACTGTGAGATCAGATGTAGTCCGGACAATATGTCTAATGTATCTTCCAAAAGAAAATTGAACGGCAAGACTTGAAGGTTTGGTTAGAGCATTCTGTCATATTCTGTCATTTGACGAGGTGTCAACACTTCCTTTCTGGCCATGTGATTTGAGGAGGATTTGATCTGGGAGAACCGCCAAAAGAAGCTCCTGGAACAGTTGCGGAGGTGGTCTGCAGATGTTGCTTTGAGGCAATTCGATATACTTTCGGAGCGGAATAGCCACAAGTGCGAAAGAGGATTGAGGATGATGAAGGTATGCTGGAACATCACTGTTTTTTGTTGTGTATTTGTCACCAGATGGAATCTTGCAATGAACTTGCGAGGTCGTCTGCCTTCAAGAAGTTCAATTCGACACAGAAGAGAACGGTTCGTTCAGCTTGCCAGCGTGGCTCAAGAATCTTGATGGCTACGCTGCTTGTTTACCTGGTGACAAGTATTTGACACAGATGGCCGAAAGAAACGAAAGGGTCCTGGCCAATCGTGTTGCAATCGGATGCGCCGTGCTTTTCCGAAGTGATCGTTTGGTCCAAAGAGAGGAAACTGCACGTAGTGACCCAAACAGGCTGGTGTCAGCCTGTTTGGAGGGACACCCTGAATCTGGTATACGACACCTAGGCCGAACCGCCTTTTTCTCGGTCCACTTAGACGCTCAAAGCGAGGAGGAGAGAGTAGAGCAACTGCGGAAGTGTTTGGAGAAAGCTCGAGCGCTTGGTACCCGCGATGCGGTGTTCGCTGGTGACATGAACGCTGAGTGTTTCCCCGGTTCTTGCGTCAGAGCCATCATTTCCCCTGAGGTGCCATCTGCAGAGGAAATGGCGCGACAATGTGCAGCAGCACTGCGTATTGCTGGGACAGACGATGCTGAGGAGCAAACAGAGACCAAAGAAAGCACCGAGAGTGCCGAGCCAACAGCACAGCAATTGGAACAGTGGAAGGTGCTTTGGGACAAAGCAGCCCAAGCGCCCAAAGAATATCGTATGTGCTTGCAAAGAGTGCCTACAGGCAGGATATGATTTTCCAATATGTTCCAATATTTTCCATTTTTTTTTCTGTTGATGGAGTTTTGATGTTTGGACCATTTTGGACCTATTTGTATCTGAATCCTTGGATGCCTTGGATGCCGACCTTGCCAGGGCCTACGCGCTCCGCTTATGACCATGGGATGTCAGAAGGGCCTTGTGTGACCTGGAGCTTGGTGTTTTGGCTGACAGGAGGCAGAAATCCCAGAATGTATCCATGTGATGCCATCATAGCACCAGACCTCTTGAGAATTCAACTTACCCTCTGGTAAACATACAAAAAGCTATTGAAAATGGCCATTAAAATAGTGGATTTTCCCATGAAAAATGGTGATTTTCCATAGCTATGATAGTTTACCAGAGGGTAAATATGACATACTCAATATGTTTCTTGCTGTTCACTTCTAAAAATGGAGGTTAATCTTGCACGAAGTCTGGCTGCCTGCGACGAAAAACTGATTGATTTGACATTTGGTTTCGACGCTCAATTTTTATACATTCATCAGACTTGATGAACAAGAAGTAGAAACTTGTTCGTAAGTCAGTGTTTTGCTCTTCAAGTCGCGCGATTCTGTCATTTTGTGACGGGTGAGAGGCCATTCAAATGGTTGAACACAGAAAACATGAAGCCTCCAAACACAGCCAAACTCATTACTTTGGGATCGCATTCTTTTTTTGGGTTTAAAAACACTGGTAGCATCTGGTAGCATGCTCTTCACTGAGCTCTGGGGTGCAAGACTTTCTTTGCTGTGCAGTCAGGATCACATTTTCTATAGTCCACGCACCTTGAAGCTCCTTTCGCGCTGGACAGCTTTAGAGGCCAAGTCTCATGCTTTGGATCTAAAGATGAACATGTTGTATGACTAGGGATCAAAAGCCTTCTTTTGTTCACACAAAAATAGCTGGCATTTATGTATGTCCATCCCTCCCAGATTCATGGTAAATCATAGGTTTAGTTTTGATCCATCCTGGCAAGGCAGATCCTGAGTCCTCTGCCAGCGGGCTGCCAAATGCCGAGAATCCCAGCGACCACTTGCCCGTGGCAGCTCTTTTCGAGGCACCAAGACATTTTCACAGGTCGTATTTCTTAAAATAGAGGTAATCATGGGTAACCCAACATCCCAAAATATCCCCAAATATCCCCAACATTTGTGACAGACTTTGGATAAGGACACCATTTTTTAGTACTGCCGAGGAGGCTCATTTATGATCATTTCACCTCTCGCCTGAGTAATCTTAGATGTCGGCATCTATAGACTATAGATTTAGTTCGGACTTGTCGCAAAATCTGGACACCCCTGACAGGTCTCTGACATCCCATGTTATCATAATATAATTTTCCACATTAAAAGGGCAATGAATTGGGGTATTGCCCATTCTGAGACCCATGTGCTGAATTTATGGGTGGCTCATGGTGGCGCCAGGTGTTCCCAACTCCATGTCTTGAAGGCTCTAGCAGGCGCCATGCTGCCATCCTAAGAGGTCAAATGGTTGGTGGGATGATGATTCAACATGTTTGGTTGAAAACATGGTGGTCGGCAAGAATGGCTAGTTGATGGTAGTTGGTAGTACTACGTTGACAGTGTATTTTTCTAAAATAATCCAACTACCATGTAATGATGACGTGTTTGTTCAATCATTCAAATGATATTTGTTTTTTTTTTCCAACATGACATTTTCCATCATTTTCCATATAGATGTGGGATGATGTTGTTTTTTCCAATTTTCCATTCGCATTCTCCCATTGGGAGTTTTGAAAAACCAGCGAGATGACACGGATTTCCAAGTTCGTGGGATGACCATCAGGCCCCATATGTGATAAACATACAAAAAGCTATTGAAAATGGTCATTGAAATAGTGGATTTTCCCATTAATAGCATGGTGATATTCCATAGTTTTTTGATGTTTTTTGTATGTTTACTCTAGAGGGTATATACCATGTTACTTGACCATAGCACATATGAAATCATTATTGGTAGTAAATCCATTTCTATAAACATTGATGACGTATGCCGTGTGCTCAATGACTTACCATGGGCGGGAAAGCATACTCCCATTGGAGGTGTATCATTGGGTCTGCCACATTAGGAGGTATTCCAAAGAAACTCAACCCAAGTACTATACTTCTTCTGGGCCGATTTCAGCCAAGATTTCAGGATGAGATAGATAGCAGCTGATTCCAAGAGATCCCAACAGATGCCCAGCATGTTTTCGCAGCATTATTTCGAACTGGATGTGATTGGAGTTATGCAACTTCGCCCGAAACAAGAGAAATATCACCAGCAGGTTCATTTCTTCACCCGTGCACATTTTGAACTCTACCTCATGCCGTAGCGCTTGTTCAATTTTGCAGTGTTCATTTAGGGTTTCAGCAGTTTAAATGGTGTAGACTGTCCTGCTTTTGCCAGTCATCCAATTTGCTTGAGGATGTCCTTCTTTGTTACGAAAGATGTACAGAAATGGCATGGATCATCTGCAGAATAGACATTGACATACGGAGGTTTTCTTTTAAAATGTGACCCCCCAAGAAATCAACGTAATGTCCTTTTTCATGGCAAAAATAATGGTTTTGCGGTACCCCAATTTTGAGAAACTTCACATGACAATACACTCGACCTCTCCTTTGATGTTTCGGAGGCAGAGCCTTCTGGAGCGTCTTGAAAAGTTGGAAGAGCAGCAACACCGAGAGATGGCAGAACTAGAGGAGTGGGCACCAACTTTTGCACATCGTTGCACCAACAGATTTTTTTTTTCTCGAGTCATTTGGAGATGCAACTCATCACCTCGGTTGGAAGGAGCAGCTGAAAGCCCTGGAGCCAATTGAGACAGAGTCGCAGGCAGATGCCAGATTGGTGTTTGGCCAGGACTTTCGGTATGTTCAGCATTTGGATAAGACAATCCTTAAAAAATGAAGCAAATACATCCAGATACATCCAGTCATCCAGGTACATCCAGATACATCCAGATACATCCACATACATCCAGATACACTGTACATCACTGTAGCATGTTGTTTTGGACTCAGATCTTGTAGCCACAAAACGTAGCTCCAAAACGTGGCGTTGCCCGGGAATCCGACGGCCCTGATTTCTGGCAGGGACCGAAAGGCAAAAAGTGGCCCGATGGCAGCAGAACTGCTGATTACCGCAGTCATGATAAATGGATATAAATGGGGTACACCCCAAATTTGACTGGATGGTCTATCATTCTCAATCAATGTGAAAATCAGGTTAAATGTGTCAGAAGATGAAAGCTGTACTCAGGAAAGATTCCCCAGAGATGATTGCCTTCAAACAGGCCCATGGGTGCAGCAATATCGCCTGCTTTATTCTCATTTCCCTCTATACAGTGACCGACGTACGCTTGGAACAGCACATTTTTCCGAAAATTTCAAACCTTCTCTTAGAACATAAACCAACCATACACTTTGAACACCGGCCAATTTTCTAAGTGCACACTTGGAACATCCGGAATTTCAACACTTAGAATTGAATAGCCGTTGATTTTTGTAAATCTGCATGTGTAGTCATACATATGCTTATATACATATTACATATATAATACAATTATATGCATAAATACTGTTAAATACTTTTGTGAACACCACACCTAGAAGAAGACTCTCTCCACTCACTGCTGCTGAAAGCAAAGTGCCTTTTCTTCCTGGAAGGCGATCTTTATATCTTTGTATATCCTGTACAGATTTCGTTATATGGGAAGGTCTTCATAGTTTTGAACTGTGACGTGGAACTAGTTGACTGAGGACCGGTCATGTATGTTTCTAGGTAATCCTGGAAGACATCAATTAATTTTGGCATCACTTGCGAATTTGAAACGTTGCACACCTGATGTTCTAAGTGCACACTTGGAACATCCCGGCTGTGAAGGCTTGAATGTATTTTTTTCCAAAGTATGTTCTAAGTCTGTCAGTATAGTACAACTGCCGTAAAATGGCGCATACTCTCTCTCTCTCTAAATCTACGGTATACGTATTTATATATATATATATACATTATACATTCTTATACCAGTAGTATGCAATGTCACCACCATTTCTGGAAAAATCCCGATCATATTGTTGGCCATTCATCCGATATTAATATTCTGCTGTGTTTCTATAAGCCCTATTTTTTGTGGTTTCGGACCGGCAGACAAGTTATCCCTGCAATGTGGAGGAAAAACGGCGGAAGACCAAGGAGCTGAAGGCCCTACAAATGGTCCAGCGGAAAGACTTCTGGGGTCCGGGGACCAAAGGGTTGAACCTTGGGAAAGCGGATATTTATACCTGAAAATTGGGGAAAATGGGGATATTATGATTGGTATACCCACCCAAGTTTCAGATTGTTTTGGGAGAAATTGAAAGGCCATGCCAGGGCAATTATAGCAACTACAGTCTTGATGAAATGCAAAACCTGATTCTTGGCAAAACATAGGGATTTGCGATAGGTCTAGCAGTCTAGCATTTCTGAATTTTAATTCTCAGTTTTGTGCGGTTCCGCTCGGCGCTTGGCCTACCTGTCTGGTTCTATTCTCTTTTTTTCTCATTTTTTCCGTACAATACGCATACCATTGTCTCTACATTTACATATACATAAAAATAAATAGACATCGCTTTTTGCAGTTTGTTGTGTCCGAAAGTGAGCAATGAGGTATGTCTTTAGTTCCTATCATTATCTATCAGTAATTTGCCAGAATCCGTCTGGCATTATCGCCAAATCACGTCTGAAGGCAGCATGCTCCATTTGGCACATCCGGATGCACATCGCCAAGGCAACCTTTCTGACCTTGAGCTGGATCTTGTCGAGGAGAGTTGTGGTTCAACGTGGATAGAGACCGGTGTGCGAGGCGAACAAAAAGTTGCTGTGTAGATGCAGGAGCACCCTCAAAGGTCCAAACGTGAAGTGTATAGATGTCTATAGTCTATAGTGCCTCTAAAAATAGAAGCTGGAACTTCGAGATCTTCGAGAGATCCACTTGACAGATAAATGACCAAAGCCCAGATGATGAATACCTCTTTTGCCTCTTTCCTGCTGTGCTTCATTGCTTCCGGCGTCGCTGAAGCTGTTGTAGCAGCCTAAGCCACCACGAAACCGTGAGCCGTGGACAGTTGTTGCCCCAGGACTGTTTCAACCGATTCGTGACCAGGTCACTAGGGTAAGACAAATCCATCTGGAAATTTCAGAGTTTGCTATGGAAATCTGTGGAAATCTGTGGAAATCTATGGAACATCACCATTTGTTTGCTATGGAAATCCATGGAACATCACTCATCACCATTTCATCACCATTTCATCACCATTTCTATATATTTCTATATCATTTCTTGTGAAGGGAATTGGAATTGGAATTGGAATGGGCCATGGCGGAAAGCCGAGGTGTGGATGCCCAATGAGGCAAGTTCCAACCTCCGATCCAGATGAGGCGGTCAGATAGGACAAACATCTCCTGCTGAGGTGTGCTTTAGTTTTTGTTGAAAGATTGAGAGGACCTATTGTAGATATCTTAGGTTCTAGATGAACCTAGATCGTTTTTGTATGCAAAGGTAGATCAATGGACATAGTTTGATAGACACATGCACACGGATTGTTGATCCGCCGCAGTTGCACAGGCCGGGAGAGGTATAGCCTGCAGCCTAGTTTGGCTGAAAGCTTCCCAAATTCATTCCGATTCTGGGTTTGTCTCAAAATGACGGATGCAGATACCTCAAAAATGCTTAAAAATTTGGTTGATCATCAATATCCCCAGTAAGCCATTCATTGGAGATACATCATGCCATGACATGCTTCTGACCTCCAATGAGGCAAGGGACACGAAAAGGAAGTACAATGAATTGGAGCTGTCTCTGGCGCAGATGGCGCGTCCTGGAACAATATGGGTCACTTGGATGATGCGATGAGTCAAAGGTTTGTAGCAATTCTGAGACACCCAGGAACGGTTTCCGGAATCATTTGCAGTTATTCCGACCTGAGTGTTTGAAGGTTTTTCAAATCTTCAATGTGTTTGTTAAATCTTTCAAATGCTGGAGAGTTGTTGGATGGGTTTGCAGAGCTAAGGATGGCTTCTTGTCTACTCAGGATATAGTCCTATTCAATGTTCATGGTCAGAAAGCATTGTTTTGACGGCAACAAGTTAAAGATAGTTAAATATGCCGGTCATACCTAAAGACACCGGCTCCAAGTTGAAACGCAACCCCCAAGAAACAAAGACATGTCTCAATCGCAGCTGCACATGGTCGGCGGGTGTGAATGCAAAAGCAAAAGCAAAGATTATCTACATGATAGATTTATCGGGAGCACTGTTTAACCGGCAACTTCACCCCAGTGCGAAATTCATTGTATAGTTTCGCGTTTTGATTCAGAAATGAAAAGCATCGACACATTCTGTCACAATGCATGGGCAGTTTGGCATCATCTTTTCATGATGTTTCACTTTGTCTTCTCATCATCTGTTCATTCTCAGGACAGGTTAAGAGACAGCTGTTGGATCTACGGTGTGTCCGCTGTTGCAGTGCTGGCAGTTTTAGCTGCGTGCTTTGGCAATGGCAGGACCTGGAATGGGATCAGAGGCATCGGATACTGAAAAAGGGAGACGGGGATAGAACCAAAGGAAATCCAACGCTTTGATAGCAAAAGTGGGTGATCCAAGTGGCCCAGGCGGGTTGACCGAGGCAAGATTTTTCTTCATGGAACTTGTTTATCTTGTTTGAGTTGTCTGAAAGACTCGAAATCTGGTGATCCCAGTTGAAAAATGTTGAAAACAGCCTTGGCCCATTTGCTTTGCCAAGCGGTCTCGCTGCGCTGTGGCCGCTGTGGTTTGAGGTTCTGTGTCTATATTCAGCCCTGGAACAGATTGAAGGGGGATATGCGTGCGCCACTGGTCCGCAAACAATCTGAGAAGTATTCCGAAAGGATCCAAAAGGAACAAAGGTGAATCAGATTCAAATCCAGAAAAAATACCTTAAGACAAACACAAGTTGTCTTTGCCTTTTCAGGCTTCAGACAGCAAATTTCCATACAGTCCCACTTGTTCCCGCCTGACTTGTTTTGCATGGGGCATGTCTCTTGAGCAAGACATGTCGGAAGGGCACTGTTTCGCTGTTTCGTACTGTTTCCCATCTCGATTCCAACAATTGATGATCATCCCCTTGCCATATCCTTAGTATATCCTTAGTCAATGGCCATGCAACAGGAACCGATTGATTGGAGATACCTACCATATATAAGGCCTATATATATAAGGCCTATGTGGGGGAATATCCCCACAAAATATGACCTTATATGGTACAGTACCTCCATTTTAGGATACTGAAATTCCCATTGACTTAGTATATCCTACGGTTGGTTTGATACACCCTCTGTTGGAGTGTTTGGCGATCCCACGCGGGACCATCCAAGGTCTCCATACATGGCATTTCAGGACAAAGAGCTTCAGTGCCACGAGGTCCTGCGGCACATGTATCGATTGGGAATCGAAGAGAGCCAAATCACCATGTTTTATAGATTTTTATAGTGATATGTTTAAGTTTAATTGGTAAATATAGGTAAATATAGGTAAATATAGGTAAATATAGATAAATATAGGTAAATAATAGGTAAATAATAGGTAAATATAGGTAAATATAGGTAAATAGAAGTGATTAGACATGATTACACGATATAAATGGTCCAGGTTTAATATAGCTACCCTTTCGGTAAATATCGGTAACTCATTTGTGCCATTTTCCTGGGCCACTTTTGCGTCATGGAGATGCCAGGGATGCAGGCAGCATGATCTGGCGAATTCAATGTGTACCAAACTCAGCGGATTTTTCGGTGCTGGAAATCCCATGGAACCAGGTGCTTCGATGATTTTCCCATGGACGAATTTTACCATTGGGATTTCAAAGATTTCCCATTGCCATGTTTGATTTCCAATGGATGAGTTCTATGCAAATTTGCATAAGAAAAACAGGCTTTGATTTGATTAGGATATTCCTCGATGAAGTAAACGCCATTAAATGCCCAGTGATGTTCTGGAATCTGGAATCATTGTGATGGCTTGATCAACCAAACTATGAGACATTCTATTGTGATTGAGACCCGCCCAGGTCTTCAGGAATGCCTTCCTGAGAAATTGAATTGCATGAGCTCAGAATGTGATGGGATGAGCGCTGATTCCACGGAGTACTCCTATTGCGTGCCATGGCAGCAGGTCATGGACCAGTTGCTCCCGCCATTGAAACAGAACTTGTTGGCACAGCTGCCTCATGGATTTCACAATTTTCCTGGGCTCAAGAGTAGCAAGCACCCTGCGCATACATCCTGTATTATATCGCATCAACCGCACACCAGAAACATGGCATCATTTGATTACGACATTGCACCCTGGTTGCTTTTGCTAGCTGCTAGCGGACTGTTTACCGTCTCACAAATGTGCCACTGTCTCACACATGCGCTACATGCTTGCATGGGTGGGGTGGGTTGGGGTGGGGGGTCAATAACGTTTCAGTAGAAGTTGCACACAGAGTTATAATTCATTTAGAAGTCGCACACACACAGATGCAACGTTGCTTGAAGGTTCAATTTTTATGTACATAGTTGATGGTACGCTACATTACGAACATAGTTGATGTTACGCTATCCTTGAAGGCTCAGAAGTTACGTACGTTGTTGATGTTACGCTACGTGAAGATTGAGGAGTTACGTACATGGTTGATGTTACGTTACTTGAAGGTTGAGAAGTTACTAGGAGTAGGCAGTTTTTGGACAATGTCTCTAGCTTGCAAAACGGCAAGCCAATCCAAACCCTCGACCTATGTCCCAAGCGCCCATTGGCTGGAGATTGGACATGGACTCGGACAACTTGTTGGAAAAAATGGGAACCGTTCTGAAAGATTTGTGAGCAATGTGCAAGGCAAAACGGTGAAAACTTGAAACTTACCTGATTTTGCAAGGGATTTTTCTACATGACACCAGCATGGGGCTGTGGTGCCGTCATATTTTTGCAATATTTGTGGGCCAGTAATCAGTCCGCCGGGTGGTTTTTGGATGGTTTTCTGTTGACTGGAGGCTTTGGATTGCCACTCTTCAGTGTGTGAGAACAAATGCTCTGACGTTGGTCGACGCGCTTCGCTTTGCCACTTGTCCTGTGCACCTGACATGAGGACTGCATGGTGTATGATCTCATAGCTGATCCCCTACCAGAAGCAGCGAAACCATTCGGTGTCTCAAAATACCTTGATAAATGCATGAGTGTGCTGGCAATGTCTGAATGTACAAACATAATCAAACATAGTCATAGATGTCATAGTCCTTCTCAGGTTAGAAGCCAATCCATCTGCAAAAGTGATGTACCCAAACAGTATTTCTGCACTTTGGCAGCAGCAACTCTCCTAAAATCTACATGGATCTGCCTCATCCGTGGCGCCAGGACATTAGTAGAGGATCCCCCCTGTGTCAGGAAGTGCAATGCACAGCATGACAACTCCTGCATGGTGGCAGCCTCAAGATGGGTGTACTGTATCTGAAACTGGCACAAATACACCCAATGAACAAAGATATTTAATAGCCCCTGTTGGTTGATGATTATGAGGATTTTTTGCTACCCAACATATTAGGGAATATGAATAATATATATATAATATATGTATATATATGTGTATAATCAATAATAGGACATCATGGGAATCCCTATAAAACCAAGGGATGACTGAGGCTTTTGAATACTCAGATGTTGCCTCCGGAACCATTGAAGCAATGCCCATGTAATACTCATGGATTTTTTTAGGGGGTTATTACCAACCATTATCGGGATATTAAGGGGATAGATACTGTGAAGTAGCCATTCTGAAGAGAGCCCTTCCAGGGTGGATGTGCTGAGAGCACCAAAAAATGCTTGAACACGAAGTGCGTTGGCAACACGCAAGAGGCTCGCAGGGTTGTAGTCGCGAGAGTGGACAAACTCACACTACCCAGAGCATCAAGACCAAACACTTGTCAGAAAAGAGTTGTTTGACGTTGTTTGATCTGGTGGACTCTACCTGGCTTGGGTTTAGCTGACTGAGACATGCATGCTGCTTGCGATCTTCTAGATACTTTCCAGGGATGAGAGGGTGTGGCCGAAGAAAGCAATGCTTTGTCCATCTTTGTCCTTTAGATCTTGAACCACACTTCTGTTTTTGCAAACGTACGTATTTCAATGCATGCCCTTTTCATGACTCAAAGAATCTCAAAGATCCTCGACGTGTGTTTGGTCCGCCAGGAATACAGTATGTGCCAAGAAGAATGTGAATTGAACAGCTGCGGTCGTGATTGCCAGGCACGAATTGTGACCACTGGCAGGATCCATGCTATGTGGCTATGGGTTGAAATGGGGTATCCCTAAGATTGGATGGTCAATAGATAGATTGACGCCTGGTGTCCCGTGGACCCAAAATTTCATACATACACATTTAATCACATTTACACCAAAGATAATTGGACAAGGATCCAACGAAGGACATCATGGCTATACCGATGTTCTAATATTTCGGGAAAACCCATGAATCAAACCCCCAATCCTGTTGATTCATCAACATTTTTCCCATGAGAGTTGCGATTTTGGGCCATCCCCAATTTTTTTAGGCTGATGGTGCAGAGGCTGATGCTGAATTGACAGCTGTGTTAAAAGAGACGAAAGACCAATCCTAATCCTAATCCTTGTTAACTTATTAACCATGAAGAACCAAACATAAGGGCTATTATGTCTCATTATCAGTAGTACCGCACAAGGCGGTGGCGGAAGTTTCAAAAATAGGAAACCTATAGGAGAGGTTGGTTGTTGTGAATCACGGATGGCAGAGCAAAGCCACTGATGGACTGAAAGGTGATTGATCTCTCTCACTCTTTCCTCTCTCTTTTGCTCTCTTTCTCTCTCTTTCTTTGATTATCTACCTACCTACCTACCTACCGATCTATCTATCTATCTTTCTTTCTTTCGTTCGTTCTTTCTTTCTTTCTTTCTTTCTTTCTCATCTTTCTCATCTTTCTCATCTTTCTCATCTTTCTCATCTTTCTCATCTATCTATCTATCTATCTACCTATATATCTATCTCCCTCTCTCTCTCATCTGTCTATCTAACTATCTGTCTGTCTGTCTATCTATCTATCTGTCTGTCTATTTATCCATCTATCCATCTATCCATCTATTCTATCTATATCTCTATCTATCTGTCTGTCTGTCTATCTATCTATCTATCGATCTATCTATCTATGTATCTATGTATCTTTGTATGTATGTATGCATCATCTATCTATCGATCTATCTATCTATCAATCTACCTATCTATCTATCTATCTATCTTTCTCATCTTTCTCATCTTTCTCATCTTTCTCATCTTTTTCATCTTTCTCATCTTTCTTATTTTTCTCATCTATCTATCTATCTGTCTGTCTATCTATCTATTATCTGTCTATCTGTCTATCTGTCTATCTGTCTAGCTGTCTATCTGTCTATCTGTCTATCTGTCTATCTGTCTATCTGTCTACCCGTCTATCTGTCTACCTGTCTATCTGTCTATCTGTCTATCTGTCTATCTGTCTATCTGTCTATCTATCTATCTATCTGTCTATCTATCTATCTGTCTGTCTATCTATCTATCTACCTATCTATCTATCTATGTACCTATGTATCTACCTATCTATCTATCTATCTACCTATCTATATATCTAGCTATCTATCTATCTATCTATCCATCTTTCTATCTATCTATCCATCCATCTATCCATCTGTCCATCTATCCATCTGTCCATCTATTCTATCTATATCTCTATCTGTCCGTCTGTCTGTCTGTCTATCTATCTATCTATCGACCTATCTATCTACCTATCTATCTACCTATCTTTCTATCTATCTATCTATCTATCTATCTATCTATCTCTCTCTCTCTCTCATCTCTCTCATCTATCTACTCTATCTAATCTATCTATCTAGATAGCCATCTATCTATCTAGCTAGCTAGCTAGCTCGCTATCTGTCTGTCTATCCATCCATTTATTTATCTATCTATCTAGATATCTATCCATCTATCTATCTAGCTAGCCATCTATCTATCTCATCTGTCTATCTAACTGTGTATCTAGCTATCTACCCATCTACCTATCTGTCTATCTATCTCTCTGTCTGTCTGTCTGTCTATCTGCCTGTCTATCTGCCAGCTTGAAAACCAAGCTATTCCGCGAGACTTCCTCATTTTTCGAAGTTGACGACATAAAAAAGGAAGCAATTCTGCGAGACTTCTTCATTTTTGGAACTTAACAACATCCAAAACGAAGCAATTCTGCGAGACTTCTTCGATTTTTGAATTTGACAACATCAAAAACAAAGCAATTCTGCGAGACTTCCTTCAAAAATTGAAAGTTGAGCAGCGCTTACGGCCTCGTACCAATGCGTTTTGCGAATTTTTCGCCACCTGTCTAAAGCATTGCGCCTGCCACGAAAAATTGATGCCAGGTCATACGAAGTGCTGCACCTGTCACGCAAAATCATCTTAGCAAACCGACAGATCTGATGCTCCAAAATGCAACCCTTCTCAGGAAATCAGCGCCCTGACCTCCTAACATCTCTGAGGAACATGTCTTTTGTACTGCGCTTGCCATGGGAAATCCATCTTTGCAGATCCTCTTCAAATGTCCCACGCCATCGTTTTTGGAAATGCTATAAAACCCTCACGTTTTTGCTCACTTTTGAGAAAGTGCACAATCCCTTGTGCCTGCCACGCGAAACGACATCTGAACGTCCAAAAGTGGCGCGAACATGTGGTGTTTTGTACATTTTGACTTCGAAATGTGCTTCGCGCCACAGCGGCGTGCATTTTGACCTGAAAATGTGCTTCGCGCCACAAGGGCGTGCAATTTTTCATCTCTCATCTGGCCAGATGGCTCCGCACCCGCCGCTTTAGCGAGCCTACTTTTCGACCCTCCGGAGCCACAAATCATTGGAAAAACACAGTGCTTCGCGACTTTCCTCCTTTTCGCGCACCTGCGTCTTCTTTCTTCTGACTCTTTCTCCTCTCTGATCTTCTCTCTTCTACTCTTCTCTTCTCTCTGACTCTTCCCATCTCTGCTTTTCACCTGTCCATATTGTCGGAAGTTTGACTTCTACACTTCCGTCGAACATTTATTACCCATCTATTAACAACCTATATATTCTAGGGCCTTATTAACATTTATTACCCATCTACTACAATCTATTATATTCTATGATTGGGATTTCTTGGGGGTCTCTGGTGGGGTTGATTGAATCCCTTCTGGTCGAGCACAGGCTTCCAACAAGGCCTTTGCTGAATGCACCTCTCACTGTTGGACACCAAGCCTGAAACCAACGGCACAGCATTGAGTGAAGTTTATGGGAGTGCCCACAAGATTGATATTGATTGATCGATTGATATGAATGGTGCATTTTTTGAGTCGGCGAGAGAGAGTTCTATGTAGCATTCTCTTCAATCTTAGACACAATTGCTGGTCAATAGGATTTCCGATAATGGATTGCGATAATCCCCAATATATTGGATAGTATAACCCCATATAATACTCAACTAACACGGGTTTTGAACATTTCTGAATTGAAAAAGATCCTGTGGAACCCTTCGCAGATCCCGGACGGCTATCTTCCAAGGTTACCCCGCAAATCCTTCAGGCCAGCTGCAAAAAAATGGTGGCGTGCTGGAAAATCCCCCCTTTGGTTCGATGATTTCCCATTGAAACCTCCATTTTTCCCTGCCAACCATGGTTGATCACCGGAGGGTACCAAGTGCTTTGTGACACGAAGCCTGAGCCAGCGACCACGTCGTGCAAGGCCAAAATGCTGTCTTTGTGCCTCCATCTGTGCAAGCAGCAGACAATGCTGCTGGGCGCAAAAAAAACAGATTGCTGTTGAAAGGAACCTGGGCCAGAACATGTGGTTTCCATGGTGTTTCAATGGAAGGGTGGCCAGGAAAACATCCCCTTCATCCCCCTTCCATGAACTTTCAGCCCTATTAGCCGGCTCTACGTGCATTGGATGATCACACACGTCACAGAATTCCACGGAGATGACACAACTGACACTGCACCAAGGCTTTCCTTCGCACGAGCCACTGCAAGAAGTTCTGTAGCGTCTCGAAGCATTGAATTTGAAATTCGATTGCAGGGGTAGATTTCTGATGCTTTCTGATCATCTAGGCACAAACTATGCAAAATGTCACAGACTTTAAAATATTTTAAAACAAACCTATGACATCCTGCGGCATCCTATGGCATGTTTCTATATGTTTCTGCATTGCCAGGACTCTCCGATCATCGTCATACGCTGTGTATGCACCATTGTGGACCAAAGATTACGAAATGCGTGCAGACCCAATGTCTAGAGCTCGGCAGACTGACAGCAGAAGTGCGATGTATACCAAATTGAATACCATGGCTGCGGGATGAGATAAAATCTTGGCATACACACACACACACACTGACACTCAAATTATCATAAAATGCAGAAGAATGGTGTGCAGGATCAGTTCTCTGTGTGAGTTCCGGCTGAAATAGTGAGCATAATGAGTCTATTGAGGCCCAAATGCAGTGCCGGAATCAGATCTGCAGAAGAAATGCATGGCATCCTGCCTGGGCCACAGATGCACTTTGTGTTTTTGGGGTCACCACTATTGATGAATGCCAAGGCAACGCATGATCTATCATGATAATTCATGATATGTCATATATGATACTGTACGTACCACCACTATATACATGGACGCGAACCGGTGTTAAGTTCCTCGTCTTTGAGAAGTGCAGTTGCAGTTGCTCAATTCCCCAGGAATGCCGTGGGTTTCTCATTCCAAATCTGCTGGTTAATCACCGCCATTGGATGGTCAATGGGGGCGCAGGTGAAAAGTCCTCTTGTGGAGATGCGTGCCTCCAAACCTTTAACCAGGCCGGGAGCTCCCTTTGCAGAGTTCCAGACACGAACATGTAGCAAGACAATTCAAGACATTCAATAGATGATTCAAAGAGCAATACTTTCGGCACTCCCGGATTTTCACAACATTTCTCTGCCTTTCTCTGGTATTTCAACAAAGCAATCATTTTTTAATCTTAATGTGTCACTCTAGTTCACATTCCCTGAATTTGTGTCACCTAAAATTCACCCCACTGCTCACGCCAAAGGCAAAGCACTGCTACCAGGAGAGCTGCCAGAAGCGACAGTGGTTTTTCCAAAATGGGGGCTGGGGGACACAAACCCATGGTTTTTTCAATACTTCAACACTCGAGTTTCTCTAGTTGTGGATGATTAGGGACCCCCAGAGCATTAGTTTTGGGGCTTCTTGCAGATTTCCTGGGGCAAGATCAAGACAGGGTCCATCAATTTTGACACACACGGGCACGCACGCACGCACGCACGCACGCACGCACGCACGCACACACACACACGCACGCACACACACACACAGACAGCCAGGCAGACACTTACGGGCACCTTACCCACATTCCACGTATTTCGTATTTTTTTTGGATTGGGATCCCGTTTAGCCCTACTCAACATGCTGTACAACACAGCTCATCTGACCCATGTTGACCCATAAATTCTGGTAGAATTTCGACAGAATGAAGTTGTAAAAGTTGTAAGCGATTCCATGGGGAAGCTGCAATGTACCTGTGGGTATGGACCAAAACCGCCCTTTATGTCAAGGACTCATGCAATCCTGATCATGCATCCGCTTGCAACAAGAGATGCTGCTCGGATTTTTGTAGCCACACAGGCTACCAGGACAAGCAACATGTGCTACAGGCAGTGTTCTTCCACGCAGCGGCGGGATTTCACTCATATGGGTTTCTCATTGTATGTCTTTTGAAATGGGATATGGGTATGCTCGTGCTATTTGATGGGGAACATGATGATAGGCCCATGGAATTGGGGTACCGGTACCCAGGGCTCTAGGAAATTCAAACTCATCTCCATCCTGCGGCCCTAGGCCAGGCCAAGCATGATGATAGCTGCATGAAGCGCCTTGGCACATTTCATGATCAGTTATATTTTGGAGGTTATTAACCTACCTGGCTTATAGGGGATGGCTATAACCTAGCCATTCTCATCCAATACAATTTGTGATATTTGTGTGCATCTGGTGTATCACATTCGCCAATCATATTTGAAGGGCCTATGCAGGACTTATCAACTTGGCTGATGTTGAGAAGATAGACACGGGACGCTGGTCACAGCCAGCATTTGGTATGTGGCAGGTTGTTAGGCGTCAGAATCGCTTTAACATCATCCTCTAAGTTCAGACCTACAAAGAGTCACCATCACTCAGAGCACCCCTACATTCTCTTGTGGGTATAGAGATCCAGACTACAGACTGCCTCGTCAGGAAGTGCGGTTCTGATCTTGGCAGCTGCATATCTTCTCATTGCAGCGCGCTTTTGGATCAGGATCGGAGTTGTGGTGAGCGAACGTCAGCGAACAAATGTCAAAGGATTTCAAAGGATTCAAATGTTCCGTTGGTCAGTTTTTCTGCTTTTTTTCTGGGTTGTACAGAGATGTTTCAGTTCAGTTTTGTTCGCTTGAATTTTTTTCACGATGGAATGTCGACGGTCGACGCATTTTTCACATCGGCTGCAGGATGCAAATGCCTACAGCGAATGTCAGCAGAGTCTTCATCGCATGTAACCATGGGTGTCATCAAACTTGGCTGGCGTGGAAACCCCCGATATACATACATGATGCATTGTAATTATGATGATTTATGATGTATATCACTATATTATATAATTCAATTATCCCCACTGAAATTTCCCCGATGAAATGGCTGGCCTCCAGGCCCATATAAGCCCGATTTCTAAGGTTTCGGAGGCCATTTTGTAGGGGGAACCTGCCTGCACCTTGCCATATTGTAAGAGCAATAAAATAATGGATTTACGCCTTTGCGCATAAAATCACTATCACATAGCAATCTCAAAATGCAGTTTGAAAACTTGGCTGGGTTGGGGCCATTCATTTTGTAAGGAATCCCTGTTGATTTTAATGGTCATTTTGTAGGGATTTTGGCTGGTTGTGTTGCAACTACTAAATGCAACGCCATGCCACTTGTCCGTGTCAGCCTGGCTTTCCAACACAACTCAACTCTTGGGCAAAAAAAGAAGGGGTATGAACGCTTCACTTTTTGTCAACATTGTAAAAAGACAGGCCGCACATATCATTGAGCCCATTTCCTTACAAAAAGGATGGGTTGCTCCTTAAAGACAATTGAGAAAAACGCAGGGAAATGGCAGAGCAACAGGTTCTTACAAAATGATGCCTTTTTGGGGGTTCAGGGTCCAAGCATGCAAGCAAAACTCATACTCTAAAACGATAGAAATCAAACATCCGGGCAAAATATACATCCCTACAAAATGTGGGGGCCCTGCAAAGAGCTGGTTGATGCACAAAGCCCTACCATGTTGTATGGAGAAATTATGAGAATTTTTTGCTTGCACCCATTCATTTTGTAGGCTTTTTGCAAGACTCCGCGGTTTATAGCTACAAATAGCGGGGTCTGACCCCTTGGAGTGAATTTCAAAGGGGATATTCAGTTACATTGAATTTTAAATATAATATATCGTCTATAAAATTAATATATATATATATGTAATATGGAGGTTTTCATGGGAAAATCATCCAACTAAATGGGGGATTTCCCATTGCTATGTTTGATGATCAGAGGGTACTATGGGTGTTAGAAATAAGTGTCATAGAGCCATAGAGTGATTACGATAGACTGGTTGTGAGTTTCAGGAATCTCTTGGTTCCTCCGTTCCTCGTCTGTTTCGTTATCTTTCTGTCACCGCCAAGGGTTTGCCATCCTGGTTTGATGAATCTGAAAGTTGGGTGGAACCTGGCGAACCTGGATGTGCAAGGAGGATTTAAGAGGATGAATCCGTCAATGGGGAAGGGAACAGGGGCTGAGGACTTGTATGACAACGCATTGTGGTGCTGATTGCGCCCAACGCTCTCTGGCGCTTGTGCTACTTGGAATGTGAACTATTCCAGACTGCGGGGGCAGTCTGTTGGGGACATTTTGAGCACATGTCGGTGATGTGTGGGAAGTTGATACCACCGTCATGAATTAGCACATCAGAGAAACATAGAGAAGCGTGGACCACCTACCACTGACTGCTTAGGTCATGCAACAAGTATTGTGACGAGGCTGGAAAGTGCAGACATTGGAAGCTGACACTGTAATTATAGCCGAACCAAATTTTCCCTGGTTGAGTGTCGATTAAAAATCCTCGCTTCATCACAGGAATTGTCTTCAGTATTCAGCGGTGTGTGGTGTGTCGATCTCACAAGCAGATATAAGGCGCTAGTACTGTCGGCACTGTACCCTTTGAGCACTGTGACCTGCGTAAGGCAAGCAGCATGTAGTTTGAAGCCGTGATGAATTCTGTTTGATCTCAGTGACAGCCATAGATGGCTTGCGCTGATGCCACTCCCGGAGCTGTTTTTGACGGGCCGAGATCTGGGACACTGGAGAAGTGGTAGCAGTATGCTAGCCATTGGAAGCAGCACCGGGTTTCACATGTCACTACTGTAACATGCTCTGGTATAGTCTTGCACCTCAGATAGTTATATAATGTTATATATTTAAAATGATATACAACCATTTGTAGATGTTTTCTTTGCCAATAAATCTCCAAGCCGCAGATCTTACAAGTGAACCATGGTTCTTGATGTTCTTGGCTCCACAGTAATAGTTCATTTGGATTCCAGACGAGAATCCTCTGGAGCGAAAAAGAAAATGGTGGCCATTCAGGGCTCTGCGTCGACGAGCTGTGTTCCAATTGGTTCATCCGAAGCCGCATGCTTTGTGGGCAAGAACTCAGAGACATTGAACGCTAGAATCAAATGATGAGCTAAAGCCAGTAACATGTACTGTCAAAATCGGCAGCATGTAAAATTCAATGCATAATGAAACTGAAAGGAGTCTATCTTGCTGTAGAATGGAGATCATGCTGTAGAGAGGCTTGTCCTTGGCCAAAGATGCTACAGCTCGTCCTTATTCAAAGCTTTTGTTGGACTTGTTCGCGACTTCTCCAAGCAAAAAACACAGCACCACACGGCCTGCGCTCAAGCAATGAGACGACGAAAAATTGCAGAAGCATTGTCCATCCTAGGCTGCAGCGCCTGCATCCTGATTGCTGTTGTGGGGATTGCTGTGGCCCCAACCTCTGGACCCCTTGATATTCATACCTCCTCAGCCTGCCATCCTTCTCCATCAAATGTATGTTGGGAGCTCACCACAGCTGTTGTGCCCGCTTGCAGTTGTTGGCATTATTTGGTGCGCAAAGCAGGCACGAGTGTGGTGTGGCAATACATGTTGGGGGTTTATGAAGCATAGCAATTCTTGTCGTGTCTGTGGGTCCGCATTTCGTGCCAAGATGCTTGACTACTCAATTCCAAAATACATTTAGGAGGACACAGAGATGCGCTTTGGATGACACGAAGAACTGATGTTTGACAACGACCGAACAAACAGTAAGACACTGCCAACGAACCCGCTAATGCCCACAACAGTCGAAGAGCGGGACACTATCCATGCATAACTCTGCAGTCAAGAGAGCCTTTGATGTTGTTGAGGATGGTCCCAGCTTCAGTGCTCCCGTGTTGGTGTGGGCACCCAGTGAAATGTGTTGCCATCTTGAGTTCTCATCATCAGTTGGTCCCTTCTGCCGAACTATCCAGTTTGGATGGGATTGCTCGCAGTTTCACAGGCTGTCAACACATCATGCTCAAGTCTTGAATTGTTCAGGTCAATTTTGTGTAGCTTTTTCCTCCGCAGGCTTTTTTTTTGCCCCATATTGTGACAGCTATTTGTGGCCAAAAGAACCGAGAAACTCGGTCAGCCATGGCAGCTTTGAGCACTCACGAAGCAGCGCTGCCTGTGGGGCCCGGGCCTGCAGAACACGGGCCTCATGGACATGGAACGCAGCCACATTCAGAAGGTCAACTTGATGGGGTGTGGCTCAATGCTGATTGCCCTTGGGAATACTACACAGTTTCTTGTCGCAAGATGCTCAATGGATCTCAAGGTATCACAGAACTGTTGATGTGGGAGGATTTGGGGGAAATCGTTTCAGTTGAACTGAGATGATTTCACATGAAGCCCCAGGAAGTCCCAGGCTTAACTTGCTAAAGAGAGGATGCTCCAAAGCAACACAAACACAGGTTTCTGGTAGTGCCTGCAATTGATGGATGCCACCGGGTTAAAATGGCCCTGAAAAACTCATTCCGCAATATACAGTCGATGGTTCGTTTTTGTATGTCAGGGGTCCAGGGTGCCGTGATGAAAACAGTTTCCCCACATAAACACCACTTCAAACCTCCATAAAACAGAGAAATTCCACCATTCCCCCATATATATCCATTGGGAATCCATCTATCAACAGTTATGGAGGTGTTCCACATTGTTCCGCCATTTAAAGCCTCCATATATAAATGATTGAAACCTCCCTATAGCGAGGTGAGTGGGCAGCGAGTGAGAAGAACCAATGCCCAGGGCAGTAGTGACTTGGCGAAGAGGGGGTACCGAAGCAATCAATACATGTGGTTTGATTATAGCCAAATTGATGGTTGACTATGCTGGAAAAAATCATAGAAAATATGGTTTAATCTGGTTGCATCATACATATACTATTCAGAAATAGTTAATGGCAATGGGTTTTTAGATGCTATTTGGGAGTCATTTTTGAACCATAGTCCCAGTTTCGTCCCAGTTTCTTGCGGGATTTCCACATCCTGGCTGAATCACCGGTGCAGGTGGCCGAATCCTGGCAGGTCCCGTGTAGGATTCACAGAACTGGACTTGTCGAAATAGGACGCTGGTTTTTGACCTGGCGTGTTACATAGGGTTTGACGAGGATGGCTCAAAAAGGGTGAAGAAATGTAAAAAAAAATATATAAACATATATAAGTATATATATATATATAAGTTACTTAGTTGTACTTATTAATATAACAATTTGACTTGTGAAAGGATCAAGGAGTTGATAGTGATAGTGATTGTACGTGCTATCAACGTAAGTTTTGGAGTTGATATTTGAGCCATGCCGCCATGCCCAAATGTGACATGTGATTAGTGTGTAAGTGCTTGTGGTGACGTGAGATGTGTCTTCTATCGTGTCATCAAAAGTTTCACCAGGTTCCGGACTCAGTGAATTATGTCAGAGCCTTTTTGAAGGGAAACATCTACAGAAAAACCCAATATATGGCAAAACATCCTGGAAAAGAGGTGGTTTCCGGTAGATTTTCCCTTCAGCCACTCCATTGAATTATTACGTATAACCAAGAAGTATCCTGTTGTGAGTCTGCTGGCAACGCTTGCAGGATTCAACCCCACCCTTTGACTACTTGCCTGGCTTCCAATCATGGGTTTTTGCGGCACCACTCTGATGACCTAGCAACAAAGCTACAGTCTCTAAGACTGGCGACTGGCAAAGGCCGAATTGAATCGATTGACTTTTTCCAACCAGCAACTTTGCTGCTAGGACCACATCATCTTGTGTCATCTCTTGGTCTCGTGTCGAGCCAAGGAGAGTTCAGTATCCATTGGAACCCAGCAAGGCTGTCATGGCAATGGGGCAGGCATGGTCGTCTTACGATGCAGTGGCTTGGGATTGACTCCATCGCATGGGTGCCAGATATGTGCCTCAGCTGCCAAGGCATTCCAAGCCCCATAGTTCTTGGCAATGTTCATCAATTTTTATCAATTTTCAATCATCATTAATTATTCCATATCATTCCATTTTGGGCTATCATAACTTATAGCTCACGACCTCCATGGGGAAAGGACCTCCTGGAAGGGCCATGATGGGCCATGGCTCCCAGGTCATTTGAACACAGCCGTGTTTGGCGTTGGCGGCGCGTGTGCGAGCACAGCCGTCATGCTCGCCGTGAACATCGAAGCCGCAGCCGGAGCAGGAACTGGCGATGCTATCGACGAGCCAGGCGGGCGCCAGGAATCCAAGATATCCAAGGAACATCAAGGAACCGTTATATATGAAGATTATGAGGCGCCTGAAAGGAAAAGATGAAGAAAGATTGGCGAGTTACTTGGAATTGCCCCTCTCAAGGGTGCGAAACTTGTGATAGTCACAGTTTGGGACGGGAAATAGATGGAAAATGATGAAAACACATGTGTGATTGCAGTGTGTTCTGGCTAAGGAAGTATGGAGCTGGCCAGTGGGAAATCGGCGAGTCTATGGGGAACTCACTGAAAAACTGCCACGTCAGAAATCCAAAGTGTTGGATTTCTGACGCCTTTTCTGGTCCTCCAGCATGTTCTGGGTACCTAGGTGTACTCAGGCCTTCAAAGAGAACTCCCCATGAATTGCTGGAAGATGACTGAAAGTGGCGGTTAGGTGCTTCCCAAGGGCAGAAAACACCTCCGAACGCAGTAGCAAAGCATAGCTTAAGGCATAGCCAGTTTGCACAGCTGAATGTCACTTTGTCAAACCAGGAGTGAAGCACCACTACCTTGTGGCCTCACTCATCGCGAAGTCTACAGCTTGCTCTCCCGTGAAATCACTCCAGAGGCGGGTTTGCTTTGGGTTCAAAAGAATATTTTGATTCAAGCATCGTTTCTTAGATCAGTGTTAAATAATGTTCATATTCATCATTGTTTACATGTCCTAATATATCTTATATTTGAAGAGATGCCCCCCCGATTGTTGCCGTCATTGTTTCTTGTTCGTACTTGTGTTGTTTTGGTCATTTTGGACTCATAAGTCAAAAGAGAGGAGTTGGATGGAGTTGGATGGAGTTGGATGGAGTTGGATGGAGTTGGATATGTTGGATTTTAATGGTTCAACTGAGTTCAACTATTGTCGCTTTCGTCAGGGTTTTGTGCGCAGGACTACGAGATGTTGTTGCGACTTGATGAAACGGTTCCGAAGAAGGGAAAGGCCACAGAGGAAGAGACCAGTGAAGCCCTTCATCCTGTCTCTTGTGGTGAGTTCATGGGAAAACAGTGTCCAATATGCCTGACACGCTATGAAAAGACGGATGATGTATCTGCATTGCCATGCAGCCATGAGTTCCACAGGGAATGTATTTGCACATGGCTCTCCAACTATCGAAAGACTTGTCCCCTGTGCTGTACTGAACTTGAAAGTAACGCATGATGCTTAAGCACATGCAACTGCATGATGCACTAAGCCCCGATCTTTCTTCACGATCTTTGCAACAATTCATTTTGAGCCAAGTTCGGTGGCCTGATTTTTGGTGTTGGGGACAAAGAATCTTGCGGCTTTGTCCCCATCACACCCTGATTTTCTGGTCACTAAGAGGGTTGTACAGTGAAAGATTGAAACAAGCCTTGGCCGCGAGCTTTGACACTGACCGGCCGTGGATACCACTGTGAACCCTTACAGGCGGCTGTTCCAGTTGCAACGCATGTACATAGTTGAGCAGTAGTAAAGAAAAACAAAATCAAAGATTATCGTTTGATTCCCTGTGGGAGTTGTCACAATGGAACATCATGGAAAACATGGACAGTCACGAAGAAGCATGGACAATCATAGAAATATATAAAATCAAAATCCCGGTCAACTAGAAGTGAATGGCACGTAATGGCACTTGATGGTTTTCACCACTGCTCTGTTGTTTTTGTCTGGGTGCGGCTCTATTGCCACATCCTGTTGCTTGCCAATCCAGGGCCCATACGTTGTGAAGGTGCCAATGCACCTTCTTTGCTTGGTCATGACATCTGTATGGGCGATGCCAAACTGGAAGCACTGCTGGTGACTATGAACAGGTGAGAGGGGCTGGTTTAAAGTAAGCGATTCCGCAAGGAAGACTTTGCATGACAAGGGTGCCCAGAGACGAAAAACAGCGGCCGGGGAACTGGAGGAAAGACATGCAAGGACTGCACACTGGACGTGGAGTCCATTTACAATCACAATCCACAGATAGCCAGAACAGTTTGCCGTGTATCACTTCATGCAAGTTTGTCCTAAAATGATCAACAATGCACTGTACCCCCCCAAAAAGGATGAATCATGATATACCACGATAAACCATGGGACTACAGGAGTTTTAGGAGTTGCCCATTTTTGGACAAGCACCATGTCATTTTCTGCATATCTCAGGTCCAATCTGCACCTGAGGTGGCGTCAAAAGCTCAGTCTGACGACCCACCTCACTTGTTCGACAGTTTTATGAATGATTAACATCGATTAAGGCATCGGGTAAGGCATCGATTAAGGCCAACTTTTTCCAGGTCACCTCTCGATTCCTTCCATCTTCAAAGTAAAAGGCCCATCGCGGTTGAGGCCCATCTCGCACAAGTCCAAGTACGCAGGTTCCAGCTGTGCAGATGCGTACCTCTGATGATTGAGGGACTTAAAAGATTTTAACGTGGTTTATTGCCGGTGATAATATATTGTAGCCCCATCAGGGATAGCAATCTACCAAAAAATACGAACAAATACAACACATTTAGCTTCCCCAACGGGGCACTCCCGTGCTGTGCTGCAGGTGTCACTTGGCATCCCCGATTGCTGAGATGGCAGGCACAGTTCTGCAAACACCCTATCGAGCCTATCCCCCAAGAAAATTATAGTTGTTTCTAGATCCTATATATTATAAATCCCCATTAAATTCCATGAGCAAATCCTATTGTTGATGAGTAATCAATGGTTAAGGACTAACGTCTCCAGCCCTTTTCGCAAACTGCTGAGCAAGAGATGCTGCCAATGCTGCAGGTTCACGTCCGAGATCCAGACATGGAGGCGCCTTGGCAGCCGGAGGAGCCATTGCTTTTAGCTCCGGAAAATAAATTGGTCAGATATGCCAGATACGCTCAGATGTTTAGACTTTGTCTGTTTCATTCGATATATGAGACTTCCAACAGTTGAAGTATTCATTTGATATGTGATACTTGACCATTCGAATCCATTTCATGAGGATTGTATCTCTTACCCATAGGATCCATGGTGCTGCCATATATGGTAACATGGATCCCATCAATATACCCCCAATGTTAGCATATATACCATACATGGATACTATGGGTTGAAGATCTCGTTCTGTTTCCTCGTTCGGTAACTCGTTCTGCCGCGCCTTGGAGCGGCGTAGGCATTGTTGAGCTTAGGGCTCTTCTACGCTGAGAGAGATGCTGCCCAGGTGCCTGGGGCAATATTTGCTATATAATGTGCCTAGACTTTTCAGAAAAGTCTAGAAATGTCTAGAAGATCTATGAGATTCTATGAGTCTGTCTATCTATCCAGCTATCTATCCATTGGGGTTTTGTCCAATCAAGAGCTCACTACTGTGTTTCACAGCATTGTCATCAATTTCACAGATGTTGTCATCGTTTTACAGAAGTTGTCATCGTTTTACAGAAGTTGTCATCCTTTCACAGAAGTTGTCATTGGTTTCGCAGAAGAAAGATGTAATCGTTTCATATCGTTTCACAAGCTCCCTAGTAGTGTTTGTGCTCAACCTCTTCGGAATGGACTGCCTCTGAATGGCGAAGTCTTAGTCAAACTATACATACGTAACTATACCGACATATTCATGTACCATAATATAACTGACTTAAAATATACCTTCATGTTTGCCATTTATACATTACATCTTGTGACATATTTTGAGCGTTGAGGTTCTCCGACCATTTTCACAGCACGTGCATGTTCAACACCTGCTGTGTCTTCGGGGGAAAAAAAACTAAATAATACCAACTCTCAGACTTAAGTGCAATATTGGAAATATCCCCAAACCTTGCTAGAAGTTGTTTTTGGTCAGCGTCACATGGCGCAAAACAACCCTCCACTCCCCCCCAGTCTCCACGCTTGAGTGTCGCAGCAGGCCTACGACTGCGCAATGATGGTACTTGAGGCCGCTGCTTGAGGACATCTGGATGCAATCTATCCATCGGCAGGCTGCTTTAAAAAGCCTGCCATGATCAAAAAGCCCTTTAAAAATTGATCATGCATTTCATGAAGTTAAGGATGTGAACATCAATTTGTTGTTGCTCCATGGTAGCCATGGCTTGTACATGCAGAATAGTTGCAGCACCAGGGTGAAGATGCGGCTGTTAACTTCCCAGTGAGAAAGTATTCAAGGACTGAGATAGTCGGAGCCTCAGCTGACGGCCACTCCATCACCCCCAGATGGGGTTACACAACTGGCCTTCAAGGCCACTGTGGAGCGCTCTATGTTCGACGATTGGGCACCTCGTCCTTCTGCAAGGCGATTCGTGGAGCGGTGGATTTCAATGGTGCTGGTGGTGCTGGTCTTCCAGTTGTGCCAGGTTTCTTGGTGTCTACAAGACCCGAAATAGCAAGATGTGGAGGGCGGAGATCGAGGCACCGGCACCGATCTGGTGTTGTGTGAATGCCGACTAGTGCCAGTTGATTCCCAATCATTGCTGGTCATGCCATATGAGGAAATTTAAAAAAACCCGTCAATTAGATTTAGTATTGCAGGTTGCCTTTTTGTACCGGGTATAGTCGATTCACCGTAAAACGATAAGGAAGAAAAAAAACGATAACGCTAAGTATTATATATACATATATATACATGCATGTGTGTATACATATATATACCTGGTGAATCTTTAACCTACTTTTTTTTGGGTTGAAATCTGAAAACCTGGTATTAAACGTAATCATACATAAAACCTGTTTTTTTTTTAAAAAACATGGTTTTTTACATATAGCCTAAAATAGAGAGGTTTTCAGATTTCAGATCTATTCTATGTTGGGTATGATGTATGATAATGATATTTGCTACTGGGTTGAGATTGGTTTATATGTGAAGAATGGTCATGCATTCCTTCTTTTGTGGGTTCTCATTCCATTCATCTTCGGTATGTTTGATTTCTGCCCACGGGTCGAGGGCCACAAGAGCCAATCAATAGCATTCCATCATGCATATCTTTGCAGATCAGATATGATAATGATGATAGGTATATACAACGATCATTCTAAGATTCTAGAAACAGAGGTACCATGACCATCAACTCTTCAAATCAAGTTGGACTAAGGAATCTCAACTACCCAATGGATTCTGATATCAAATACAAAGGTTCCAACATGTTCAATTGTGTATTCTTAGATCGTCATCATGTCATATATCCAAACCCCAGTCCATGGTTCCATCGCCTCACCCCGCCGCCCATCGGTGGAATGGGAAAGACTACAAAAGATCCAAAGATGCCGGGGCCCACAGCCTGCCCTTTTTTTCGCCCGGGCAAGTGATCTGCACATGGTTGGGAGGGCCCAATGGCCACACAACCTTGGTTAACAAAATGATGTTTTTGTAAAATCCAGGATCGGTGATGTAAAAATAAAGGGATAGTCATCATATGATTGTATAATAGACTACTGGGTGATTCATGGAACTTCAATTAATAAGCATTTTGGGGGAATCAATTCAATTTGCATGGCTGGCTAAAGCTTGAATATGCAAATGGTTTTGGGTATTTGATCATTCATTCTGGGTGGGCTTCCATGGCGATGATTTACAACATCATCCCAGAGCTATTTTGGCTCTCGACTCTACAGTGTGCTGCTATCAAGCCATTTGGTGATCAACCAGCCATGAAAGTGTCTGGTCTTAGCATCATTTGGGAATCCAATGAGATCATCAGAGACCGCATCCGCAAAGATCGTAAGCTTTGCCTCCATCCAGCTACCCAAAGATACTGCGAACCTTCAAGGCCTAATGCTGTTACCAATGCCCAGGTCTTGTTTCCAGCTCTGCAAAAATTGAAGGACACCCCGCAGTGGAAGTTGCCGCATCTCGAGCCCATTCAGGAGGAAATCACCAAGTTGTTTGAAAAGGTTGCTGCCCCTGTTGAAGACCAATACATCTACACTGCTAGCGTGGAGGTGAAAAGGTTGTTGGGTTTCATCAAACGTCGGGCTTCACGCAAAGAAGTCACCAAGGACTGGACAAAATCATTCGTTGTAAAAAAACAGTTGGAATTATTGGTTCCCAAAGTCATCCATTGTTCATTCCAATGTGCTTAGATCAATGATGGTGTAAGAGTACGGTTTTAAACTGCAACCCAGAATTTACTTGGTATCGTCTATCAGGTGGCATACTTCAAAGTATCCAAAGATGTTGACAGCATATTTCAAAATAGTTTTTATTGCTCAAAGCCTTTGGAACCATGGACCCGCATCATCAATCCCCAATCATATCATATCTCCAATCCCCTTCCAGGATCGCAAATTCCATGAGCTCCTTTTGACCCTTGATCCATCACTGAAGGACTGTTGGGGCATGGTTTCAAAATATCTAGCGGATAATTCTTTCAAATGGTTTTCACCAAATATGTTTTCCCTCAAACGGGCTCGCCGCTTGTCATACCATAACCCCTCAGGACTACATTGACAAGTACATGACCGGTGACAGCGCTTCAAGCGTTGATCATGCTGATGATGTCGAGGATGATGATGGTGAAGCCAAGGAAGATTTTGATGATTTCAAGCGTTGGCTTGACAACCGTGGTGAGTGTGCTTCCAAGGGCAATGATGCTGAGAAGGTGGTGGCTGCTCCTCCTCCCCCTAGTGAACCCAAACGTGAAGTTTGCAAGGTGAACTGGATCTGTGAGCTTTGCAAGAGTGACGCCACAAAGTGTCACTAGCCGACAGTTAGTTATACTTATTTTTGGAACTTCAGTTTGAACAACGGGCAACTCCCCATCACATGCTGCTGTGGTTCTCAATCTTTGGTTTTGGGTCTTCATCTTATTCCACCATAGTTTTGGGACATTGTATCAATGAAGTACCCCAAACAAAAATTGAATGATACACCTTTTCAGTCCACAGCCCGTCGGCCATTTGCCAAGAGGCAATTGCAAAGCCGTCCTTGCGGAGCTCAAGGAGAAGATCGCAAAGCGGAAGGAAGAACTCCGGTTCCTTGGATCACAGGTTGCTAACCCCTTTGGATCAATTTTTACACTGGCTTTGTTGTGGGGTTTGCTGGAGCCAGGTGGTAAAGCTTAGGAAAGGTCAATGAAAACTTGGTTTGGGTGAAGTATAGGAGAATCTGGATCCAATATGTTGATATTGTTTGATATTAATCAAGTAACGAAACAATGTTGCTTGCCATCATGCTTTTGTTAAAACCCTTGACTTCAACATCTAGAGCTTGGATGAAGGGGCCTCCCATCTTGAGGCTGAAGTCCCAGCAGTCAGCTGCGACATCAGAGGGTGAGCCGGATTCAGTGGATGTCAGCCAACAGCCTTTGTCACGAGGCTATGGTATTTCCACATGTGGTTGAATCTCCAAGATTGTAGCCAAAGCGGTTTCCTTATGTTAATATTTTATTTAGTCATCAATGGTTTCCAAATACCCCATTCAACTCACAGCTTCACAGGTGGTAGCGGAAGCCATTTGGACAACATGGATACCCTACCTTTGGTGGAAGGTAGCATGCCAGCGCCTTCTCCCCACATGGATGTGACTGATGATGCAGCTGATGAGATTCCACCTACTCAGCCCCGGGAACCGTTCATGCTTGCCAAGCCAGCCCGTGTTCCTGCTAAGCCTGATGATGAATCCAATTCTTCACCGCCTCAGGCGATCTATTAGTAGTAGTAGTGTCCAAAATAACAAGTAACCAAAAAACAAAGGCCCCAAACAAAATGCATACTTATATAGATGGTGTTGGGCTTCAAGGTACTCATGCATTTTTACAACCACAATCGTTTAGAATTCTAGCGCCATCGATGATCTATTGTTTAAGAAATTGAATACCATCACCTTCCACATCACTTGCTAAACTGGTGCCATTCCTTGTGCCACAGGTCTTGACCCGTCGTGACCAGCTCGCCGCGAAGAAGAACAAGATTGAGGCAGAGGGTGACCAGAACATGGAAGAGGGTGATGGTGAGGATGAGGGGGAGGAAGAGGGGGCCGTGCCAGTGCTGAAGAGGCCAGCAAGCAAGCGTCAGGCTGCTGCCTCGAAGGCCGCGTCCAAGCCCAGGGCAAAGGCTGCTGGAAAGGCCAAGGCCAAGGCTTCCCCCAAAGCCAAGGCCAAAGCAAAGGCGAAAGCTACCCCCAAGAGGAGAGCAAGGAGATCAAAGAAGGATGAGGAGGTGGAAAATGGGAATGGGGAGGACGCACCCAAGACTCCAGAGGTGAAGGAGCTTGTGGATGAAGAGGGTGATGTAATCCCACAGTCCCCAAAGGATGTCAAGGATGCCAATGTGGAGCCTAAGAAGGCACCTCGGAAGAAGAGAGCTTGCAAACCTGCTGATGGTGAGGAGCCTGCTGATGCTGCCGAGTGTCCAAAGTCAGCGCCGAAGAAGCGTGCAAAGAAATCCAAGAAGGATGCAGTTCCTCAGCATGCCACGGTGCAAGAGCTGCTGGATGACTCTGTGAAAGGAGTGGTCTTGAAAGCCCTCAAGGAGAGCAAGTCTTTGACCGTGGAGGACCTTAAGACCTACCTGAACAGCAACAAAGATTCCATGAAGTCTCAGAAGGTTGCTTTGAACACCTACTGGAGCAAAACCAGCTCCGCTGTTCGCATGCTTCAGGAGCCTGGGAAGCCTGAATCTTCGCGCTTCTCTTTCAAAACTGGGACATGGAACACCCGTATGTGTGCAGCCTTCATGTGTTCGTCTTTGATGGTTCCCAAGCTTTGCTTTAGTAAGATTGATTTATTTGATTTGTTTTTGGTACTTTCCTTGGGTTTCCTATACCCCACATTGGTCCTTCAATATTAAGTTGATTTAGAGCTGGAATACTTAAACCCTGCAGCGTGAGTAAAGCACCCCGTCACAAATGATATCAAACATTATCAAACCATGTTTGGTTTAGCCCTCAGTCTTATCGTCCTTCGTTCATGGCCCTAGGCATCTTGGATGGAAACCCAGAACGATGACATTCTGGCAGACCGTGGGCCCAATTCCATCTTCAAGAAGGAGGAATCCAAATTCAGGCTGAATGCCAGCCGTGCTGTGGAGGAGTTCACTTCTTCCGCTAAGTGAGATGTTTCACATGGTTTGCCCAGAGTGCTTTAGACTCTGCACTAGCTTGGTTGGATATACCAATTTGGAGCATGAATAACTCATGCATGAACATACCTGTTTTTAATCAACAAATTCCTAAAGTTCAGCGGCATGGTGTACCCCTTGTTTTTCAATTTCAACCTCATATTTTCTATGTTGAGATCTATTGCAACTTGATTAGGGTACCTCTAATGTCTGTCGCCCTTTCCCACGGCTAGTGCAGACCAGTGCTCAGGCATAGGCATCATCCCACCAAGATTTTGATCCTGCGGTGGATCGCTGGGGGTGATTGAATTGACGGTTTCCCACGATCATCCATTCGCTTGTGGGCCAATCAATCCAGGTTAGCGACCTCCCATGAACATTTCTCAAGCACTTGTGGGGAGAACCTCACCCAAGCTGGAAAATGAACATCTGGTACCATCAGGTGGAGGGTGGCGGTGACCTCACCTCATATTTTGAATTTGGTTTATTTTTGAGGGTGTAAGGAGCCAGCATGATGAGCCTAATGGTTGGAAACCCAGGTATCAAAACAAAGATAATTATCCTTTGCTTACTGCAATCAATATGGATAATGGTATGGGCATGGTATGTGTGAAACAAGATAGATGCAATCGTCCATTCTACACAACACCCACCGACACCTGAACATGTTTAACCACCAGCTTCCAGTATTCATGGCCACGTGTGATCCAGAATCCAAACTTATTATATAGTTTGATAAATGTAAGGGTTGAACAATGTTATCTAGGGTTTCCATTAGAAATGGTCCCTTTTCATCCAGCCCCAGGGTCGCTCATCTTAATAGTGACCCATCCATCTCCTGCTCAGGTCAAAGTGTGAAAGGATGAAATGCCCAAGCCGCGGAAAGCCCAGAAATGGGCTATCAAGCGGGGCCTGGACAACAAGCCCCGTGAGGCTGACATGTTTGGTTGAGTGATGCCTGTTTGGGATGGTCTTTACATATATGGTATATAGATACTATATAAACCTATGGTATATGAACCTTTCTTTATATCTGAACATTGGGGTCAGCGAATTTTACATGTATGCCATCCCAGCTCACGTGATTCATTCAAATAGTCGCCATTTCATGCGTAATCTATTTAGATCTACAGATTTTGAACCAATTACCAGGATGAATAGGTTCAGCATCAAAACGTTTTCGAGTGGCATCAAAACATGTTCATAATTCCAAAAGATTGATGACCTGAACATGGTCAGATGCTACCTCCATCAGCCCATGCAAAGCTCAATGCCCGAAACTAGCAGTCTATAAACATTAGCGACAATGTTGATTAAGATCCTGCACCAATAAATCATCAGGCTGTAGGTATCCAAAAACAAATCCATGAATTCCTGGTCAGAATTAAAGTGCCATTACAGGATATGTGATATGACCTATTGATATGATAAAACATACCGAATAGCAAACCATCATTAAATCGCAACTGGTTGATCATATGGTATCATTAATCATCAACACCGGGTACTGCAAACATGAAAGTAATTTTGCCTTTTGGGCAGAGTTTTGGTGAGTGCGTGATCCCTTGCAGAGCCATGGAACGATCGAAGCAATTTGTTGATGCACTGCTTTGGCGTCTCAAGGCAATTGGGGCCCCAAAGGCAACTAGAATGCATAGATTGCATCCTGAATGTTGAAAGAATTTGTGAACCATAAGTAAACAAGTCCAACGGCTCCTCAGTCAGTCAAGTGGATTGGATCCCGGTAGTTTATGGCAAATCAATCCATGACTATAAATCTATAGTCACATGTGGGTTTCATGCTTGAGATGTGACGAAGTTATGCTATGCATGTGGAATACATGAATATTAGCAAGGCTATAGTAGATCTGCATAATTATGTATGGTACATATAGCCTGCTGCCCAAGGTAATGCTCTTGGCCGTCCTCTTGGTCATTTGGTCGGAGAAGGATTTCCACGCTCGTGCAGACATCCAGGACTGCTGGTGCGCACGTGTGCCTCATGGGACGGTTGGTTTTTGGTGTTTTAATCATTTTTTTCTTGGGTATATGCTTTCATCATATGACTGGATGGCCTCTAAAACCAAATATTGTTTGAGATATTGTATGGATCTCTTTGGTGATGAAACATCCATGAAAGGACCCTCAGCCATTCCAGTGGATTGAATTCTTTGCTGGACAAGCAGAGGCAACAAAGATGTTTAAACAACGAGGGTACCAAACTGGCCGACTTGATATCAACTACATGGAGGCCAAAGACAATTGCATGAACCCCATGGATCTTTTGAGTGATGCTGGATTTGGGTTTTTGGGATGCATACTAAACAAACGTTCCTATGTTGTTTGGTGAAATGGTTTGAGCAATCTGAAAAATATTTGTTCTTAAACATCATCTAAATCATTTGATGTGGCTATTGGTGCTTCATCTTAGGCTTGCAATTGCCACTATCCTTCTGGGTGACTACGTGAATGGCTGGGTGTGCCATTTTGGACTGAAATGCTCGACTTTTAGTACCATGAACTGTGGAACATCGGGACGTACACCATGCACACCGTACGGAAACTTCCAGTACACCAGCGTGTTGGAAGGGAACGAGCTAGCATCACGGATACTTGCTGATTGTTTTGACCCATCATGTTCTTTATGTTTCCAGGGTTTTGAACCAGGGTTCCGTAGCTAGTTTGTTTATACAACGAATTTGGTTTTATCTCAATCAGTTGAATCCAAGGGTGATCCTTTTGATGATGCTGGCGGTATGCATGAATGCTACCATATTGCTGGAGCAGCCAGCAAATACATTGCTGGAGTATTACCCACGTCTCCGTGACTTCATGGAAATGCTGCGTCACATTGGAGGTCCCCACTGCGTGCCTTGATTCCAAACATTTTGAAACCAAGAGACATCGAACCATAGCGAGTCATCATCCGGCAGTGCAATCTAAATGCCCATGTTCCACATACCTTGGAGGCATCAAGACATTTGAGGTCTGAGGTTAATGTTTTCCTTTCATAGTCTTACCAACTCGTACAATACTTGATGGCATCTTAGGTGCACCGAATCGAATGGTGGATGGCCATGTACGGAGGCCCTACACCCAAACGCCATTGCGCCTATTCAAACAGCCCAGGCATAGCTAAACTGTACTTGGGAAAGCTAGAGGGGTGGGCCAAAAAAGTCCAAGCTGAAGACCAAGCTGGGGTTGAACGAATCAAAACCGTGACCAAGTACGTGGACAGTCAAGGAAAGGTTCGTTACAAAGGAGCTGAAGGTCTCAAACCAAGTGAGTCAGAAACCCAGTTGTTACAAAACAAGATACATAGCATGTCAAACCTGGAACTTGTTTTCCTAGTTTCAAGTAGATTTTTCTACCTGTCCCAGCTCTCTCCTGAGGAACTATCCTGAAGCCTTTGGGAAGAAGTTGGTCGATATCTACCAAGCCCTCATCACCACCAAGCGTGGGATGCCGGAGTTACCTGAAAGGGTGCCATCTGGGGTTGAAACATTCACCCACATGAGTTTTGAGGACCCCTGGCAAGATGCCGATGTGGTCAGTTGTATCCACTTTTTACGGGGTGGTCGTAGCTTGTCCATTCCACAGGAGTGGCGGGATGCACTCCCTCAAAAATTGTAGTGTTTTTTCTGGAAACCCTTCAGATATTGGGGATCATAGATATGATTTGTTATGCTTCAAGGAGTTTGGATTGTAATCTATCAATGGGCTTCCCATTACTCATACTGTTTTTCTCGGATCCAAACAGGTCTCAAACATAGAGAAATTCAAAGATATTCCAAAATCACCATTTTCTACCCGTAGACCCCGTAGACCCCGTAACAAAAATAATAACCTGATAAATCTATTGTTTTACCAGGTTATTATTTTTTTCTACCCATAAAAAATTATGGGTAAACGTAGACCCGTAACCAACCCGTAATCTACCCATAATTCCCCGTAATCTACCCATAAAATTTTATGGGTAAAAACAAGAAAAACATAGGTTTTTTTCTATGTAAAAATGATCAATTTTTGAGAGGTTTTTGATGTGTCTGTTCGGCTTTTCATAGGTTCGATTTAGGAAAAAACAAGTTTGATGACACACGTTGGACTACCCGCTCCATTTCTATTGAAGGGTGGCCAAACCAATTAGAAATTACCACGTTGGCGGCTGACAGTCACAATCTACCAACGTGCTCTGGGATCCAAAAAAGTGAACTTACTTGGACGCAGTGGGATGAACCAATGTAAGTCTATGTCATCTTGCAAACATGTTCAGAAACAGTCTTGATATCGAGGGCTGAATGCTTCATCTGATTGGTTCATTGCTGCTAGCATTTGGCTTCAACATCTGGGCCCCATAGAACTGTTTAGGGTGTGGTTCTATAGGCTATGGCTTTCATGAGAGCTTCTACTGCGGCTTCCCTCCTAAGCCGTGCTTGGAGCACCAGTGAGATTGCTGATGGCCTTGGCCACATCATGACAGACGGGCGGCTGGAGATGATCGACAGCGCGGAACAACTTGAGGATAGCTATTCCTGAGTCGCAGTGTGGCCAAATACAAACTACATAATTTATTTATGTCGTGTATTACCATGGGCTATCATGTTCTAGTAGGTAAGTGTCATGTTGGGATGGCTTTTGGGTGTTCATGAATGATCACTTCTAACCCCGCTATAAAGGACTAAGTTTACTAAACATCGAGAAAACCATTTTTGCAGCGGTCCTCAATCAATCCTATTAATCAGCTTCTTTCAATCCCTTCCACTTCAGGAGCTTTCGAAGACCGTCGCTGATTTACAGGCCCGTCAGTCTGCGGATTGGGGCTCAGAACATGTCAGGTAGGAAGTCCAGCAAACACAAACGGATAAACTTGTACTCAACATCATTCAAGAATATCTACGCATTTTTCTGGCGATTGCAAGATCTCTGGTCATTTTTGGACTCACGCTAAGGATGAGTCATTGCGTGAACTGAAGATGCAAGTGGCTTATCCGTAAATTAGTTCCCCACCATCAGTTCTGGATGTTTGAACCGCTGCATTCAACCGATCTTGGAAACATCATTCAACTGTTCTTGAAGACATCATGAATCATGATAGAGCCTTCTATCCTATCGCCTGAGGCTTCCCCGCAATCGGCCCCAACTCCTTTGGGGAATTGTGGTGGTGGGGCACTGGTGGCAGATGCTGAGACTCTTCCTGCTACTGATAGCCAACTTGAGATGTCAAGCGGTAACAATTCAGTGGCCCCATCAAAATCCCCTTCGTCGCCCATTCCTTCAGTTAGCGGATGCCAATCGGAAAGTCGCAAAACTTCCCACTCTTCTGTCTACTGTCTTGATTAGTTGCTGGCTTTTGTTTTTTTGTATGTTCACTGGTGGGACCATAGATAAACTGATGTGTATGTATATCATAGGATCCTAATTTCCCAAAGTAGCAATCTATATCCACAAACTAGGCTTTGTATTCTCGGTGGTGTTTGGAAATCCCAATGGTAACCACCTTGTATCTCTACCCTAAAGGTTCAAGACAACTTGGTGAAGATGTTCCAGAACGGGCAAATCGATGCCATGACTGCTATGAAGATGCTGGCAGAATCGACTGCCAACAATGCACCCAAGACTCCTGTGGTTTCAGACTCATCACATGATCTTTCCAGAAAAAACAGCATTCAGGATCCATCAGTTGGTGAGAAACGCCCCCGTAGCGGTAGCTTGGAACCCACCGATGTTGACTCTGACTCGGACTTGGAAGGGGAAGATTTCAAACATATTGAACCTTGGGTTGAATATGTAGCATAAATGTTTGGTGTTTGGGGGTTTTGGGGTATCTTTGCGTTATGTCTTCAAAACTCGAATTTTAATGAGCCCATGCTGCCCTTAATTCATTCCGTTCTTGTTGGCAACACCATCCATTGACCAAGGATAAGAAAACCAGGAATGCATTGAAGGCTAAGTTGCGCAGACTATGTGAGCGCAAGAAGAACTCCAAACTTCAAGTCCCTGAGTGGTTGCATGAACAGTGGAAAGCCGGAAACCACATGTCCATGGCGCTGAACCTGCAGAAGGCCAATTTTAACAAGGATTATACACCACCGCATTTCCAAACCAAGCATCATTTGATCAAAGTAGTAGCTACTCCAGGTCCATCCAGCTTCCAATTCCAATCCTGCCAGGAGGAGTTCATCAAGCGATGCGAGATGACTACCACCGAGCTGGAGCGGGAGAAGAATGCGATCAGCTGTGGCTGGTACTCGAAAGAGGACATGAAGAGCCAGTTGAAATGGAACCCGATTCTTGGATAAGTATGTTTGCTTGCTAAAATTGCATTTCTTACACTGATGGGTTTCAATGCATCCATCGCTTCGAACCATTCCTCCATCAACCATCATTCCTTTATCTTGAAATGCTATCTTAGGAAAAAAATCGATGGGGCCATCAAGGTATGCATGCAGGATGAAGCCAATTTGGTGAGGCCGGGTGTCCTTTACTTACCAATAGTATTGCAATCATCAATCAAATGTTTTTGGTATTTGGTGTATTTAATCTTAAAGTGATTGATGTTGACAGGACCTGCAAGTATGGTGGTGAGCCCGAATATTGGGTGGAAATCCGAGAAAGTGGAGAAATCAACGAGGAGAAGGAAAAGAAAAAGCAACGTATCGAAATTGCTGAGGACTGAAGACTACTGGTATGTTTCAATATGATCGAAATGTTGTTGCAATGTAGCTTCAAGATTCACAATCCCAAACATATTATGTGTAAACTTTTTTTCGTTTTGACATCTCAGAATTTTACCATGACTAGCAATAAACTCATATTATGTTTCTTTAACGGTGTCTCTTCAGGACATTTGTTCTGCCCCGGTTGGAGACGTGAAGACTTCAAATCTCAACGCTATGGCAGTGCGTGGTAAAGCCGCTGCCAGTCTCGCTTGTGTTCAGAGCTCCGAGGCCATTAAATTAGTTTTTCAGTCAAACCAATAGTCAAAACAAAATCATGTATGAGTAAAAACATGTTTTCCGTAGAGTGCTCACACATGAATTCAACACACACTGCCATGAGGCATGCACACACACTACCACCTTGTTACTAAGCCATGCTCAGGCGATCCGTGGCAAGTCGGTGCTGAGCAAGTTCTGTGATAGCGTGCTGGCTAAGTCTGCGAAGATCCGCAGTCTTATCAGCGATTTGAAGAAACATTATGATGATGAGACAGCATCGAGGCCTTTTTGATAGATCGACCTATATGGCCTATATGTTCTTTTGGTGATAGGTTCAATGAACTCAGTGGTTCCCATACCCAGCCTCCATCTTCCTCATTATCCAGCCATGCAGGTCTGTGACTGCCCTGGAGGGTGATCTCGTCACCTTGGAGGAGAAGTTCAACGCTTGCTCTGAGCATTTGGCAGAGGGTGAAAGGGTTGACTTCAACAAAGAGTGACTAGCATGCAAGTAGTGTTCAAGTCCTTTACCATTCGGCATGTTAGAATGCAGGTGTGTTTTCTGATGATCACATTTTTCACCTTAGCCCCATGAATGTTCAAGAAAGGATCATGTGACAGTGTGGTAAGCCAACAATAGCATTAAAAAAACTTAACAGCTTGCCCCCGGCTTGCCCAGTTGGACGGCGAAATCCGAACAGCTCATGAAGGCTGCAACCTTTGAGTGCCTGTGGCTGAAAAAATTACACCTTTTCGTTTCATGGAGACTTCAAAAGGAATCCTTCTCTTACCCTGTTGCGATGCAACCATTGATCAGCTGCCACCCCCAAGCCCAAGACTGACACAACACTTGGTACCTATATGATCCTTTGCTTAATGCATTTCATCAATCAATTATGTAGATGGGCAGGGGAAAGACAAACTTCACCAGCTACACACCCACACACTGTCATCCCTCGTTTGGCCAAGGTGCACAAAGGTGGGGCAGAACGAGAGCAAGATTCGGCGTCTTCCTCGGCAGCATCAAGTGTCATAAGTCATGCCTGGTTTCCAGATTGAACCAAGTAGATGGAACTTGTATGACAATAATTTTGCAATTAATTGGATATCCTAGTTTCATAGGTGGCGGGGTTCATCACCTAGGAACGCTAAACGTCACTTCATGAAGAAGGACAAACCAGTGAAGGAGGAAACTCCTAACGCTTGAGTGAGCTTTTCTCATCTGTAGGATGTCATGATCGGTCATTGAACCAATCACTTGAGTGGTTCTTAGCCATTTGGTGGTGAGTGTGCTCTTAGGCGCAATCATCTTAGCTGGCCATGGGTTTTCTTCCATGCCCTGGATTGTCGATGTGCATTCGTCAATTGTTTCAATGCGTGCTTCTAGTCCAACTATCTTTGGTTTCTATCGTATCTCGATCATGGGTTCTGGTAGTTTAGGATTTATGATGTTTTGTTTCGTGGTGATGATGCATCATAGTACAAACTACCAGGGATACGTGGAAGCGGTCAAAGCCGATGAGCCTTGATCATCAATCAACTCTGGGGCACCTCGTTTGGGAAAAAAATGCACTCCAATGCAACCAGCTTTGATTCACAACAAATAACTTTGATATGGGTGTTTGAAAACCAGGGGGACACCAAGTTCCACTTCTACCCGGTGCCAGGCGCTGGGCCTACTGTGAAAGTCTTCGCTTCAAATGTTGGACAAGGAGTTCAACCCTCAGATGCTAGTAGCGGCTGTTGGCCGCTTGCTGGTAAAACTCTTGGTTGAACAAGCTGTCTTTCAAATCCGCTTGGCCTTTAGTAGCATATGTTTGCTCAAATGTGGTCTTCTGAGCCAGTCCATGTTGAGCATATCTGACTATGATGAAATCCAAAGGGTACATAGGCTAAACATGGTTATGCCTAAGTGCAAGTAATGCCACCAACATTCTTTACTGATAGGCTTTATGATGACTCAATGGGTTTTTTCGTCATCAAGGAAATAGTTATATAATAAAAGCTAGTCAGATATATCTTGCTAGCTACCTCACCCATCCCATGCAGACTGGGCTCGCAGTGCCTTCGCTTGATGGCAATGGCAGTGATGATGAGCTCATCGAATTGTTGACCTGCCACCGTCCAGTGATTTAGCTGAATCTAAGTTGGCCAGAATTGGTGTAATGACTTTTGAACTATCACCAACCTAGTTTTGAATATGTTTTCTTTGACTGTTGACAGGCGTCATTGGGGCCCTACGCCTGGCAAAGAATTCCAAGAGAACCAGTTGAAGCCAGGATCCATCAAACCATTCGACATGTCGATTCCATTGGCGGTCAAAACTTGGATTTGAAACAAAGAAGCCGTAGTCCACCCCAATCACGTGGTACTTCCTTGGATGCTAAGTTTCGACATTTCCTGGATGAACACCTTTTGAGCTTGAGTCGAACAGCTGATGTTTTTCAACGAATTGGTGAAGAGAAACATATGGTGTGCAAACTTCCAAAACCTGGTCAAACTGCTGGCCGTGTACTCCGTCATAGCGAGTCTGTCTTCCAAAACTTGATGGATAGAAACTATCCTATGACATTCAAGTTTGGAATAACACATTGCCCTAGCTTCAGGTGGCATCACAAGCCATATGGCTACAAACATGGCTTAGAGAAGTTTGATTCCATGGCCTTAGTTTATGTATCATCGTGCGTGACTGGCCCTGCCTTTCTGGAAGCAGCATTGATCTCGAAGTTTGGAAGCTGCTTGGCAAACCATTGCGTAAGGTGCCATGAAGTTGGTAGCAACTTGTTAAGATCTGAGCTGTCATTGCTTGATAGACTTCTACCACATGTTATTGTTACTGTGTACCACCTTCTATCCAACATCCTTTAAAGTGAACCAAGGCGTGAAGGGGTGCAAGAACTACTTGCCTGGTGGGGATAGCAGTGACTATGGAGGATCTGGCCCTTTCTTTACATACATAGTGTTTAAATCATGGAAAACTCCGCCTCCTGTTCGCCCTGTGGTGAGATCAAAAGGCGGCCCAGCCTCGAAAGAAGGTTGCCGAGCTTTGCATTTTAGTTAGTCTGAGTGCATGTGTTTTTAGACACGTGTTTCCCTGCTGTAAGATTGAGCGATGCCAACCAGCGAAAAAGTTTCCATTGGATGCTGCTAGCTTTGCACTGATGGCTGGTAATCATTCATGTTGAAGTACATTGAAAATCGTTGAAACATTATTTGCTGATGATCGAACCTACCAAACGAAATAGCAATACCCCACCCCTATACCAATTTGAAATGACCTCCATGCATTACTTCTCAAACCATCGCGCTCTGAGGCTTCATGCGCATCGCAAATCGAGACAGCTCGGGCTGTTGAGACAGAGATGGGGGTGGAAGCCGCTTCCAAAACAGGAATATCTCAATGTGCCAATATCCACACCAAAAATAGTGAACGAGATACCCATCGGGTAGTGGGCAAACAAGGCACCTGTTTGAAGATTCCAATTTCCGAGATTCAAGTTCAAGGAGAAACACTTTCTTGGATTAGCCCTCGGGACTGGCTTCGATACATTGTTAACCACGGGTTGCTTTACATGCTTTCTGGTTTGCACTACGAAGAAAAGCATTTGGTTGGCGCTGTGTGGAAAGATTTCTGGACCAAATATGAGCCGTTGAATTCTGACCACGGTTTTTTCTACAAACCAGACGCCAACTACGAAAGAACCATTGGCCTATTCATTCATGGGGACGAGGGAAGAACCTTGAAGCGTGGGGGCTTGATGGTTACAAGTATCCAATCGATTTTGGGAGTGGGATTTGATCGAAAGCGATTGAAAAGACCACGGGGTGCCAATGATATTGGGAAGCTGCAGGTGAACTTTGCTTCACACACTTTTCTGACAAGATTTGTGGTGTCAGTTATCCCCAAGACTTCTTACCAGTCGAACCCTGACTACTTCCATGACACGATGGACAAGCTAGCAATTGACCTACTTGATTTGTTGGAAACTGGAATTACTGATCGTTCAACTGGAGATGTTTGGAAGTTTTGCATCATTGGTGTAAAGGGCGACATGCCTTATCTACAAAAGATTGGCAAACTACGCCGCAGCTGGAACACCACAGTGAAAAGGGGGCAACAGCGTACCGAACCACGTGGAGTGTGTCACTTATGTCTAGCTGGAACAAACCAATACCCAGCTGAAGATACATCAAGTGGTGCAGGCTGGATTGCAACAATTGGTGTGCAAGTTCCATGGGATGTTGAGCCGGGCATTATCAAATACCTTCCTCATGACCAGTCCCATCCAGCGTCATTCCTGCAGGCAGACCTTTGGCATTGCATCCATTTGGGAATAGGAAAATCCTTTGTGTCATCAGCGATCCAAATTGCTTTGGAGGTGGTTCCTGCTAGCAACAATGATGAGCGTTTCCAATGGCTATCGGCGCATTACCATCGGTGGTGTAGATCTGTGAAAAGGTCATCCTATGTATCAAAGATCAATGCCTATCTGGTATCCCATGGGGATGGTCCAGGGGCCACAGGAAATTGGAGCAAAGGATCGCTAACATCTAACCTGGCACGTTGGTTGAATCAGCTTCTTGGCGACCTACCTGATGATCAACATCGTTTTCTTTCGAGGTGCAGGGAGGCTGTTCGACAGTTGAACGCTGCTTTGAGCTTCCTTTACAATGCTCCACTTTTTCTGGAGTATACCGAGTGTAAGTACGTGGTGGATCGAGGTAATTTTTTCCTTCAGTGTTACACAAGGCTTGCTTCAGAGTGCTACAGGTTGGGGCGACCGCATTTGTTTCCATTATTTCCCAAGATCCATGCTGTTAAACATTGTTGGCTGACATTGGACAACCAGTCTAACAGTCATGGCTACGGACTGAACCCTCTTACAGCTAGCTGCCAAATGGATGAAGACACGATAGGAAGGGTGGCAAGGGTGAGCCGGAGAGTAAGCATCAGGGTCGTTGTGAAGAGGACATTACAGAGACACCTTGTGGCGTGTTGGAATGTATGGACGAAAGCTGGGGTGCTTCGATGAAAAACATGAACCAATGCGGCTTATGTGGTGAGATTTGCTGACTTATGCTATGACATAATGCAATCCAACATCATCCAACACATGCTTTACTCCATTCCAGTTCAATGTTTACTGATACATGTTGATTCGTTGATTTTTGCAAAAACCAATTACCTGGTTTTTTTCAAATAACCGGGTTATTCTGGCACAACCAGAAATTTGTTGCTTAAGGAGGCTGCAGGTATATATATATATGTATGTATACATATGTATGTTGTGAATGTGACATTCATGGACATGCATGACTGTGAGGTGAATCCACTGTTCCTTGCCGGCCGAACGCCGTCCATCTGCCGCGGCCATTTTACATGCACCCAGCGGAGGGCGGGTGAGGACATCGAGACCAAAAGGAGTGGCACGGCATTAGACAGGGTCTAAGAGTAGGTAAGTCAATTGGGGATTGACATCACAGCAGCAGTGTTCTAGGACTGGGATTCCTGGGTTTTGGGTATTGTAGATTTGCATTGGTAGCGGAGCACCTGGGCTGCCGCGGTAATTAACCCCTTGGATTTCCCCGAGTGCAACAGGTCTCCAGGACGTAGGAGGGTTGTCAAAAGGGTTCCAAACAATTTTCTGTTTTCCACCTGTAGCTGAGCCGAAAGCGGTTCTGAAGCCTGAGCCATGTCTGGTGATGATGCCGCGCAAGCAGTGGGATCGGGGCCTCCACTGTCTGCTGTGCCGTGGAACCAAATTCCGAAGTTCGTGCCGGGCGAGACGGACGTTCAGGTGTACTCCAAGAAATTGGAGTTTCTTCGAGCCTTGTGGCCGAAGGAGCAGCTGGAGCATTTGGGTCCCAGAGCTGCTCTCCTTGTGGAGGGCATAGCCTTCCAGAAGGTGTCAAGGCTTGATCCACAGAAGCTCAAGGAACCTGATGGAGTTTCTTACTTGGTTCAAGCCCTTGGGGGACAATGGGGTCGCCTAGCCTCTGAAGAAAAACTCAACTACTTCGAGAGGGCCCTGTACCTGGTGCACCAAAAGGCCGATGAAAGTCACGACAGCTACTTAGCAAGGCATGATGCTGCCTTCGAAGACCTGATTAGTCAAAAGGTGAGCATGGAGGAGGTACGTGCCTACATACTCCTCCGTCAATCTCTTTTGACGCCTGATGAGAGGAAGAAGATCATCATGGAAAAGGGGGGGAACCTGACCTATGAGGATGCAAGGCAACAGATTCGTCTTCTGGGTTCACGGTTCTTCCAGGAACTTCAATCAGGAGGTGGGGGGCGAGCATCAAAGCTCAAAACCTATGACATCAACCATGTGGATGAGGACGTGGTCCTGTGGCATGATGAAGAGGATGAGGATGAGGACACGTTCATACACACCTTGGCTGAGAATGGGGATGAGGATGCGTGCTTTGTGGCTGATTTTGAAGAACAAATCCTTGTGGCCTGCCAAGAGAGCTCTCAGTTGGCTGCCTGCTTCACCACATACCAAGAAGCTCGCTTCCGCCTGAAGGAGAAAGCCCGAAACCGAGGTTTTTGGCCTCCCAGCTCCTTCAAAGGAAAGGGACGAGGAAAAGCCTATGGGGGAAAAGGGAAAGGTTCCAACACCGGAGAAAAGGGTTCGTCATGGTCGTCAGGAAACAACATGTTCAATCGACGCAAGACCCTTGCTGACAGAATTGCCAATAGCACATGCCGAAAATGTGGCCGTCCAGGCCATTGGAAACGTGAGTGCCCATTTGGTTCTGTGGCAACCGCCAATACTTCCAGCAAGAAGCCAGAGAATGAGAACTTCACAGGCCTGATGATCGATGACTACGAGATCTACACGGAGAATGTCTACTCTGCAGCAACTGGAAGTGATCTGGTGATGGAGCTTCCCCCGGGAGCGCAGATTCTGGAGGTCGGTGAGGAAAACGGAGTTTGGGAGGGTCATGATTGTGGTGAGTTCGAACATGCAAACATGGGTGATTGTGGTTTTGTTGGTCCTAGGAATTTCACACTCAATGAACTGGCCACCAATCTCGAACACCGACTTGTTGCCTGCTGTAGGAATATTAGCCACGATGACATCAAGTCCGCTCTGCCGACTGCCAACTGCGAGCCAGCATGCGATGGATCCACTTTTCTGCCAGATCACAGTGATCTCAAGGCAGGTGGAGCCTGCATTTTTAATGTAGAGGAAGCTGATGATGAGGCCATCATAGATACTGGGGCCAGCAAAGCAGTTATTGGGAAAGATCGTTTATCTAGGCTATTGAAAAGCTTGCCAAAGGGAATCAGGTCCGGGGTAATGAGGGTACCCACTGAAGGAGTTGTTTTCAAATTTGGGAATGCTGGCCGCCTAGCAAGTGAGTTTGCAGTGTTGCTTCCTCGCTCCAAAATTGACTGGCTACGCGTTGAGGTGGTGCCTGGTCAAACACCATTCTTAATTTCAAATTCAGTTTTGGGCAGTTTGCGGGGGGTAGTTGATGTGTTTGGAAAGAAACTTGGTTTTCGTGACAGTCCTGAGGAAATTCCCCTGTTTGAAGTCCGAAAAAGTCTTCTGGGAGTGAAGGTACTTGATTTGTTGACAAAGACTCCCAGTTGCCATGAGCGTGCACCAACACACATCCTTTGTGCGCATGAGACGAAACGTGAAACGGAAACTGAGCAGTCTTTTGGAGAAACGGAAACAGAAATGAAAACGCATGTCATGTCATCACCAACTCTTTTGCATGAAACACACCATAACAAGATGGGGGGAATTCATTCAAGTGATCAAGGGTCTCCAAAGGAAACTCAAACACAAACAATTTTGGGGCAAGATAGTCCAGAAAAGAATGCCAGAGCATTTTCCGAGCTCAATTACCAGGAACATACCACAGGCGGAATCCTGCCTGAAGATCGTGTGAACTCTCAGGGCAATGTCGTCGCAGGAGCACTACCTGAAACAGGCACTGACTGCGCCAGTGGATGCCAGCCTCCAGAGCCAGCAACAGCATCACGAGATGCCTGCAGTGCTGACTCGACCACCCGGGGTGGCCACCTTGGAGGAATGGGGCAGAACACGTGTGCCCTCCGGGAAACATCCCGGCAAGACGTTTGCAGAGATCTACGAGACCGACAGGGCCTACATGCGACAGATGTGGAATCGCAAAGCGGTGTCGTCATGGACACGCAGTTTCCAGCTGTACTGTCGTCATCGCAGGGACAAGAGCATCGAGAATCAGGAGCGAGAGACCAGAGAGCAGAGCTTGCAAATGCCAATCTCTCCACACATGACTCCGGAGGTGCAGGAGCTGATCGCAGCGGGGGGAGCTCCATGGTTCACACCCCGCACCAATGCCCAGCACATTGCCGCCAAGGCGAAGTCCAAGAGCACGATGGTGCCACCGAAGTCCAGTCCGGAGTTTGTGGAAGAAACTGGATGGGAAAAGATCAACATGGAGGAAAAGAACAACAAACGGGGATATCCGCAGTCAAGCATGCCGACGATGGAGATTCAGCCCAACGAGGATCGTGTGAGGGAGCTGAACACCCAGATTGCAGTGCTGCAACGAGAGCTGCAACTGGAAATTCAGGGCAGACCCAGCACAGGGGAAGGAAATTAAAACTATTATCCCAAGAAGAAGTTGTAATGATCCAACAATCTGTAGAAATGATTTCCCAACAAATTGAAGATGGTCTACAGGGTCTAAAATGGGATGGTAGGTATGGTTCCCCGAAGACGTGTTCAAAAGAAAAGGGTCGTACTGTTCCCAAATATCTTGGTCCCAGGGTTGATCTGTTGGAGGTTTATTGTGACGAGGGATCCCATTTGACTCGTGTATGTAACCAAAAAGGGGGAAGAGCATTAAGATTTACCCAAAAGGATGGTGATCTTTCCACAAAAGAAGGGGTAGCCAAACTATGGACATGGTTGGAATTATATGAGCCAAAACATGTTTGGGTTGCACCGGAATGCCGTCTTTGGGGTAGTTTCTCAAGGTTTAATATGAATAGAAGCATGGAGAGTTTCGAACGAATCCAAGGAGAAAGACAGTCTGATCGACAACATTTGGAGTTGTGCAATCAGATTTATCTACACCAAATTTCAAAGGGATACCACTTCCACCTGGAACAGCCGAGGGGATCTGAAATGATCCAACAACCAGAACTGCAGGATGTCAGGATGGGCACATTGCCTATGACCTTCGACATGTGCCAGGTCGGGCAATTGCAACTGCCGAAGACCACCGAGTTCTTACAGAAGAGGACACAGGTACATACCACCAGCCGTCGTCTGTTTGAAACTTTCCATCACATGTATTGTCAAGGTAAGCATGAGCATAGACAAATAAAAGGAAAGTTTCAACAGGATGGTCGATGGATGCCGATTTCAGCATATGCACAAGCATACACTGCACAGTTTGCACGGCGTGTCATGCAGGTTATCCTAAATAGTTCTGGGGAACAACCTTTGTTGGTAGAAGAGATGGTTCTTGGTTTGGAACACGATAGACCAGAACTGGCACATGAATCCTTGCAGTTGCAGAAGCGGCGTCGTGTCGAGCTGAAACAGCCCGAATCCTCACTGTATGGAAAGGCACCATCTTGGAAAGATGTTTTCCGACAGGCTGGGTATGAGACACCACGTGTTGGGGGTCATCGTTTTGAAGAGGGAACTGTTTTGGTGAAACTGATGCAACAGCTGGTGCCTGAGTTTGCAGTGAAATTAGTCATCGCGTGTCGTGGCACTGAAAGACATCGAACTGATGGTGTGGATCAACATGGGGATAAATATCCATGGCGGAAAACTGTTTTGGTTCATCGTGAAACTGGTGATGTTGTGGAAACTGGACCAGCCGAACAGTGGCTCCGATTGACTCGTGCCCGACAAATCAGGAGCACGGGCCCAGCTAGGATTTCTTTGAATATTTTTGGAAGATCACACACCACTGATGTCTCGGCCGTCGTTCCCGCTGATTCCTCAAGGGCAGCTGAAAGCAGCCCAGGCCCAGGCAGTTCCGAATCCATGCAATCGAGTGAGAGGCTCCAAGTTCTTCCTCCACTTGATGGCAGTTCCGCCGCTGAGAATGAGGATCAGCTCATGCCACCAGCTGAGCATGATGTTCCATCGGGGGTTAAGGTCATTAACGATCCTGAGGGATGGGCACCAAAAATAATCCCCAAATCTGGTCCCAAGTTTTTATCATTGGATAAAGGGGAACAGAGGGAACTTAGGAGATTGCATGTGAATCTTGGACATCCTGACCCCGAAAAGTTTGCCCGTTTCCTCATGGAAAGACATGCCAAACCCGAAGTGGTAGCAGGTTCCCGAGACATGTGTTGTGACACGTGCATAGAAACCCAAAACAAACCTAAGTTGACTCAACCGGGGCGTATCCACGAAGATCTTGACTTTAATGATTTAGTGGGGGCTGATGGAGCATATTGGAGGAATAAGCATGGGAGGGTATTCCATTTTATGCATTTTATTGATGAGTCCACGCTGTTTCATGTTGGGGCCCTGAGTGAACGCAAGGTTGAGAGTCAGATTCAAGTGTATCAAGAGGCATGGGTCCATTGGGCAGGCCCGAGCCGTGTTCTGTATTTGGACCCTGCTGGTGAATATGTCAGCGACTCTTGGGCAGCTCATCTGCAAGGCGATGGCACCCGAGTTGCTATGACTGCGGCAGAGGCGCACTGGCAAAATGGAAGGTGTGAAGCCCATGGCAAAATAGTCAAGTCAATGTTGACCCGAATGGAGAAAGATATGGACATTGACACTGAGGCTGAGTTTTCCAGGTGTCTGAGGCAGGTTTTCTCAGCCAAAAATTCTTTATCACGAGTAAATGGCTTCACACCTGAACAATGCTTGCTGGGGAAATCAAAGCATCTTCCTGGGTCTCTCGTTTCTGATGAAAATGCTGGTAGTCATGCGCTTGCAGAAAGCAATACACCTGAGGGACTCCATTTCCGCCAGAGCTTGCTGCGTCGTGAATTGGCCCGGAAGGCCTATGTCCAGATGGACAATGACTCTGCTTTCAGAAGGGCTTTTGCTGCGCCAAAATCGGCCAGGAAAGATCGAGCTCGAAAAAGGAGACTGGGTCCTCTACTGGCGAAAGAGCCAGGGAAATAGCCGAATCTGTCGGGGGCGTTGGTATGGACCAGCTCAAGTCATTGCCATTGAGCACAAACGGGTTGTTTGGTTGAGCCATTTGGGCAGATTGGTTCGTGCCAGCCCTGAACAGATAAGACCAGCATCTCTGAGGGAATATTCCAATCTTCCTCGAAACTCCGAAGGTCAGGTGGTGGATGAAAAACCCCAGGGGAGAAATTATCTTGAGTTGGAGGATATTCCTGAAGGGGAAGAGGGGTTACGGGGTAGTGATGAAAATGAATACTCTCCAGGTACCCCCATAAATTCTTCTGACCTGACCAGCCAACCGGAAGTTGAGAATTTTCCTGAAGAAACTCCTGCATCTGAAAATGATGAAACCAATGAAATTCCTTCTGAGGAAATCACTCAGAACCCGAACCCACATGAAGTTCCAGTTCCTGACTGGGTGTCCGAAGGTGATGAAAGTGGTCTTTTTGGTGATGATGTTTTGGTTGAGCCTGTTTTTGGTGTTTGGGAAATGGTTTTGGATGATTATGATTGGGACACCCAGGTTGCTCAAGCGTTCTGTGATGAACCAGGCATGTTTGAACAAATTTGGTTGACCACCGGGGAGAAAAGGAAGAGAGTAGAGGTTAACTACCGGGGTTTAACTGCCAGTGATCGGGATCTTTTCGATGCTGCCAAACAAAAGGAGGTAAAAGCCTGGTTAGATCATGGAACTGTCAAAAAGGTAGCAAAGGGTTCTTTGAGTCCAGAGCAGGTGATGCGATGTCGGTGGATTCTCACATGGAAGCCACCAGCGGCTGGATGTTCGGAGAGGAGAGCAAAAGCTCGACTTGTAGTTTTGGGATTTGAGGACCCTGGCATTCAGGGAATACCAAATGATGCACCGACTTTATCAAAGGATGGCCGACAATTGTTGCTTCAACAAGTCTCCTCCCGAAGATGGCGCCTGGTAAATTTTGATATATCCACGGCATTCCTCAAAGCAGAGGGTGATGGCCGACCTTTAGGAATACATGCTCCACCTGAACTCCAAAGGGGTCTACAAATGAGAGAGGATGATCAGTGTGCTCTCACTGGGGGTGCATATGGTCGCATTGATGCACCTTATCTATGGTATCAAGCATTTCGAACCACTTTGGAGGAGCTGGGGTTTGTAGCATGTCCACTGGATGGCTGTTTGTTCAGCCTTGTTACTCCGGACAGTAAAACTGGCCGACCCGTCACACGTGGTGTCCTCGGCATTCATGTTGATGATGGCATAGGTGGGGGAGATCAGTATTTCCACCAAGTGCTGGAAAAGCTTCGCGGGATCTATGAGTTTGGGGCCTGGGGCATACAATGAGGGGTCTTTCGAGTTTTGTGGGGTGCGGTATCAACAGTGGGATGATGGTTCCATTGAGATGGATCAAATTGACTATTTGAGAAAGATTGAACCCATTGAAGTCCCGAAGCACAGGAGAAATAACCCAAATGAAGATCTCAGCGATCAGGAGGTCCAGCAGCTACGGAGACTATGCGGCAGTTTACAGTTTGCTGCAGTCCATACCAGGCCAGATCTGGCAGCAAAGACTGGCCATCTACAGTCTGTAGTAACCAAGGGTAAGGTTCACCATCTCTTGGAAGCCAATCGTGTCCTCATGGAGGGAAAGAAGAACCATTTATGTTTGATGATAGTTCCCATACCTGAGCATCAGGTCACTTTTTGTTCGTTTTCTGATGCCTCCTTTTCGACCAACAAGGATTTGGCTTCACGACAGGGATGTTTGATCTTTTCGACAGATCTCAAGCTGGCCCAAAATGAGAGGACAGTGATTTGTCCAATGGCCTGGAGTTCGAAGAGGATTCCTCGTGTGGTGACATCCACATTGAGTGCAGAGGCCATTTCTTTAAGCTCGGCCTTAGACCGTTTGGGATACATCCGTGTCTGTTGGGAATGGTTGAAAAATCCTGCGGTTGACTGGAGTGATGTTGGAAAAATTTTGAGTCGGGCACCGCTAGCTAGCGCAGTGACTGACTGCAAGTCAGTTTTCGACATAGCGACAAAGACATCAACACCCAGCTGCTCGGAGTATCGCACAACGCTGGAATGCCTTTTAATTAGAGAGAGACTGCAAGAGAATGTGGCAATGAGGTGGATAAGCACCCAAGCTATGTTGGCAGATTCCCTGACAAAATCAATGGATGCTTCTGTACTAAGGGAGAGTCTCAGGACTGGGAAGTACAGTTTGTTTGATGAAGGGGAAAGCCTCAAGCTTAGGGCAAATAAGCGCGACCGGCTTAAATGGATTCATCAGGAAAAATCATGTCCATCAAACTCCAATTTTGACCCTGCAAAAAAGTTTTGGATTTTTAATGAGTGTGAATGTGACATTCATGGACATGCATGACTGTGAGGTGAATCCACTGTTCCTTGCCGGCCGAACGCCGTCCATCTGCCGCGGCCATTTTACATGCACCCAGCGGAGGGCGGGTGAGGACATCGAGACCAAAAGGAGTGGCACGGCATTAGACAGGGTCTAAGAGTAGGTAAGTCAATTGGGGATTGACATCACAGCAGCAGTGTTCTAGGACTGGGATTCCTGGGTTTTGGGTATTGTAGATTTGCAGTATGTATATGAATATATGTGTCAACATATGTTACCATCATGATTCTGGCACTATGTGCTCCTCCATCCTTTTTGAGAAGACCAAGTGTAAGTGTGTCCCACAAATGGGGAGAATTTACGTGACACAAAACGATAACAAAACGATAACAAAAACGATAACAAAATTAACCCGAAAACCATCTTCAAACACCATGGCCCATTGATCACCTTGCCATGGAGGTTCTCCCCAAAGAGGGAAACCACATCCTCAATTGTGTTCTGCGGCCGCATGTGCATAAACCTCTTTGATTGTGATAAGTGCAGATAGCCTGCAAAACGATAAGGAAGAAAAAAAAAAACGATAAGGTAAAAGCGGCATAAGCAAATTTATACGGGTTTTTTTTCACCTCATATGGCCAGCAATGATTGGGAATAATTATCATAGGACTTAGTTTTTCCTTGACAAGTAAACCATGTCATTTTGTGACACATGATTTTTTCCCATGTTCAATAACGTTCTTTCCTTGCGTTGTGATTTTAAGCTGCTGATGCTCTGCGGCATGCATCTCTCAGACCCTTCTCAGATCTTCGACAAGAAACAGTTCTTGGGCAGTTTCAATGATGAAGAGGAGGCTGTCCTGCCAAGTTTTTGATTGGTCTTGACATCTCAAAAGAAATATAAATACCTTATATAAATCATTAGTAAGACTAGGTGAGTATCATCAGCGATTAATATCGATTAGTTGGTATCACCAAGCAATGATTTTTCCAACAAGTGACATCCATATTTATTATTGGCTCTCGTGTTGGCCAAACTTCTGTCGTTGAAAAACTTCCGTCGTTGAATCTCCTACAAACTAACTCGGCCAAATTTGTACATGGAATGAAGACTGATCGAGGGCCGGATTTGTTTCGTGGATTTTGTTTAGTGATGTTTAGTGCCCTGGGAAAATGTGAAGGTTTCCTGAAATGGTACACCCAAATATCCATATTTTAATTTTTTAAAAAAGGATTTTCCATATTTTTCCATTAGAAACCAGCTATTGGCGTACCTGCATGTACCTGCAGCAAGGCAGCCCGTGCAGTAGATCGCTCGATTCGGAGCACAGGGGCGGACAAGGTGGTCACAGTGTCTTCGGCGTGCTCCAAAGAAACATAAGAAATTCGATTGATTGTTCATAAATGTTCATAACATAATACAATATATCAAACATAAATATATAGCTATAATTTGACTCCTGATATTTCCTGATCAATTTGAATCAATGACTTGACTTGTCAGCGCTATTTCTGTTTGTTGGTGTCCTTACAGTTTCAAGCCAGATTCAGATGGGTGCCTGCAAAGCAAGCAACGAAATTTGACAAACTGTCACAAGATGTCACAAGCATACTGTCGTAGACTGTCGTAGACTTGTCAGCACAAATAGATTGAAAGAGTTTGGACATTTACAATTGCCTTGCAGGCCACACAGCTGCGCATGCTCAATTTCCTCGAGGAAACCGACTACTTTGATGATCTGTGGGATGAGGACACTGCGTCACACTTTTGCATACTGTTGCAATGTTCAGCGGTGTGCTTTGGGGTACTCTAGCTTCGGAAAGTTTCAGACAAACCGTTGTGAAAAGTTGAATTTTTTTGACGTTCTATCTACCTTCCAGAATTGAACCCAGAATTGAACAACTTCATCACCGTGGAGCCAGTTGGCACATGGCAGAATCGACCAACTCGCTGAAAGGAGCGAGCTCCTCGTGGTGGTTCCTCTCGCTTCTTAGGCTTGGTGGCCACAATTGACGTGGATGATGCTCCTATTTTGCAAAAGTGTGGCATGTGTGAGCATGAACAAATATGAACAAATCTGAACAAATATGAACAAATATGGACATCTATGAACAAATCTGAACAAATATGACATATAAATACATAAAAATATGATGCTTTTGTAGGATTTTTGAAGGACGATCCCATTGCGAGTTTTTTAATGTCTGCAAGGCGTCTCCTATCATCAAGCCTCCGGGCTGTTCCTGGCACGGCTTGGCAGAAGGCCAGTTTTGATGCCAAAAAATATGGAAAAACCTCCATGTTGTAATGCGAACATGTGGAATCTATGGATAATCTATGGATAATCTATGGAGGGAAAATCTGGGAAAATGTTGGAACATCAGCTAAATCTGGGGGAATGGAATTACCATTTTTTAAAAACACGGAGTCTCGGAGGGTAGAAGCAGGATGATCATGATCATGATATGATCATGATATTATATGTAGTCAATGGCACACCGAACTGGAGAAGCACTGCCGTTTGGCTGACTTACTTTTCACTGTTCTTGCTGGGTATGGTTCCAGTGCCTGATCGAACATGGTATACATGGATATACATGGTATATGTATATTATATTCTTGACTGCCAAAATGGCGTGGTCTGAAAATGCGGTACTGCATGGTACTGCCAACTCCAAAGGGATCGTCATCAGCTTCCCCACGAATGTTGCTATTTTATGGATATCCTCCTTCTTGAGACACACCCAAATATATTATGGTAGGTATAATATATATATATATATATATACACACGTATACACACACATTGACACATGTATATGATAAATATCATTAAACCCCGCATTAAATCCCCTATTAAGGCCCTATTCAGTTAATGGTGAAATCCCATTCAAGTGTCCCCATGGTCTGGGTCAAAGCCATCACACGTTGCTAGGCATTTGGGCCTCTTCGATGAGGAGGATGAAGCGGCGAGGGCCTTCGATGAGGACTGGTGGATTTAAGCGTGAAGAACAGGGATTTAAATGGATTTAATGGTTATATTATATAGTGCAGCAATTTTTTAGAGGAAACTCATGTCCCAACATACCCCAACCGCTATTTGGCAGGGTCTAGGTGCTTGTTGGGGGGATGGCAATTGAAATGAGAAGAAGCACATCTATGTAATACATCGTAGAAACTGCAACTTAAGGGTGAGGCATGGAAGAATTGTGAGAGCAAACCCGTCCATTGGAGCAGAGACAGTCTGACGGCTTTGGCGAGGCATCCTTGGCGAGCAACGGCCGGACCAACTTCAAACCTCCGGAATCGTAAGGAAAGAGCCCATGATTTGCATCGATTTGCTGTGTGTCCTGGTTCGTTTGGCAACGCGCAAATGTGACTCCGAAAGAGTCATGAGTCATGAGAGACCGGATCATTTGTGGTTTGCGGGCCCAGATTGATTGCAAATCTGTCCTTTCCTCTGCACCTTTGGCTCACTCCTGAAGGCTTGAATCGTCAAGAAAACACATTCACTCCAAGTGCCAAAAGTACAAGGACTCTTTAGTAAACATACGGGGGCCTTAGCTTGTGCTTTGCAGCCCAAGTTTGTTGCAGTCTTTCAGTTGACAGAACAGAAATCGTCTTGACTATTTTGTAGTACTTGTAGCCTGTAGCCATTCTTTAATCCTCTCAAGTCTACGAGCCGAATTGTAGGCCAGAACAGTTGCAATTTTGCCTCGATGATTTTGTTGATGAAGCGATGGCTGGTGCTGTGGAGGCTCCTGGACAGCTTCCCACGATGAGTTCGTCAGTCTTCATTTGCGCATTGCACTGCGTGTGGTAAGGCTCCTTATTGCTGCTGCAGAGATAGAGAGCAAAAGTCTCAGATGGGGCCAGGTTCGAGCCCTGTGCTCGATTGATTAAGCTATCCCGGCTATCCACGATTTGCTGGTTATGCCTGGAGAATACGAACCCGGTAAACGAACAAGTGTGTGTTGCAAAAAGGGACCTCAAGGTGCGTGCCCCTGAGCGTGCACATGCCCTGTGCTCTGTAGAGTCGCACTGATCCCCAAGGCCAGCTTCTTGATGATGACGAATGTCGTCATGCAAAAGATTGCACTTTGCAGGCAAGGTCTGGATGTGTCCTTTCGGTGATCCACTGTCATCGGATGCAGTAGTTTGATTTTTGCGGTTTCATAATATGTTTCATGTTGTGTGTCTCCTGGAGACTTGCTTGAAACTTTGAGGCCATGTATGGCCACATACTGTACCACTGAAAGCATTTAACGCCAGCCACTGTGATGCATTGTGCACCACATTCCAGGCTTTGCAGAGACGAAGCCGAGCTAAGCAAGGCGCGTTTCACTCTCTAGCTTTGCAGCCGCCCACACATTTGCAGTCTTGTCTTGCAGTTTGCAGGTCCCCTCGAGGATGCTGACAATCTAGCTGCTACAGCTGACGTCGATCTTGGTGTTGATATAGATGTAGATGCGGATGACTTGCAGGCTCAATTCGGGTGTGTCTTGACCGCACTGGACTGCAATCATTCTACTGCAGGCTGCAACAGCCTGTTTTAGTGTTTTCCATACTACGTAGATATCTAGGATGACTCTTTGTAGACTGTTGCACCAATTTTCACAGGGGCATGCAGTGTACACTCTTAGATGGGCCGGCGCCTCTCGTTCCAGTGTTGCTGGCCGCGGGTGTGTGCATGATGACTCACGCTCTTTTGATCAAGTAACTACTTGTAGTACTCTGTAGTGATGAATATAACAGTAATATATTTGTAGTATTATTTTGTCGTAATATGCAGTCATTAGTCCTGGAGCTATGATTCAATGATTCCAGTCATGCTACCAGGCTGCGTTTGGCCGCGCCAATGGTGATTCTTTCAGCTCTGAGGCTATGGAGGAAGTGCCTCCAAGTACTATCTGAATTGGGAAGCAAGTGGAAAGTCCTTCTTCAAAGACGCATGACTGAACGGAAGGATACGAAATGCAGCGAATTTCTGCGCATGTGAAGCCACAGGGTGTGACCAGGAGGGAGCTACATTGGTGTTTTTCTTCTTCAAATGCTGGTGTTGAGAGTCCAGCTGCACTGGAAGATCTGGAAGCAAGAACTGAGGACTGGACATTTGTGACAGAAGATCCAACGAATGGAGCCGCCTGGTTGAAGTTAACAGTGAACGTCGATGAACGTCGATCGTTGAGATCTCGCTGATCTTCGTTTTTGCGTTGGGACAAATGCCAGAAAGAGATTGGCCGTGAGACTCGAACTGCGACATCCATCCTTATGGATTGGGAATATCATGGAATATCATCGAATATCATGGAATATCTATATCTAATATTATCTAATATCTAATATCTAATTCCTGATATCTGATATCATCTAATCTCATCTAATCTCATCTAATATCATCTAATATCATCTAATATTATCTAATATCATCTAATATCATCTAATATCATCTAATATAATCTAATATAATCTAATATCAATAGCTATATCTATATCATTCTATATCTATATCTATATCTATATCTATATCTTATATCTATTATATCTATATCTATCTACAAATATATGTATAAGATATATATGTGCAGAACAAATCGGGATAATCACAGCCTCCCTTAGACACACACACACACCAGATTATTCCGCTGCGGCATCGGACAAAACCATGTTTTGATTGAGGAGGTCAACTACGTCCCACGAGAGGCTGCGATTTCCGAAGGACTTGTTGAAACTTTTCAGGACGGCCTTCAGCAGAATGTAGCAAGATGTAGCAAGTACATTTTGTATCATTTCTTGATACTTTGATGTTATCAGACTCATTGTTTATTGATACTCGGACTCATCTAGGAAACTTTATGGTTTGTCAACGCTGTCAACGCCCCCTTTTAGTGATGGTATTGAAGTGGCCTCTTGACAGATTCGGTCAGGACCATGCGGTCATCCGCGTAGGTGCCCTGGAAAACGGCGCCTCGGCTGGAATAGCGTTGAAGCATGTTGAAACATCTGGCTGTCAGATTGTGAGTCGGACCCATACTTGTATGGCATCATCATTATTATGATATCATCATTATTATGATATGATCATTATGATATCATGATCATCATCCACATACACTGAATCTCGCTCCTGAGTTTGGGCTCGAGAGATCCTGAGAGCTCAAAGGTACCTAGCGCTACATCCCAGGTACCCAGAAGCTGATGAAGAATTCCCCAGTGAAAGGGGGCAACCCAGATGGGACTTCTGAATTCATCTCCGTGAACCTCCGTGCTTAACCAACCAGAAATGGGGATTTAACATGGGTTTAACCAACAGCGGAAATATATTATGTGTTCAATTTCTTCAATCTTTCCTTTCAAGCACTTGCCAAGCTGCAGCGCTTTCAATGGAAGCTGCGCATTCATGGCATAGCTTGGAGGGCGAAGGATTAGAGGAGTCCTTGAGCCTCACCATCTGCACCTTCAACGTGCTTTGTGAACGCTTTGAGAAGAAGATCTTGAAGGATGGGTGGCAACTTGAGGTTGAAAACCGTAATGGAACTTGTCTTTTGACTAAGGGTGTATGTTTTAAGTGCAATGAATGTTCCGGAATTAATTCCCTTTTTCCGCTATGCCCCATTCTTACATACAGCTGCCGTGCATGACAAAATGGATGCTGCCAATTTGATCCCGGAAGGGTCGTTTGAATCGAGCGACTGAAACATACAAGCTAATTGTTTCCCATTGAAGAGCTGACACATTTTTGAATCCGGTGATAAATTGGGAGCCCCGTCCCCTTTTTTCGGCGACACATCCGAAGGATGGGCAGATTGAGGAGTGGAAGTGGGAGGAGCGCAAGGACTCCCTGGTGGCAGAAATCCTTCGCTGTGAGGCGGACATCGTGTGCCTACAAGAAGTTCCTGGTTTTGTTGAAGGGAACTTTGTGGGTAGCCCTCCCAATTTTGTACCATCTTATAGGGTATAAAACCAATCATTTTTTGGGGGGATAGGGTGTATGTATACGTATATGGTATGGGGTGTGTCTGAAAACGAGGTATGTCATGTATACTCTCCATTTAAAGCCACCTTGAATGAACACCACTCTTTCACTACTATAGGATCACTCTTGTCCTGCTAGCTTGGAGCCACTGATGATTTTTGATGATTTTTGGATATTTTTGGTCCTTTCGACCTTTCCCTTTAGAATCAATCCTAACTACACACTGTTTGGGGTCTCTTGCCGGGATAATTTTGGAATCTGAGTGCTCTTTGGAATTGGGACTAGCAAAAATTCAATGCTGTAGCAAAGGGAGTGCTGCTTTTTTGAAAGTGTAGGATTGAAATGGACTCTTTTGGGCGCCTGATGTTTTCTTTTTTTTAAATGTGGTGCCAGCTTAGATTCAATGTTGTGCTTTTTGGAGTCTGCAACAAAAGGTATGTAACATTAACATTGTTCAGTACCATGGTAACACTTGGACACTTCAGTCCTTAGGTGGTTCATGATCTACCTACCTCCTTCCAAGATTGTTTGGGTGTGGTTTTCTCTAAAAGTGTAGTACCGCAATGGATCCTCTTGGACAATTTGTTGTTCTCTTGAAGTGCTGCCGGTTAAAATTAAATGCTGTAGCAAAGGGGTTGAGCTTTTTGGAATTCGCAAGAAAAATAAGACGGTCCTTGACATTGGTGTGGTTTTTGGTACAAAGTGTAGTAAAAAAAATATTCTTTTGGACGCCTGTTGTTGCGAAGGGGTGATAAATCAGATGCACAACTGGGTTTGAGGGTCAGGAAGGGGTCAAGAGATCTTTTTCCTTGCCCCAATAAACGCCATCTACGCAATACATGGGGTAGGGAAGAATTTGGGATTTTTTTTTTGCACAATTCAGTGTCATCTTAGTAATCGGTGTGCTACATTAAGATTCTGTACTCCACATATAAGGTAATGATGTATAATTTCGACGTTATTTTCCTATCTCCGCAAGTTCATGATGTAATAGTTCCTCACAATCCAACATCATCTTTATTTGGAAAGGTTTGTAAGAGGGAAATCATCTCCAAATAGGGGATTCCCTATCGCTGTACATTGACAAAGTGACAAGAATCCCATCGTATCTACGCCGTCCAAGGTTGATCACTTTCAGGATTTCTTCGAGCCCGTGCTGTGCCGATATGGCTATGAAGGCTATTTTGTCCCCAAGACAAAAGGCTTTGATCGAATCGCAGAGACTGAAGGACAGGCCATTTTTGTATGGACGGAACGATTTAGCGTCCAGCAGGCCATCTGTTGGACAAGCATTGACTTAAGAAGTGGTAAATGGCGCAAACATACCAACAAGTGGAAGAACCAGATTAAGCCATCGCCGGGCAGATTTCAGATCGTATATGGCCATGAGAAAGCACTTGAGATGATGCCACAGGTTGCTCTTGGATTGTTTCTTCAATCAAAAGGATCGCACCAAAGCATCCTTGCAACCTGCATGCATTTGAAATCCAAACCAGCCGAATTGCCTGATGGAATGAAAGAAGCTGAGCTCAAGAAGATACAGTGCCAATATTTCTTGACGTCCGTCATTGATGCTTCAAACATGTGGGCTCCCAACATGCCCGTGCTGTGTGCAGGGGATTTCAACATCCATCCCACAAAACATACTACAGAAGCTGAAGCATTTGAAGGATTTGCGGAAGCTATCCAAGAAGCCTGTTTGGTAGATGCCTATGCCAGTGGACCAGAACGTTTGCCCAGAAACAGCAGTGAAACTGTTGTGGACTTTATCTTGGTGTCAAGTGCAAATCTGGACCGTGTCAAGTCAACATTAGAAGTGGTTCTGAGTGAACCCAAACCCAAACCGAAGAACTACCCATCAGATCATTTGATACGTGCTGCTGAACTGTCAATAGGATCAGTTCAGGGTCAAACCTTAGACCGGTCTCCAACAAGGAGGTCCAAGAGATAGTACTGATAGCTCCAACTAGAACCAGGAGTGCCTGGATCCTGTGAGAATCTCAGCTATCATCCAGTCTTGCTGTATCTGTACAGCTGAAGATATGGCGAAAGGATTGATAGAAAAGCATTGAGTGCACCATTTCTTGTGCATGCTCAAAGTATCTCAAAGTAAGCATAGGAAAGCTTGGGTGCTGAGAGTAGGATTATCCTTCAAATATCCTGGACCTGAAGGCCAGGTAACTGTGAGATGCTTCAGATTCCCAAGGTGTAACACGTGTATGTTCCGGGTCTGGGGTATTGGGACTACCCAGATCCAATTGGGAGCAAAACAGACTATGTGATTAGTTTGGCAGAAATTATGTGAGCTTCCAAGGCCAGAACAGTCACTCAATTGTGCAAACACTCAGAGAAGGTACTCTTTGATCTCTTCACAAAAGCTAGCTGTGCTAGCTGAAGTTACTCTTGCTTTAGCAAGGAATAGGCAGGCACCAGGACCATTGGAAACCCTGAAGCTTTCCAGTTAGACCCCCATCATGATCACCATCCTCATTTTCATCTTCATTCTCATCCTCAGCATCCCCATCATCCTCATCATCCTCATCATCCTCATCATCCTCATCATCCTCTTCGTCCTCATCATCGTCGTCATCAACTCATTCCTGTTATCATCACTTTCGTCATCATCAGTTTCCTTCATCGTTCTTGTCAGCAACCTCATCAACATCAAAAGATTACCATCCTACCCCAGCCCTGCTAGTTTTCGTACCTCCCCCTGGCCTCAAGTTGAGATTCTTTCAGCAGATGAGCCTTTCCTGGGTTTGACATACGTAGTTTCAACATGTCAACATGTTTCAACATGTGTGAACCAAGGCAAGCGAAATACTGTCAGGGTCCAAACCAAAAAGGCCACTCCGCTGCAGTGGCCGGTCAGTTATTTACTCTGATAGAGCCGAATATTCCCAGATGCCCTGCAGGAGCATGTTGGATCCTTGCTTGAATCACACATAATATATTTGATGTCGATTTAAATGTCAACGTAGGGATTTTCCATTACAAAGGCCGCCAGGGTTTCAACATGAGACCCCGCAAAAGATTGTTCTGAGTTCGCGAAAGTATTTTTTTTTTTGCGAACGATTTAGCGAAAAAAAATCACCTGAGACTTGCGAAAGACACACATGTGGTTTGCGAAAGATTTGCGAAAGTAATTTTGCTTATTCGCGAAGAATGGCCGTTTGCAGATAAAGGAATTTAGATCAACCGCCATCTAATATAGGAAAATATACGGTATAAATAAGATGTTTGGTATTATTTGGCAATCATATGGTACAAAGCATCCTTTCTATTGTTTGATATTCGACATGATGACCATTTTGAAAAATTCCTCGGAACCTTTTGATCTGCGGAGAAGTGCAAAACGAGGCCTGGGATCCCACGAAGTCTTTTCTCGTGACGATGAAGTACCGTCACGTTCCATATGGTGCAGGGGTGTTTCTCAGCTGCAGTGAGGGATGCCAGACAGTGACTCTACCGAGACTCATAGGATCGTAATATATTGTAATGATAGATCGTAATGAAGGGATGTGCGTTTGTAGCATAGGTTTTTTCGGTATCGTCGCGCTCTATTTGTGCAGTAAGATGTGGATAGATGATAGATGTGAATATTTCAGAATATTTCAGTTGGAAGCCAGAAGCCTCTGGTTTGAGCTCAATATGTGAACTAAAGGTCGATAGTTTCGGACATCATCCTGTTATTTTGAGTGACGGATTCGAGTTTTCCCAAGGTGGCCAGCGTTTTGGACTATGTCCAGTGACCACGTTTGGCCGGAGGCCGGTACGGATTCGATATGTCTACATAGTCTATATGTATAGTACATACCCTCCGGTATTCAAATATGGCAATGGAACATCTTCCATTTCTAGAGGCTTTTCTCATGTAAAACCTCCATTTATAGGGGATTTCCCACTGCTAAGCAAGGACTGAAGTGTGTTGCATCATCTTGTCAGGGAGGTGAGCTGGATATCGCGGAATTCGCGAACGATCAGCCGAATTTGGAAGCTCGGCTGTGGTCCTGGTACCCGACTGAACATGCCCAGGACATCAAGCCCTAAAGTCCTAAAGATAAGCAGAGAAATACACTTGGCATGAGCAAGACTGTACCCTTTATATAGATCCCTATCGTTGTTTTGGGTGGATTTGGTTTATGTCGAGAACGAACTGGTTGGTGCTTTTGATTTTGTTTTTCCGTCAGAAATATCTATAGTACCCCCCAATCCCCCAAACAGATAGAACAGTTTAGAGAAATCCTACGGAAATAGTGAGAGGGGATCAATCAGTTTAGAGAAATCCAGAAATCCTAGTTGATAAAGCAACTTTTCTTTCTTTTTGGGGCTTCCTAATCACCTCAATTACTGCAACCAGCATTTTTTTGGGCTGGCTGAAGCGCAAAGAACCTGAGATCACGCTCCATGTGCGTGGCGAGTGCTCCATGAACAAGGAGAAGCTGCGCTTGTGCACACCGGCATCCTACACATGGTGACTGGGCAGCCGGCCACATCTGGCTGCAGGACCTGGCGAACTATGGGTGGTTACAATTTGGGATTGTTTTCCACTGTTTTTCCATCTATAAGTTGGGATCTGTTGGGATAGAACCCCTATAACTTATGAAAAAACAGCGCTTCGATGTCAGAAGACTTCCCAAGGACTTTGCAATATGAACTGACCAAAAAGGCTGTGATCACCAGTTTGAGATACCCTCTGGTAAACTAACATAGCTATGGAAAGATCCACCATTTTTAATGGGAAAATCTATTATTAATGGTCATTTTCAATAGCTACGTTAAATTACCAGAGGGTAGTTTGAGTGCGTCTTGCTCCAACGATGGCATCAAGGTATGATACGATCTCCACATCCTGTGACACCGACTATGGTCAGCAACGACAAGGATGCAAACCACCACAGAAGCGTGCCATGACCTGGGACCAGGGACCAGCCTCTTTGTGGGTCCACATTTGTTGGGAGCCAGACCTTCAGAAATGATTGAGGTGACCCTCTGGCATTTTTGGAAACACATGGAAATACCATGAAATACCAAACGATTGACATCTTGTAAACTGGGATAAACTAAGGCTATCTTGGCGAGATCTTCAATATGTACCCTGGAACTTTTGCTGCTGAGTGTCTTGACCTAAAAGCACAATTGTGCGAGAACCCTGTACAAGTGCTCAGGTGGAGTCTGCTTGAAGCATCTTGAATCTGCATTTCGTCATTGCTAATGAGGAGGTGCTGTGTCTTAGTTGGTCAATTTCCGTGCTGAAACAGCCAGCTTACTGAGGTGGAACAATAATACCATCAAGGCCGGGCCTTGCTCCAGCTGTTGGCTTTTCACTGATCTGTACTGGAGCATTGGAACTGATCAGCACCGCCAACGATGTGACGAATGGCATGGAAGATCATGGAAGCATAAGAGCATGAAGGATAGATAGCGTTTCATTTATTTGATGAACATTTGATGAAGATTTGGAGGATCCGGAAAGTCCAGGAGTCCAGATCTTCTGTGAAACCATGTGAAACCACGGTAAAACCTAAAGGTCTTTGGTTCAGCCAACCTGCGACCAGGTCTGGCACTTTCCCGAAGGAAGCGAGCCAGCGGATCTGAATGGTGATCCCAATCCAGAAAGCTGGGATCCAGAAAAGTTGCTGACGTGGTTTCCTTTTGCCACTTGGACTTGAAGATCAGGAAGATGTGCAAGTTGAGTGAATAAAAAATAACAAAAATACATTACCCATAGGATCCATGTATGCTATATATGGTTGCATTTACCATCAATATACCCCCAATGTTAGCATATATACCATACATGGATCCTCTGGGTTATATCTTCTTCATATAGATACGGTTACGAAAGCATTTGCAGATATTTGCAGTTTGGATGAACTGGCGAGTTCGAGAATGAGCAGCCATTTTGTTCGCATTCGGATTTTTCATGTTTTTTCCAAGGAGCCAGACACCTGCCAAAACGCATTTTCGCCCCAAGAGCTGGTGATTAACACCGAGCTGTGCACCTCGGCAATCGAGGGCCACCACGGGACGGACGCATGCAGCGATGGCCTGAGGTGGTGACTATGCCGGCAACATGTTTGAACTGACCCCTCTGAGCTTTGCCACAGGCAGGGCTTCCTGAAAACGAATGAATCTGTAAATATGTATGTGTATATATATATATATATTATATATACAGATATATACAGATGTATACAAAATATACATGAGACGATGACTTTTTCAAGCTGTTGTTGCCTGTCCAAGTCAGAACAGTTAGCATTGCAACTTTGGTTTGCTCATGTTTGCTCCAAGTCTTCAAGTTCGGGCAACTGCAGCAATGTTCAGCTTTTTCACGCTGTTGAGGCTACAGATCTGTGTTTGGCAATTGCGCGGGTGGCAAGGATCCTTGGACGCAACGAACTGAAATCTGCGTGTCTTGTTGTTGAATTTAATTGCTGAATTGCATATGAGTGAGTTTCTAGTTTCTAGCATTTGGCTTCGTCTGAAAATGAGGTTCCCCCCAAGTCCATCGGACTGTCACTTTGAATACTTTAATTAATCATCATGTTTCCAGCCCAAATTGCATATTTATTGGGGAACGCCATTTGCTTGTGCTGATTCAACGATGCATCCAGCACAGGATTGTTGCAAGAAGTGGATCCAGGAGCCGCAAAAAATCTATGTTGAATCAAGGAACGACAACTGCATATGGTTTTAGAATGTTTTAGCTCAAATTCTTCCAGGAAACTCTTAAGTTGTCCTTAAGAAAAAAATATAACTATATAATATATATTTACATATACAGTATACATAATATAATAAGATAATGATTGTTGAGAGCCTTGGTAACTCTTTATGCTGTGGCAGGATTCCAGAGCAACGCGCTCTCTGAAAGACTATGCATATTGGGATATTGACTACATCAAGGCAGGGCCCCCGGAAGTCGCTTGAACCGCTGCTTCAAAGCCTGGCCAAACATGTGGGAGTGCCGCCATTGCGACATGCGACATGCAGGTCTTCACCTTGCACGGCGAGAAGGACTACGCCCAAGCAAGTGGAACTTTCCTCCGCAATGGAAAGGCCCTACACCTTCAGGACAGCGTCTCTGCAACCAGCCACTTACAATGTATAAAACCCGTTGTTATCATGTGCTACTCGCGGGTCATGAGTCCACTCCTATATGCAGGAACATGCAGGAACCATCCTTACCCACAGGAGTGGTCAGCATCCAATCGCTCCGATCCAAGTACCCTGGAGAGCTGATGGCTGCATGAAGTGAGCCAGTGAAGGCACACGTCTTTCATTGCTCCATGTGGAAATGTTGAAATTTGGCGGTTACGGACCGAAAACTGGCCGGACCGGTGCAAAACATGCAAAACACCCCAGAGCTGGACCGCTGGATGTTGTGGCTTCATTTAGGAAGGAATTTCAGGGAAATCTGCACTCAAAACACTGGCTTTTGCTGTTGCGTACACCCATTTCTGTTCCTTTTTGGGGAGCACTTTGCGCAGCCAAAGCACAAAGTTGCTAGAGGTTGAGGCGAATCGTGGAAAGAACCCAGTTCCAGCAGCTACTACAGTGGTTGGTAAGTTTCAGTAGATTATTAATTATGTTAAGTGATGGTTGATAGTAGATAAATCTTGCATTTTCATTTTCTTTTGTGACCTCTACGTTGTGGTGGATGCGATTGCAACTGTCACTTGCTTGCAACCCAACCAAGAAGCTATCATTGGCAGGGCAGTGATGGGCAGTGTGTCATCTTTGCTTCCAAAAGATGGCGCACTTCGATGCATTTTTCTCCTCGACTCCTCTACATTTGGGTGTTCTGGCTCAAAGTCATGACAAAACAGCTTAGGAGCGGTAGATATCGGCAGACTACTCGAAGCATGGCTAGTGACTATAGCGTTTTCACTCGGTCTGGAAGTTTTTAGCCATGTCCATTTTGAGAAAGCCTGCCCTTTTGCTGAACCCCACCTTCAGAGCCCACCCACGTGCTGAATGCACTTTCAGACTTAGAGAAATGAGCTAGAACGCCGTGGAAATCGTATCCATGGCCGAGAGAGAACTGACTCATGCGCTGAGCTGAGCTGCATTTTTTTGTTCCCAGACTTGACTCCGATAGAAGATGCAATTCGTGATAATGTTTATCCTGGATTGTATTTCGGCATAGTCTCGATGGGCTGGCAGTAGGTTTGACAGTCATCCAATTTGTGAAGTGCGAACAAAACCGAGGTTTTCCTCCAAGAAGAAAAAGAAGGCCTCTGACCTTTGTCAAGACTTATCATTACCATATGTTGGGGAGATGAATATGCATTTACGAGCTATGTTGGTGTTCACCCGGCTAGCAGGGTTTTGATAGTTAGCCATCTGATCTGCTGGATGGTTATCAGGAGGAAGAACAAGCCGAGCAGCTGCAAAATCAGTTGCAGAAGCTCCACGAAGAGTATGTCAACTTCAGGCGTGCCCGCTGCTTTGCATCATTCATCCCATCCTCCCAATACTTATTTGAATACATGCATATATGGGACCGTAACATGAACAGATTCAATGTTGAACCAGACAATAACCAGGGTTTCTAGGCAGGTATCTAAGATTAGAATGCAAAAGATAGCATGAAGTAACATCATGCATTCAGCTTGACATTTGGTCTTTGGATTCTCTGGTGGTTGGGACCAAGCCCAAGACAAGAACGACAACAGCTCTTGGACGATTTTGCTCTGTGACTCCCACGAATGTTCTGGAAGAGCCAGAAGTGATCTGATCCTGGAAGAATGATTTTGTGGGTTGAAGGTGCTGTACATTATGCAAAACTTCATGAGCAGCCAGATATACACGGCAACATACTACAAAGATCTTCAATCACGACTGCCCAGTTTCACACACAGATGCTCCTGCTTGGCATGCTGGGCACATCTCAGCACTGCATTTTTTATTTCAAGCCTCACATCGAAGAGGACTTTTCTTAACGAGGCTGCTTGTCTGAAATGGTAGCAACACATCTGTGAGAGCATCAAGGGCTGACGTTGAGAAAACAATGACAAGTGCCTCAGTTGAGCCATGCACTTGAGCAAATTTGTAAAATTGCAGCAATTTTGAAGGAGTGATGTTATGTGATGTTCAGAATGTTCAGATTCATCATGTGGATGGCAATTTTACTGGGTTAAAACCGGGGCAATCGCTGGTTTGTGCACTGATGGCGACGGCCCCAAGCTGGATTCTTGTTTGCTGGGGGCCCGGATGCCGGTCAGCTTTGAAAATCTGTAGCCAGGAAAACACATACCCGTCTATGGTATGAATATATATATATTAATATATATTATATATATATATATTATATATATATATTATATATATAATATATATATATATCTATAGAATGGGCTAGCGCCCGGGTGCCGCCGACCCCCCTTCTGGGGGGTTGGGCTGAAGGTGGTTGGTCTATATCTAACCCAGCCACGTCCCAGATTTTGTGCAGTTGAAAGGGTGCGTGCCAATAAGAAGCCATTGATGTGTGGCCTTGGGGTGCCTGTTGGCTGCAGGATGAAGCATGCCAAGGGAATGTTTACAGTAAGCGATGTGGCCTTGGGGCAGCGCTATTGCCTGCGCAACAAGTGCAACACCACACGCAGGTAGACCACCCCCGAAAAGTTTCGCAACCATTGCCCAGATATGGGCGCCCATATGGGTACAGGACATGCCTGCTAAGTGCTGTCCAGCACCTTGCACATTTAAAGCCCGTGCAGAAGGCCTTGCGCAGTTAAAGCCGGCGCAGGCGGTCTCGTGCGTTTGGTGCCCGCACGGAAGGCAAAGGACGGACCCCGCCGTCTTCATCGCTGTCGATGACTTGAACCTTTACTACGGGAATGCGGGAACGGCTGCTTTGGCCTTGAAATACAAAACCTTCCGCAGGAAAACTTACTTGCCCAAAGCATGTAATTTTCATTTCCAAATGCTTGGAAGTCTTAACTGCAGGATGAAGCATGCCAGGAGAATGTTTACGCGATGTGGCCTTGGGCCAGTGCTGTTGGCTGCGAGATGGGTTTGACCTTGGGAAGCTAAGAAGGAGAAGTTCCACACCTGCGGTGGTCCCAGGCGCCGCCCCTGCCTTGGCCAAGGCCGGGGTCGGCAGATATATATATATATTATATATATTATATATATATATTATATATATATATATATTATATATATAATATATATATATATATTATATATATATTATATATATAATATATATAATATAATATATATATAATATATATATATATGAAATATATATATATATATGAATGGTACTGTAAATAGTGATAATACGAATGGTATGTGGCTCATTGGCTGTTTGAGTCCCATCTCGACTCAGAGGTCTCGAGCTTGGACTGGCGCCGTGAACTTAGTTGCACTGATCAAATCAAATCAACAAGTCAATGGCCATTTCAGGGACCTAAATTGGAGGTACCTACCATATATAAGGCCTATGTAAGGCCTATGTAAGGGAATATCCCAGCAAAATATGGCCTTATATGGTACAGTACCTCCATTTTAGGATCCTGAAATTCCCATTGAACAAGGGTGCCCTCAATGCACTTGCACAATGTTGAATTTGGGATGTGCAGGCTAACGTTTCCCAGCCTCACTTGCACGAGAAGCATGTACCCTTCAGGTTCGGCTATGACTGCACCATGAAGAAACCAGAGGAGAGCAAAGTAGACCGCTTCCATCTGATTTCCATCTGATTTACATCTGATTTCCATCTTCTTTGAATCTCTGTGGGAGCATATGTACCACTGTATTCCACTGGCTTCCACGGTTCCACGAGATTCCACCAGTTTGGGTGAACCCCGTTTAAAGCATCGTTTAAAGCATCGACAAGGACTGGGACATCGCAAAGCGAGCCTATTGTTGCCTGAATCTTGGTGTGATGAATTGTGATGGCCTTCAAGACGTGCATCAAAGATCAAAGTGATGGCTTGAGTGTGCTTGACTAAATTTAGGGATGCTCCCTCCATCCAATATCAGTATACGACAAGCCTCCAGTCATTGATTTCGTGCAGGTCGGAATCCTCCTTACTATTGTGCACCATACACGAAGGGTCGACTACTGAGAGGGCTGCGAGCAGGATTTCTTATCATTTCTTATCATCGTGGGGTGTTGAGGGAGAAAATTTGTAGGGACTGATGCAGAGAATGCCTTGGAAAGAAAACCACTTCTTACCTTGAACTTTCTGCTTAAATCTCTAGGCCTTCCCGAACACCAGGGTTTGTCTAAAAATTGGGTATCCGGTATCCCCAAATCCCAAGGTTTATCATTTTATCCATTGACTGGCCACTTTATGGGAGGTATCCCACATATTCCCACATATTCCCACATCAGTCACAGCCACCAGTCGCCAGGCTGTGATGCTCCCTGTTTGTATGGCAACGTGACTCTGAGTTGCCAGGTTTGGGCCCCGAAAAAACCCGGGACCGCAGGAATCGGGACCGAATCGGGACCTGCGTGGCACTCGCAGGCTCGGATTGGCTACCGCCACCGTGTCGCATACAAGAAGAAGCGTGAACCTCATTGGCGGAGAGCTTTGAGTCTTTGAGTAGAGTAGTCTTGCAAAGTGAGATTGATACCCCAATCAAACATAATTTAATCATCAAAGCCATCTTTTGCATTATTACAACATATATCAATTATATATATCAACAATATATCAACAATATATCAACATATAGGATCGTATAAGAATGTTTGACATGCCATGGATTTGGGGTGAGGCCATCTTACCAAAGGCACAGTTTTCCCACAGCCCTAAGGGATGATGGCTGCCTCCGAGCCTATTGGGATGTCATGGACGAGTGTGGGGCACTGAGAGCGACTACGACACCTGATACGACATGCTGAGAGATTCTGAGAGGCCCAGTTTGCCAAGATTGTTTGGCAGTAAATGCTGGATGTGTGATCCTCAGATTGTTCAGATTCAGTGAATGCGCCATCGTTTCTCAGCACAGACAGGTTTTTCACAGTGCCACCATCACGTTCAAACCGAGAGGATCCATTCAAAGTGGAAACTCTCAGCACATCAAATGGTCTCAAAGTCGCTTTCAGCAAAACCCATCAAACAACTCATGCTAAAGGACACAAATGCAGCGAGGGTGTACAGGGAAGTCTCTTTTTGTGTTGTTTTCAAGAAATCAGCTGCGGAACAGTGTCTTGCAGAAGTCGTCTCTTTTTGGCTTCCCGCAAGCTGAATGCAGGATTTGTGATGATGTTTTGTTTTTGACCTATTATTTTGCGAATGTTGCGTTTAGAATGGTGTTTGCATGAAAATACTCGGGGGTCTTGTTGCTTAAATGTTGCGTTGCCTGTATAAAAGATATATATATATATATGACATTATTATTCCATTGGGTCATTGCTTATTGCAAGATCACAAAACACATAGGCACGCTGAATTTCACCAACATGAACCTACCATTTGCAGTCATAAACCTTCTTATTGTTTGTTTGTCCATTGCAGGGCACACAACGCAGGGGTACACTGGGTCAGGGATGCTTTGCACGACTTATATGGCACTAGGTGTGCCATTGGGAAACAAATAATTAAACTACTGGATCAATGTTGTAAACTTGGTGTGCCATGCGGAGGATGATCGTTCTGACTGTTCAAACAGGCGGAAGATTATTGATGTCTGGCGTAAGCGGTGTGCCATGCGGCTGGCGCAAGTTCTAGTAAATGCCGTAGGATCACGCCGGGGCTCGTACCGAAATCAAACGAATCCATGTCCAGAGTCATGACAAGAAAACGGGGCGTGTGCTGCAGAATTGGTTACTTTTCTCATTTGGATGGAAGGCAGCTGTTTTGCTATCAATGCGTGTGTTGCCCACTTTCAACATGGTTTTATCACCAAAGGAGATGGTATTAAATATGTGGTTCGCAATGGCACGGACACATGTTACATATTTTGTTTGCCAAACCAACGGTGGTGTGGTACTAGTGTGCCAATAGGATTTGGTCCCTGGGGTAACTTCCGGATGGCCTGGGGTAACCCTGTGTGCCATTGGGATGGGGTAACTTCTGGGCGCCTGGGGTAAGAAAAAACTTCCGCCCAGTCCAGGAGATATTTTCCCAGCGTTGCTATGCAGAGATAATTTTTCTACTATATCTTTTGGCATTCAAAAGAATAGCAGCCCACCAGCAGAATGCAATGATTTCTACAATTTCAAGATCGTAGGTGAAAAAAAAAACATTCAGTAAATCTAGCGTTCACATGGGGGAAACCATCAAAGGGATGACTTAGGGATGACTTCTTGGAAACAGCGTTGACAATGGGAAAAACCAAAAGGGACAGTGAGACTTTCACTTCTACCTGTAGGATACCCTCCGGTAATCAAACATCCACGGCAATGGAAAATCACCCATTGGGATAGATGAATTTCCCATAAGAACCTCCATTTCTGATGGGGGTTTTCCCAGCCAGCCATGTTTGATTACCGAAGGATAAGCACAGCCAGGGCCACTTGTGCTCACCTGACGGGGCCCAGGCAACAGAAGCAGAGCTGCTGGCCAAATTTTATTCAATCAGCCTCATGGAGTGGTTCTACTATTTTTGTATCTCTTCTTTAAATGAGAATCACATACATCACCAACTTCAACATATTTGATCCAACTTCGCCTAGCCAACAAATAAGAGCGACACTTTGGCTAATTGCTGATTATCTCCCTGTGAGTTGCCTGGCGATATTCCGCCTTGCCAGAAATGGACTGCAGTGGTGATCCTGACCACGAAAAGTGGGATGATGCCACCAGAGAGTGCGGCTGCCCAGAACCGCGCTGAAACGTGTCGCTGTGCTCAAATTAATCGTAGACAATTGTAGGAATGATGCCAAATCGCGAATTGCTGGTAATTGGCTGCAGAGTGGGACAGCACACTCTTTTTTGAAAGGTAATTTGAGCCATTCTGAAACAGTCCTCAGCAGCGAAGAACAAACACACCCATCTAGTTGCTACAAATTTTGGCATGCCTTGGCTTGACATGCCCTAGATCATCACGATTTCAGAGCGTTGAACCACAGCATCCTTTCGCTTTGGTGACGCAGGTTCTGCTGTTTGAAGCAGGGCAAGGCGGGCCACAAAGTCAACTGCTTTTGAGCCTCCAATCTTCAGATCGTCAAATTGAACAAGTGACGGCCACCGTCCGAAGTTGACTCTACACCAAGTATCGTTTGTCTGTATCTACTCATCAAAACATTTGCACTCATGCTTGAGACAGTGCATGCAGTGGTCAGAAAAAGTGCTAACGCTGTCGCAGCTAGGCATGTCCATCATTGAGGGCATCACCTGTTAAGGCTGGGCTGCCACCAAGCAATGTGTCTGAGAATGAGTTACCCCCAAGTCGCCCAAGTCCAAGGGGATCATCCAAAGGGTTTCCGTGTCAGTTGGCTTGGCCACTGCGCACATCTGGCACATCTGCGCACAGGTGAAGCAGACATTCTTTGACTGCGAGGAGCCAGCAGTACACTCTGACAGTTCATTCATAGAGGTCACACGCTGAGGCACAAGCGGCCTATGCATCAGCAAAAGCCTTTTGCGGCAAAGCTCGTGATAAAAGTTGATGAGAACTATGCGAAAAAGAACATTGACATTTTTCAACATTCAATCATTTGAAACCCAAGCAAAGAAGCTATATATAAGATCATTTGAAATATCTATGTAAATATAGGACGAGATAGGAAACGATATCGCAGCTCTTTAGTGGCTAGGACCATTTCTGGGATTGGACCTCGTCCTGGAGCAAGGAGCAGAAGCCATGGCCTCAGGGGCTACTGTAATTCTGTTTGGAATATTCGGTGAATATCTTCTATATTTGTGTGGATCTGTGGGGTATGTACTATAACCATCATAATATTCATGATATACATTGATATACGATTTAAGCTGATTGTCAAACAATCTCCTAAGAATATAGTCTAGTGAAAAGTCACAGTACGTAAGCAGGCAACGTCTTGATATATGTATTTTGTGCCTCTTCATGTTGCAAATGGCGCTCTGGTCATGTCGCATGTGTCTGAGGGATTGGTGCTGCAAACACCAAAAGAAAGGGTGCAAAGGGATGAGAGAGAGCAAAGCACCGCGTAGCAAGGCACTGCCGGAAGTTCCATGAAGTTTTCTGCCGGATGTCCTGTTTTAAGGGAGGAAAACATGGGCTGACTATGCTGACTGACTGAAAGAATCGCCGGGAGTCTAGGAGTCTTCTTTTCCACTGCATCACTTCTTTTGCGCATCACGGTCAACTTCGGCAATGAAACAAGCTCAGCTGTGGTATCGCAGCCACGAACTGCAATAGCGGAGGCTCACATCCCAGATGCCGACTTCCAGATCATTTTGAGTGCAGAGCAGATGCTGAAAAGGCCGAATTCTGTGAGAGAATGTGCAGAGATTGTAGGTATTTTCTTTAGGATAGAAGCTCCTGTAGAATTGTAGAAATGCATCATATCAGACATATCAGACCTTTTTTAGGGAGTCATAGGCTGAGGATCGGTCAGCACATCCGTTCGATCACTTCGCAGCTGAACAGGCATGGATTCACCTGGGAATCTTTGCGAACACCTGGGCCAAGTGAAAGCTCAGCACCTTGCAAGTCGGTGGAACTTCCAATTTTTAGCAGCATTTTCCCAGGGATTCTAGCCGACTTCCCAAAACGTTTAAGGCAATCTCCAGTTTTTTTTTTAAGTAGGGAACTTCCTGTTTTTCTTTTTGTGAAGGGATGAATGATCCTCACTTTTTTCCTCATTCCGGGACCTTCTTTCGTTGATGTTTTAGGAACCCCCGGAGGATTTTGTTTGGCAACTTCCTGATTCTTGTGGAGAAGCCTGCGGTGCATTTGCCTTGAGGGAAGTTTTTGGGGATGTTAAATGTTTTTTTAAGGAATGGTTGCAGGTAATAACAACCATCAGCAGTATAATTTTTTCGCACCCTGACGCCGACGATGCCTCCTTGCAGCCTGCGACATCTGAGGTGTCACGCTTCACCAAGCCCTTCAGATGCGATGTTGTGCACACCTCAGCGTAAATCCTCTGGATCAAGCTCTGTTGTTTACTTTGCCTTAGCCATCTTAGACTTATCTTTTTCCCTTCTTGCATCTTGCCAGGATGCTTTTCAAGGTCGAATTGTGAAGAAACTTAGCACACGAAGTTCTGCAATTCTAATGCATTCAATGCAGAGATCAGATATCACAAGTGTCAGGTTCATTTTGAACTCCCATGGTTGTCAATGGATGTCAATGGAACAATGATTGTATCAAAAGCTTCGTGAATCATAATTCATACAATCAAAATCAGCATCTGAATCTCTAAATACAATGATATCCTCTGGTACTTTAACATAGCCATTGAAAATCACAATGTTTGATAGGTAAACCATCAAAGTAAATGGGTAATGTTCTTTCGTTTTCAAGTATTTTCCCTACCAAAATTGCCAACCAGCATCCCTAAACATATTTAATGGATATATGATATATGCATATATAGATAAATAATGATAAATGTTAGACGATAGATCATACGAGACAACATCTAGTCCTGTCTATTAAAAAGTATCATTTTATATCATCAAATACGTAATAGAGATGAACGATGAACTCTTCCTTATTTCATCATGTTCCACCATTTTCCATAGCGAACAATGATCATAGATGATGTATCGCACCATGATCATGGCTTTCCACCCAGGCCCTGGACAACTTCCATGCGGCTTGGAGTCAGGCGAAGAAGGCTTGGTGCTGTCGGGTGACTAAGAGCGCAAGGTAAGACGGTCAGCCCAGGACAGTTGCCAGATGCATGCTACGTGATGTTACATGCCTGTGGTCAAAATATGGATATGATATAGTATATATAATGCTTGTACATCATGCTTGTATGCCATGTCACGACATCATGTTAAACTTTTTCCTGATTTTATCTTCCACTGCTATCTTGATTGGATGGGTGTCCATTTGCATATACATACGTACATTTGAGACAGGTCAGATAGCTCACGCAGCTGTTTGTGTGTCCAAGCATTGCACATGTTTTGAGGTCAGAACGAGCAAAAAGGCTGCTCTTTGCAAGAGCCAGCGCTGCAATTGACCTACGACTGTCGCGCACGGGCCTTTTTTTTCAAAGCCGTGCCCACCTCCGACCTTCAAAGGGATCATCGACATTCATCCGCTCCACTGAGGGGGACACGATTAATTGGCCAAGAGCCAAGAGAGACTGGTAAGAGCCCAAGAAACTTTAGTGACAAGCAGCATTGAACGACCTGACAGTCTTCAAGGACTGTTCCATGAGTGCAGTATAGTGGATGTATCAGAGATGTATGATGGGACATTCACTGTTTTGATATTTTTGGATTACAATACAGAGACCACATGTTTTTGCCCGAAATCGCAGTCGTAATCCCCCCAAGCCAGCTCACTTAAAGTGTGTCTGGCAAAAGTTAGTGGTGAAGAAAATGAACGCCACCAACATGAAAGCTCAGACAGTCACAGCAACACGTGGGTCATGATCACCGAGTACCAAGTGCCAAGCACATGTACGGGCAGTACGGGCGGCATAGTAAACACATATGCAGGACTTGTGAAGCCTACAAAGGCTCCTTCCAGATCATCAAGACTGACATCAGTTAGTTTGTTTTCATGACAGAAACATGGACTGCTGGCGTCTTGAAGCTTCCGCAGGACTGGCTGAAACTTCATTGTGATCAAATTTCAATATTACAGATGGAAAATGATGGAAACAAAATGAACGGGTCACATTATGTTAGTCACACATGCTAAATAACGTTACTGAGTAACTGGTAGTCAACATGTCATGTCATGTCATACTCCAGTCGCATATCTGGGTGTGTTTCTCCCTTTCCTGGAATCACCGATTCCTGGCTCACAGGCGCCCCCACGACGGCATGGAAAGGGAGTCTTGGAACAGATGTTATTTTTTGCCGTGACGTCTTGCCACTAGGACGACAATTCCATGAATCCTGTGGGACAGCAGCAGCAGCAGCAGCAGCAGCAGCCCTTTTTGTCGATGTCTATTGGTTGGACATGTTTGGGCATGTTGGATCTTGAAGGAACTTCCTGGTTTTGCACATTCTCCTAGCATTTTTTTTTGACAATGTTCAACAAGTGCGCTCACATTTGGGGCATCAGGAATTCTTGGACGAATTCCTCGATCGACGAGTAGCCGGCCACAAAGCAAGCAGAGATTTGCATGTGAGTCTCCGAGTTTCATAGGCAGCCTGCCAGCACTGGAAGGGAATGTAAGTGCCATTTTCTTGACTGTGAGACATGTGACCCTCAGCTACCACATTGAAAACGATCGTAGTCACGGATGTCCTGGAATGCGAAAGCTTGACCCGAGCCAGTTAGAAAAACGTTAAAACAATTATATAAACATGTGTAATTAAATGATCATCAATTTAAATGTTCATCAATTAGTTGGAGCACGGCCTTTATCTGGCCGTGCGTTTTCGTGCACATTGGGGGGGTGGTGTGTGGTGGGGTGGGGTGGGGCATGTTAAACGTTCATGTGAACTTGCTAGGTAAGTGGACTCGTCTCTTTGTGTGCCGTTATGTGCGTGTAGACATGGGTGGGTTGGGGTGGGGTGGGGTGGGGCATGTGTTAACGTTCATGTGAACTTGCTAGGTAAGGGGACTCGTCTCTGTGTGTGCCGTTATGTGCGTGTAGACATGGGTGGGATGGGGTAGTATAATAACCCCGTGCATTGCATTTTAGCTTGGCTTGCACTTTAACACTGCCAATACGTTGCCGGCCCAGAAAACGATAAGAGGAAAAAAACGATAACGATGGCTCATATATATATATATATTTATTTATTTATTTATAATATATAATAATATATATATATATATATGCATGATATGAGGTACGGTTAAAACTCGATCTGGTGTATTATTTATGTAAGGAGAGTTCTCGGGTGTTAGGAACTTGCACAAAACACTATAGAGTCGTTTGCATGGACTACGAAAATAAGAACGTATAGAGGGGACCAAAACGATAACGAAACGATAATGAAAACGATAAGGAACTGTAGCAAAAAATATGCCGTGTGAGCAACTACCCATTTGACAGGTTTCACGAGGCTTTTTGAAAACAGAAATGTGTGGCATGATAGTCTTGTTTAGCTTTTCCTTTTACCGGCTTTGCCTCACCCTGGCTTCTGCCATGTCTTTACCACCCAAGACTGTCTATGCCTTGCTGCAGCAAGTTTTGAAAGATCCTGAAATCGGACCTGGTGCAATTTTAGAAACAAAAAAGCAATGTCCCGGACTCCTTGCCCTAATTTCACAGACCAAAAAAAAAGTTGTAGAAAGCTAGTCAAGTGCTGAGATGCTTCACGATTATGATCCATGTCGAAGATTGCACACAGGACAATATGTTTTGATCTTCCACGAACAATTCTTTCACACCCATGGAAGCCTGGTAAATTCACACTTCTTGTCTACAGGGAGCTCACCACCTGAGAAAACGATAAGAGGAAAAAAAAACGATAACGTGATTTTGGGTAATTTAAAAAGATACGGGGTTTTTATACAACCCCGGGTGGGGTGGGGCATGTGTTAACGTTCATGTGAACTTGCTAGGTAAGTGGACTCGTCTCTGTGTGTGCCGTTATGTGCGTGTAGACATGGGTGGGGTGGGGTGGGGTGGGGCATGTGTTAACGTTCATGTGAACTTGCTAGGTAAGTTTTCGGTTGCTTTCAACTGATACGTCATGCTACGCTCGCGTAAGTGCTCGGGTACTTTTGACTGACACGTCATGCTACGTTCTTGAAAGTGTTCGGGTACTTTGAACTGATACGTCATGCTACGTTCTTGCAAGTGTTCGGGTACTTTGAACTGATACGTCATGCTACGCTCTTGTAAGTGTTCAGGTACGTTTAACTGATACGTCATGCTACGTTTTTGCAAGTGCTCGGGTACGTTTAACTGATACGTCATGCTATGCTCCTGTAAGTGCTCGGGTACTTTGAACTGATACGTCATGCTACGCTCCTGTAAATAGGTCATGCTACGCTCGCGTAAGTCTTCGGGTACTCTTAACTGATACGTCCTGCTCCGTTCCTGTAAGTGCTCGGGTACTTGTAACTGATACGTCATGCTACGCTCCTGTAAGTTCAGGGGTACTTTTAACTGATACGTCATGCTACGCTCCTGTAAGTTCTCTGGACTTGTGCACGTATATGAATTAGATATTTATACGGTCGTTTGGGACAATCCAGATCCCCAAAGGTTCCTGGAAGAACTAGAACAGTTGCTGTGAGAAAAAAATTCAATCAGAAGATGTCCGCTGGAAGTGCGATCAGTTTCTTTGCTTTCAACATCATTTACTTGTATGAATGCCTGTCTTTGGTTATAGTTAGCTGTTCGATGCAAGTGAAGGTCCGTTGCAAGGTCGTCTGGCAGGTTGTGCCAAATTCATCAATACATAACATGTTGAAATCCAGGTCGGTTGCAAGGTCGTCTGGCAGGCTGTGCCAACTTCATCAATACATAACATGTGGAATTACAAAAAAAAATGCGTTTTCGCCTAGGCGAAATACTTGTTTTTTCATTTCATGCACCAGAATAAGGGGGTTTCTTGTCTTTGAACTCACATCAAAACAATACAGGTCGAATTAGTTGGGGAGTTCTGAGAAACATCAAAAATGATAGTTTCGCCTAGGCGAAACGCTCGATTGTGATTTTATGCACCAGAATAAGGGGTTTTTCGCCTTTGAAATCACATCAACCAAAATCCTATTGGCACGACCACATCAAACATCATCATGACACCCCGTTGATCACAAAAAAAACACGGCCAGATAAAGGCCGTGTTCCTAGTTAGATGTCGGAGTCAGTATGTGATCATCAATTTGGGCAGCTTTGATGTCTCCATATCCCGAGGGCTGCCAGTGGAGACATCTCTGTCAAGGACAGGGCGGATGTAAACGGTGTGAAACAGTCAAGCAGCCCCAGGGTGGGAGGATCCAAAGTCATCTTTTGACGTGATAAACCCAATAAGTGAAATATGTACAAAATTGTACAAATATGTATATAATTCTCGGATATTCTTGGAATCTTTTTTGGGGGGATGGCTATACTGGTACCTCCCAAAATGGATCAAAACGGTGGATGGTTGATGGGCTCAACACGACCTACTTAAAAATCCTTAAAAGTCCACCATCGTACGCTGCCCTGAGATGTATGACCCCAGAAGATGTCGACTCCTTGCAGAGCATAAGCCACTTGGATTTGTCATTTCTTGAAGTTGAAGAGACCGTCTGACAGTAGACATATGTCAATATGTGGAGGTTTCCTAAGATGGCAGTTCATGCCCCTGAATCATCCATTTTATGTTTAATGGGATTTCCATTGTAAACCATCCATGTTGGGGATCCCCCATTTGTGGAACCCCCCATGTGGAAATTGGAGAACTCTCTATGGCCATGAAGTGTGTTGCATCCATCTGTGGGATGGCATTGGGATCTCATGAGGATATTCTTGGCAAATTTTGGCACATTATTGGGATATTATATTGCCCCAACGGGAATACATGGATATTAATTATCTATAATACATACCAGTAGTACGGCACAAGGCGGTGGCGGAAGTTTCAGAATAGGAAACCTATAGGAGACGTTGGTTGTTGTGAATCACGGATGGCAGAGCGAATCCACTGATTGACCGAAAGATGGTTGGAGTTGTGTTTGCTGGAATGGTTGCAATGGTTGCAGTGGTCACCTCACCCACAACTGCTGGATGTAGTGTGATGTACTGCAACTGTAGTTGTAGTTGTAGCGTAGTGGAGCTGTAGTTGTGGTGTAATGTAATTAGTGTAGTGTAGTTGCAGTCATATGGTTGTAGCTGTAGTTGTTTTGTAGTTGTAGTTGTAGTTGTTGTAGTTGTAGTTGTTGTGTGGTTGTAGCTGTTGTGTAGTGTAGTTGTAGTTGTAGTTGTAGTTGTAGTTGTAGTAGTAGTAGTAGTAGTTGTTGTTGTTGTTGTTGTTGCTGTAGTTGTTGTTGTTGCTGTTGTTGTTGTTGCTGTTGTTGTTGTAGTAGTTGTTGTAGTTGTTGTAGTGTTGTAGTTGTAGTTGTAGTAGTTGTTGTTGTAGTTGTAGCTGTAGTTGTTGTGTGGTTGTAGTTTTGTAAAGTGTAGTTGTAGTAGTAGTAGTTGTAGTAGTAGTAGTAGTAGTAGTAGTAGTAGTAGTAGTAGTAGTTCTTGTTGTAGTTGTAGTTGTTGTTGTTGTTGCTGTTGTTGTTGTTGCTGTAGTTGTTGTTGTTGTTGTTGTTGTTGTTGTTGTTATAGTTGTTGTAGTTGTAGTTCTAGTTGTAGTTGTAGTTGTTGTGTAGTTGTTGTAGTTGTAGTTGTTGTAGTTGTAGTTGTTGTGGTTGTTGTTGTTGTTGTTGTTGCTGTTGCTGTTGCTCTTGCTGTTGTCGTCGAAGTTAGGGTAGTTAAGTTAGTGAAGTTAGTTAAGTTAGTCAAGTTAGTTAAGTTAATCAGTGTCTACTTTTTCGACATCTTCACGTCAAAAAAGGCTCAAAACCCTCAGTTGTTTGCACTTTTGACTTCGAAATGTGCTTCGCACCACAACGGCGTGCACTTTTTTGACACTTTTTCGACATCTGAGTACCTCCAAAGTGGTCGAGACCGTCAGTTTATATAGCGCACTTTGACTTGGAGATGGTGTGCGATGTTCGCGCCACGAGAAGGCGTGCACGTTATTCGACCCATCCTCAAACTTTCCCCAGCTGGTCGGACATGGTGTGTTTTGTACATTTGACTGGGATAATGGAAATGTGGTATTCGGCGCCACGAACGCGTGGCACCCTTTTTCGAAATCATATCCAAACTGCCAAAAGTGTACCGAGCATGGGTGTGTTTTGTACATTTTGACTTGGGAACTGTGCCTTGCCGCCACGAACGGTGGGGCACTTTTTCGACATCTGAACCTCCAAAAGTGGTCCGAGACCGTCAGTTTTAACACTTTTGACTTGGAAATGTGCTTCGCGCCACAACGGCTGGCACTTTTTCGACATCTCAACTTCCAAAAGTGGTCCGAGAAATTTTGACTTGTGCTTCGCGCCACAACGGCGTGCAACTTTTCATCTCTCATCTGGCCAGCTGGCTCCGCACCCGCCGCTTTAGCGAGCCTACTTTTCGACTCTCCGGAGCCACAAATCATTGGAAAAACACAGTGTTTCGCGACTTTCCTACCTTTTCGCGCATCTGCATCTTCTTTCTTCTGACTCTTTCTCTTCTACTCTTCTCTCTTCTAATCTTTCTCTTCTCTCTGCCTCTGCCCTACTCTGCTTTTCATCTGTCCATATTGTCGGAAGTTTGACTTCTAAACTTCCTTCGAATATACATACAGTATATAACATATTATGATATATATAAATATATACATATATTATATATATGATATATATATATATATATATACATAATATAATATATATAATATTATAATATATATATATATATAGATTATGATATACATATAAATATGATATATACATTTATATCCGCCGAAAATGGCAGCAACGAGCATCTGGCGCCTTTTTGCCCATTGCTTGGGTTGCAGCAAGGTCGACCCAACACGGCATCAGACGGGCTTTCCGGGGTTGCTCATACAGGCTCTTCGTCAGTTGATGCCAAGAGGGTTGCCTTTGGAACGATTGGAAGATGTTGATTTGAAGATGTTTCAAATTGTTTCAACATTTTTGACACACTGACATGACTGACATCCTTTGATTTGGTTTCGCAACGTGAGATGCACTTGTGAGAATGTACTGTACAATGGCTTCGGGCTGTGGGATGCACTTGTGTGGTTGCAGCAACGCAACGAAAACAAGGCCAGTAGTAGAAGCAGCAAAATTTTGCAGCAAGGTCATAAGCAGCAAGAACCCAGAGATCACACTCCCATGCAGAGATCAACGCATTTCACAATGTGAACATGCCCAAACATATGCCATTCTGACTCCAAAAAACATACTGGGGTGCCCACATTTGCGTATTGAGGGTTTGAACATGTTTGAGCTCTTTTGCGCCAAATCTGAAGTTGAAAGGCTGTGATGACATAAACTGCTGGTGGACTCAGAGAAGATTTGTCAGTTCCCTCGCCAGGGGAGATGATGAAGTTTGTTCAGACCTTGCGGACGCCAAGATTTCGAAAAACCCATACCAGCACAGAGACTTGGCTGATCTTGGCCAATATGCGGACTCCTTATCGATGTAGGAGATGTAGGAAATGTGGCTGTGGACTTGAATGTTGATCGGGATTATCAGTATCAGGAGATTGACACTGCTGGAATATGCTGGGATGCAAAGATGACTGCAAGCAGCCAATAGAAACCGTGAGGTAGGTTGGGGGGGCACCTAAGTTCCAAATGAGGGAGGGCGAAGCAATCCTTTGCCACCAGGAGCTGCCGGCTTTGGGCTTTGAAACACCAAAGAACCAGGCGTGCGCAAAATAAGGATATGACTTGGTTGACAAAACATGCTCGGATGTGTCTAATAGCGGACTGTGTCTAATTACGGACCGGTCTATGTGGAAATTCCGAGGCTTTTTCTTGCTTCAACTGGGGCAATGCAGTTCCAAACCTCATGACACCTCTACAATCAGTATCGCAGTGGCTCTTGTTCCATGGTAGGCGGTGACTTAATTACCTTCCAAGATGAGTTCCCATACAAAATCAATCAATACATATTAGTACATAACATATACATTTAATAGGAAGTTATTAAAAACCTCTTGGATTTGACGATTTGACCAGGGCAGTCCTGAAAAGATGACTCCTGAGCTGGGGCCTTCGCCAAAGCCGCCAAAGGAGCATTGATGATCCCTCTGGAAATTCCCCAACAGGAACGATATGGAAAGATGATGAAAGATGATGAAAGATGTTGAGCTTGAAATCAATCCAGATATGGATGTGGGTCAAAATGGAAGACCTAGGGGACCACAGATGTTAGTCTAGTTTAGTATTAACCATCCAATTATTGGGGTACCTAATTTTGACCCATCCCCATATCAATCCAGTACATCCGTGGTGTTCCTAAGATTTCGTAAGGTATGAGCCAAGAAAAGCTGTTGTCCGACTTGTGCCGAGGTGAAAACCTCGGAGATGATCCCCTTTGCCAATTGAAACGTTATAAAATTGGATCCACTTATAAATACAATTTCTCAATCCACTTAAATCCACTTAAATCCATTTAAATCCATTTAAATTCATTTATATAAATCATGTTAAATCCATTTAAATCCATTCCTTAATCCAAATCATTTCAAGTCCGTTTAAATCCAATTACCCTTCAGTAAAATCACATGGACCCGGCCAGATAGGGGTTGGAAAAAAAGTTTCCAGCAAAAATTGAACATTTTCAGGGTCTGTTACAATTGGACCTTGATCAAATTGGACCCAGTTGAATCCGTGTCATTGGATTAAGTCTGGGATCCCTGGACAGGAGCCGAGGAGAGGTGCCTCTCAACGCCTACGTTCCATGGGCACATGGCCCCGAGCAGCGTGGCGGGCGGCCCTTCATCGCTCGGTCAGTCGATCGTCGTCGCGGCCGGCGTCGCGGATTTCAAGATCGGCCTCCGGATGTTCGCAGTCAAGGAGCCTTGAGTACAGTATACCCTCTGGTAAACTAACATAGCTATTGAAAATGGCCATTTATAGTGGATTTACCCATTAAAAATGGTGATTTTCCATAGTTATGTTAGTTTACCAGAGGGTATCTAGAAGTTGGTTATAACTATATAGTCACTGCATGAGTAATACCATGTTGTATACCATAGTGTTGCTCGGTGCAAATGAGTATACCTCTGGTGTAACAACTCAACCCCCATGAGTTGGGAAATAAGCCCTACAACCAAGGCTATATTTCTCCACACATAAGACGCCTATAACTGGAACAGACTGGAACTGCACTTCTAAGTAAGCTGCAGGGTAGACCAATCAGGGAATGCTGGTGATTCTGAAGCAGTTGACTTGGAGACTCAGCAGGACGACGTGGAAATTAAAGCAGCAGCATTCGCAGACACCTGCACTGCCAGAATGCCCTTGGGCAGAAAAGATCTACCACCGGCGCCAGGCCTGACAGTCATGGACAGTCATGACATGTGGATATGTTTGGATTCAGTTTGGATTCAGTTTGGATATTTTTTTTCATTGTTTTGGGTCATCTTTGGCCATCTTGATTTTCGCTTCTTTGGAGACCAAGAAAACGCCACCTGGTTGAATTGGAGGTGATCCTGCAGCGTCGCCGCGAACTCACGTCGCCGGTGAAGCACGTGCAGCTGAAAGAGGTGTGAAATGATTCGCTGAGATGGAAAGCGAAGCAGTGAAGCTATGCCAAATATACCCGGATATTGGTTACAAATTTCTTTCGGCAGATTTTGGTTTGATTTCTGTCCATTTTCTGTAGATTTGCCCATTTCAGAAAAAAACATTTCAAGAAAAAACTCACCACTTCATGTTTTCATGTTTGAGTCATGATGAATCTGCCCGGGTATTTCCGCCCTTTTATTTACGCCCTTTTCCCGGGAATTTCCGCCCAGAAAAACCGACACATTTTTACGCAAAGTACTGTAGAGTAAGATCAGCCCAAAAGGTACGAAATCCAAAATTGACCACAGTAGTCAAAAAATGACCATTTCTAGCTCCTTCACAAGAAATCCGCCCTAAGGGCAGAAATCTTGCAAACGGACAATTATTTGTGTCCTTTCGAAGATCCAGGTATCTCCTATCTCCAAATATCATGCCTAATTTCGACATTCGACCGACAACATAATAGATATAGTTAATAATTTAGTTAATGATAGTTATATAATGAATTATAATGATAGTTAAATCTTATGGCTATTTGAAGGTAAAAGAATCAGCTCGCAGCGCACCGAAGAAATGCATGATTTGGGAAGGCATTTAGTGCCAAGGTGTCCATTTTAGTCCAGAGATGCACTGTGTGTGCAGACTGGGTCTACGAGATTTTATGGGTTGTCTGAACATTTTGGGAAAACCTCCAAGTCCAGTGGTTCATTGTTTTCCAATATTTTCTAATAAACAACAATTAATTTGGGGTATAATTCTTGGGTATACTGGGTACTGTATATCACATTTGCCACGTGATGTTGCGTCTGCTGCCTCCTGCCATCGCTTGGCTTGCCATCGTTGTGCTTCCCCACAGAGCGGAGACTGCAAGCTGCTATGAGAGTGACCTATTGCAGATGATGCAACGACTGAAGGGCGTCAGTGGCGTCAGAGACCAATGCTCTGCGAAAGATGATGAGAACTTGAACTCCATGGAGTTACATCTGAAAGCCATGTCTAACTGGGCCATTGCTGAGGATGTGAAGAGCGCCATGGAAATGGTCACAGGAGAGCTGGAAGCCGAATATGAGAAAATTGTTGAAGATCATATCACCATCACAGTTGGCCAGAGTTGGACAGATCGTTTGGTGAGTGTTGCAAAGTCAGTGACAGAGGACATCGCGGGTATCTGGAAAGACAAGTCTGAATTTGAAAGCAATTTACAAGTTTTTTTTCTGAGTCCGGTGCACCCCAAACTTGGTGTTCTTTTCTTTTTGTCAACATCACAAGGCGTGAACAGCAGGGAGACTGAATGAGATTAACCTAATCAACTATAAGTTCATGACCCAACGTTAAAGACTTACTTAGCATGAAAGCTATTGGCATTAATGTTTTTTTTTCCTTCAGATTATTAACCAATATCAAGATTAATCAACCAAAACCATGGTTTGCTTCCAGCAGCGAGGCGAAATTCCGGTTGTTGGCAACGTCATTGAGAAGGCCATCGATCTCTTTTGGCCAGAGAGTGAGGACGTCTACGATATTTGGCAGCTGATTGTTGGGGAGGCTGGCAGAAATGGCATTGCACTAGACCGTACAGCAAGTCATGTGGCAAATCCATGTACCCTCTGGTTATTTAACATAGCCATGGTATAGATGGCCCATTTATAGATGATTTTCCCAGCTAGAAACCTCCATTTGTAAGGGATTTTCCATGGCTATGTTAGTCATAACCAGATGGCAAATCCATGTAAGTCCAACAGACGAACACGTAGGCAAAACGACGCAAAAAGTATGTTTGGATGGCTTACGCACTCAAAACACTGCCATAGGAATCATATGGAATTATAATTAAGCGTTTCCGAGCTTCTGCTTCTCTTCTTTCTGGTCACATTCAATAACCATAGCTGTTAGGCAGCCAAATCAAGCATTACAGCAAATGTATAATTTACACAGTATAATATATATATATACCAGACCACATACATCAAAAAAAGACTGTTCCAGAAGCCATTGATGATATTGATGTGCATTTGGTAAGGATGCATGAATAAATTTAACGATGGTGCTCATTGCTCTGGCCTTCGATTTCTTTGTAATCTTGCCATGTTACGCACATTAGTTCAGATTCTTAGATTTCCTTAACAAGCGCTGCTTGTTGGTGGCTCCAAGCCGCTAAGTCGAGGTGTCAGACTTGGTGGATGTCAAGATCTTGGCTTACGAGCTCGGTGACCGCTATGCCGACCTCTTGGCTTTGAAGCGGGACATGAGGCGATACAGCAAGAGCAAATCCACCATCGACCGCGGCAACTTCCTGAGATTCTTGGTGGAGTTTCAAACTGGAAATCATTTAATAAATGAAGTAATCTATAAGATTTTATAAGATTTTCACTTTTCTATGATTTATTTGGGGATTTCACCAATGACTAGAAATCCCCAAATTAATAATAGTCATTGGGGATTTCACTTACGCTCCATGATGGAAATCAAAGTGGGATGCTTTGCTACAAACCGACAAACTCTGCAGCTTGAGCCAAGACTTGGTTGAAGGGACAATCTGTATGAAACTTCCATACTTTTGGCGTAAAAACTATAGTTTATAGTTCCCTGGTTTCCTTCAAATGTTCAATTCATTGAAAACCTATGTTTGGACAGATCCCGTATCACCTCATAGAAAAACCGGGCAAACTCCGAGGCATCGCCTTGGCCAAAGTGGAGGATATCGTGGCCCATCTCACGGTTTCCAGCAACAAACTCCAGTTGCTGCCACTGACGATTGCCACGGCGCCTCGGAACCGGTAAGGCTGGTAAGGGTTGGAAGATGTTGGAAGGTTTGCCAAAGTCACAAATTGAAACTTGCCATCAAAGTCACAACATGTCACAACTATGATACACCAAAACACTTAGAGTATCTTAGAGTTTACTGGTAGCTTAAGAACAGTAGCATTTCTCCGAACTTTGACAGGATTCAAAACAGTGTCCCCCGCAGGAACTTCCATGGGGGGAGATGGTGGGAGATGTCACTGAGGCAACCATCCATTGTGTTATTCTGCGGGAGAGAGTCATTCATGGCCCCTCCCTTTATGGTGTCTTTGATTCGTCATGGTCTTTGGAACTGCAGTCATCAGTGGCATTCTATCAAAGCTTCTTCAACTACACCTATGGTGAGTGGTTCACATGGAGGTCCGGCAAAGTTGAGACAAGTTCACAAATGAATGGAAGGAGACGCGGCTATTGCTCAGCCAGCACCAAGGACACACTAACTGGAACAGAGTATGACCTCTCTTGGGCCGGGGAGGCGTCAGACGACTCCAAATGTGCATCTGCGGCAACTATGCAGAAGTCTCGTTTCGTGCGAGACGTTGCACGCTCCATCGTTACGTCATTAAGGACGGTGATGTATCTTCAGCGTTATGTCCCTGGCATGGAGACTGAACCTGTTGAGGTACTCCCAGCCATCAAATATGTCAAGCTTGGACCCTTTGCATACGTCTCTCAGCCTGTCTCCAACCTGCAAGTGTCGTACTCGGATGATTTGCCCACAGCTGCAACAAATTGTGATGCTGGTCCTGGTGACATCACTAAAGTCACAGTTCGATCTTACAATGTCGTGGATGGTTTCCAGATCTACTATGCTGATGGGGGCCAATGCATCGGTGGCGCTAATGGGGGAAATGCTGATGATTTCGACCTCTCTGATAGCAGGTTACCAGGCGTCAAGTCTCGGTTCATCTCGGTACCATCTGGTTATGACTAACATAGCCATGGAAAATCCCCAAAATAACTGGAGGTTTATAGCTGGGAAAATCATCTATAAATGGGCCATCTATACCATGGCTATGTTAAATAACCAGAGTGTATGTAAATTTCATACGGTTTGTCTCTTCCTGGAGTTGATCACTTGCGTTTCGCTTACTCTATTTCTTCTGGTTGTTTCGTTGTTTTAGTGAATCCATTGATGACGCACTTCAAGATTTTCAGATTGGCTTCGCTTTCCTTTATGTTCCTTTAATGAGTCGAGCCCAGGTACATTACCAAACTCCAATTTCACTTCAACGAGCCTGAGATCGCACGCCTGGAGATGAGCCTTTCAGATGGCACTTCTGCCAGTTTTGGGCAGGGTGGTGGGGATGTGGTTGAAGGCTATGTTACCGACGATGGCTCCTACAAATTGGTTGGAGGTGTTTTAGGATCAGCTCACAACAGCTACCTGGGCTACTTCGAACCAATCTACGAGTTCACAGATCTCAAAGTCTGGAGCAGCGAGCTGTTTACTTCCGACAGCATGAAGAGTGGCGAGACACTCACCGCCATCAGCGGCCTAGGGTCTGCCAATGGAATGTACAAATTCGTGGTTCAGGACGATGCCAATCTGGTGATTTATGATATCTATGACCGTGCAACTTGGGCTAGTGACACCGATGGCAAGTGCCCAGATGAATCTCCAAAACTTGTACTTCAAACCAATGGCAACTTGGTGCTGCTCTGTGGTACCAGCACCATTTGGGAATCTGGAACAGCGACAGATCAGGAGATTTGCCGCATGCTGGCCATGCAGAATGATGGCTCACTGGCCATGTACAATGTGAGAAATCAATCAGGCGTTTGGTCCAGCGATGGCGGCATTCCCTTGGGTTTTGGACCCGACAATCTAACCAGTCCTGATGTTCTGATGGTCGGACAGCGAATTGTCCAGGCCTACTACTTGCAGTATGAGTTGGCAATAGATGCCGGAAAACTCGTTTTGCGACAATGGCAGAAGAGTACGATTTGGAGTGCTGGTGCTGGTTGTGACTCAAGTTACACTGAACCACATCTGAAAATGCAAGAGGATGGGAACCTAGTATTGTATTGTGATGAAGGGGACACTGTGGCCCCTTGGGCCACAGATACAACAGACTCGTCTTTAACGTCGCTCAGTGGTGTCAACGTCCTCTACTTGATGCCAAACGGAGACTTGCAGATACGCAACAAGCGGGGCGAGCGGACGTGGACATCAGGTTCAGCCCAGGCATATCGCTATTTTCCCACAGCATCTAGCCGTTGATCGTTACTTTGGGCGCAGGTGGACACCAACATGGGCTCTCCGTGCATCAAGCCACGGGCCAAGCGGGTGGATGTTGTGTTCAGCGCATGCGCAAGTCATGTGGCCCACCGTCAGCTTACATTTGAGCCAGCGCAAAAATCCGGCAATAGGAAACATGTAAGGGACGGACAATTGCACAAACATGAGGTAAGCGATGCGTACCCCGCAAGTTTGCGGGCTGGAGTCAAGTAGATCATGAACACCGTCCTTTAAGCGATGCCCCCAAATTTGCCACAAACATCATTTTTCTGCAAAAGTGCAGTAAACGATGGGACCCTCGCAGATTTGTTGAGGATGTTGAGGCCGTTTTCGTGAACTTTGCGTTTCCGAGATTGCTCATTTGGAGAAGAACAATCACAATGAATTCATGCGAGTTGATATTGATCCCGTTGTTGGAAACAATATTTCTTGAACCCCCATCGGCTACGGTTCCGGTACATCCCAGCGGCCATCCATTGAACCCACAGTTGTCTTCACTCGACAGGTCATTGGAAGCGCGGCCAGCAGTCGCCGGCCATCTTCCGAAGCAACGGAGGCAAGTGGATGCCTCATAGATCCTCATAGAATGTCGAACCTTTTGAATCTACTAACGTGTTTTAACTTAACGTAAGTATTGTGAGATATATCTGAGTGACGGCGTTTATTTGGTGAAGTGAAGAGATTGAAGAGTCGTCTTTGGGGCCTACCCCCAGGTTATTGAAAGCACCATAGGTTGCAAAAGGAGGTAGCAACGTGTAGCAACACCCCCAATTCAGTGCTTCATTGGAGAACGAGGTCACGCCCCCCAAACCGTTGCGGGAATGGATAACGAGGTAGCTACCTACACCCCGTCGATTTCATGATGATATTCAAATACTTTTTGCGGCTCATGCACGCAATATATTATCGCATATCGCATCAATACATTTGGCTTGACTATTACAATACTATACATACTGTATCATACTGTAATATATGCTGCATATGCATATTGCATTATAAATTTATAATATATATATATATAAATCTATATATCGGAATATTTTCCGCAAGGGATCCATGAAATTGCCCCTGGTTCTTTTTGCAAAGCGCCAGGAGATCAGTGAGTTGAAGCCGTCGTCTACCAGCATGGAACGTCGTGAAAAGTACAAGGCCGTGAAAGAAAACATGGAGAAATTGGGATGAGAAATGGATGATGATTGGTTGTTAAATATTGTTACCCTCTGGTGAACTAACATAGCAATGGAAAATGGCCATTTATAGTGGATTTTCCCATTAAGAATGGTGATTTTCCATTGCTATGTTAGTTCACCAGAGGGTAAATCATGTGAACATAGACAAAATAGGCCCTAGGCGTTGCTGAGCAGACTTATTTTTCAATAGGTTCTATGTGTTTTGGATTTTCTTGTATATGTGTTTTGCATTTTATATGACAACCACGGATGGTGATAGCAATTTGGAGGAGAGCCAGAGTGGTTTGGAAGATGATGAGTCGCTTGGATGGCAGGTCCCAGAATGGGTACCTTTATATAATGGGTTTTTGACCATCACATACTATTATCACACATGTTTTTTTTCCCAAAAAACGTGGATTTCATATGATACATATGATTTCATGGGATTTAACAACCATAAATGGGGATCGACCAAAAAAAGAAACTGGGATTCAGGCGTGATCCCGGTCAACTGACAGTGTCACCGCTGGGATAGACTTGCAGTATCTCCAAGCTATGGTACTATGGAAAATATGGAAAGTACGTGAAAGTCATGGGGATTGACGTTCTTTCTATGGTATTTTTTTGGTATTTATGAATTTTCCCACTTGGGCTGCTTCAGAGGCTCTTTATCAGAGCACTGAGGGCTGACGATGATCGACGTTCTCCCAGGGGGTCCAAGCAGATCAGGCGGCGAGATGTGTGGCCAAGGGGCCAATGGACTTACTATAAATCCTAGTCCTATGGGAACTTAAATGGATCTTGAGAGTTGATAGAGTTTTTTGCCAGCTGCTGAGTCTCGTGCCGTACAAGTGGCATCGGCTCAGACTGGCTGGTTGATAGTTGATAGAATATAGATATATAGATGTAGACATTATAGCTGGTATTAGCTGGTACTAAAACAACAATGACATGAAGTTGAGGTTAATAAATGGTACTCTAAGGCCAATTTTTGCAAAATGGAGAATTCGGCCTTGCGGTAGCTGCCACCCCGTAGGATACAGCAAGGGTGTCCAAGGGTTTTGTGCACCTGATCAACTAGGTCCGCTAACCTCAATTTAATGGGATTTATATGGGTATGGATCAATACCTATTATTATATAATACAATTTTTAATGGGATGAACATCCATTTACCAGCTATTTTGAGGTTCACCAGGGGTACAAGGTTTTGACACACTGCCATATGAATTTATATAAACTATCAAAACTGGTGGTTGAACCATGTTGAACCAATTTGTTGTTTCCACCACCCACAAAACTTCAACCGATGTCTTGACACAGGAAAGCACCATCGGAGCAGGAGGGAATCTACCGCTGGGGGGGGGGCAGCCTTGCGTGGAGAATGCCAGGCTTAGGTGGCAGTTCATCATTCCATTTTAAAGTCCTGAAGAACATGAATAGATGGTTGGCCATCAAAATAGTAACACACTGGTAATATCATGGTGATAACGTATCTCAGATTCTATGATGAATCTGTTGAAGATGTTTGTGTCTTCAGCTGGTTTCCTCATGCAATGAACCATGTGGGGAGTTCCTCCGCCAGGCTCGCCCAGCTGGCGAGGTTCAGTTTGAAGAGTCCTTTCCTGTCAATTTTCGCATCTTTGACAAGAGGTTGGCTGTGAAAGCCGGCGTTGTAGCAATGGTTGCAGCACGAAACTTCATTGGTTTCCACAAGACATGGGGTTGTCCAGAAATGGTATACCCAAGGCTAGCCGATTCTAATGGGGAAAGTGATTGTACATAGACTATACATGACATTACATGACTATCCTGGATTTCGGGGGACCGTTCTTTTGGACAATCCACATGGGTTTGCCATCGAAAACGGGAGATTTGCCCTCGAAAAAAATGGCCATCATGGGGAACATGATTTCAGAGGACCATCGTATCCAAAGGATTGCCGCTTGCAGGCGCACCTGCCAGTTCTTGGGCGACAGCGATGAAGAGGAGGGGTTCTGATGCCATGAAGGAATTGAGATGAGTTTGTCCAAACCTGGACTCCTTGAAGAGCCCAAGGTGGTTTCGAATGGTTTCGAAACTCCTGTTCCATCTGAAAATTGACCACAACTCTGGGGTTCAGCCATGAAGCTTGTCGGTAAAGCTTTTTAAACTCAGGAGGAACCTGAGTCTTCGGATGAGTCCACCTCTGAAACCGAATCAGATGATGACACCATTGAGCAGCCACAAGATGAAAGCAGAGTGGAGGTTTTCTACCAGCAGCTTGGCTTTTTTATGACTCCGCCGTAGGCGGTTTCAATCCGCCCAATTGGTTGTTGATCAATAGGGGGCTAGACTAAACATGACTACTGCATACTACTGCAGGGATTATCATAAATCATTGTCAAAAGAGTCGAAGTAAAGAGTGATACAGTGATACTGTACCTTCAGGCTGTCATGGAGGTCCAATTTTTCAACATATATCTGTGAAGCTTGGTTGATGCTGGATGACGCTGGAATTTAAAAAAAAGTGCCGTGCTGGCCCTGTTTTAATTGGCCGAGATTTACTATATGTGAATGTCACTATAACCCATAGTATCCATGTATGGTATATATGCTAACATTGGGGGTATATTGATGGTAAATGTTACCATATATGGCATACATGGATCCTATGGGTAATCAGTGATTGCATCCCTTGAGGTTTCAGCAAAGCGATGAAATTGCTCGCCGGGACTTACCAAAGGCATTGGAGGCTTTAGGGCTCCTTGGCAGACAACTGAATATATTTTTTATGCCCCAAATCCTCCAAAAAGCAGAGTGCCAAGTATCTCTTCAAAATCATATCTCTTCAAATTTTCATTATGATATGTTCATGGTTCCAATCCCCTCCCTAATGTTATTTCATGTTATTTCCACCCCCACTTATGGTTCATATCCACCATGGGATCTGGCCAGGTTTATGTGTCCTCAAGAAGCCTGGCTTGCAGCTGCCTGGAAATCTGTCACGCAGCGGAAAAACCGGCTGGAGAAATCAATGGATTTTTTGTAAAGGTCAGGAAGGAAATATGTAAAACGACTTGAACCCTACATTTTTACAACTCAAACTTGTTTGTAACAGTTTGCAACTTGATTCTTCAAGACTAAGATCATCCTTCAAGGAAGATTCGCATTGCGTAAGGTCAAATTACCACAGGAAGCTCCACCAGAGATGATCGTGGAGGTCCAACAAGTGGAAAAAGTCGACTTGGAAGATTTCTTGAAGATTGCCACTTGGAACATCGTGGAACATCTTGGAACATCTTGGAACATCTTGGAACATCTTGGAACATCTTGGAACATCTTCGAACATCTTGGAACATCTTGGAGCACTATTGTTAGATCATGTTGGATCATGTTGGATCATGATCATCTTAGAATCAACACTGAAAAGGCTGTTATACAATGCCTGGGCAGCCTGGGCATTCTGATTTCTCCAGCCTTCGGGCAGCTCAACATCAAGTTCGGGAACCGAGGTACAGGCCTATGAGAACCGGCACCACCTGGAATTTGCCACAGCCTTCGCGACTTGTGACAAGGATCGTTACATGTTTGATATGTTTGAAAAAACTGCCATTTACAATGGCACATACTGGCACATACTGGCACCATTCTTACCCTGAAGGGTAATCATTGCTGGGAAATCGCTGAACTATATAAATGTAGGTTTTCTTGAGTGGAATATCATCTACGAATAGGGAATTATCCATGGTCATGTTTGTTTACTGGAGGGTGAGTCTTTTACATTTCATGTAGAAACTAGAGCCAATGAACAGTCTGGTGCAGTCATGCAGAAGCAAGGGTGCGTCGAGATGTTGTCTTTGCCAAATCCATATGCTGGCAGAATGGCTCTGGCGTGGTCGAGAGTTCGGAGTTGGCTGACTTGCTGCTGAATATGAGTATCGAGCCAATGTCACACGTTCTCGATGAAGCAACTTGGCGATGTTGCAGTTGTGTTTGCCAAATTGAGACCAACAAAAAAAATCACTTTGAGTTTTACAGTGATTGCTATTCTAGGCGGATAGAGCATTCGCATACACACACAATATAACTGGCCTCAACAAACGTAATCCTCAATCCTTAGCCAGATTACGGATTACCAAGTTTTCGGATTATGTGGTTTGGACGGATTACGGATTGAAAGCCACAACCCACGTAAAGGATGATGACCGGCACGCTGATCTGAGGAAGTTTTCCTTGGGTTTCGTTTGTGAGTGTGGTGTTTGGATTCGTTTTTGCGATCTATCAGAGCTCATTTTGGCTCCTCCGTGTTTTGGTTTTCCCTCTCTTTCTTGAGCGCAATGCCTTGCACGTCTGGGAACGTAGCCACCTTTGCGGCCTGGGTCAAAGAACACCTGAGTATATTCGCTGCTAGCCACAACCCCCAAGAGTTGCAAATTCCCGAGATTTAGCTCTTCGGGGGTTGTGGGAACCTTCTACCTGTGTTCTGGACGCACATGAAATAAATACATCTAGAGGCAGGTGAATGAGGAACCAAACCCACTGTACCCCCTTAACCAAAGCTGCCAGCCACAACCCCCAAAAGTTGCAAATTCCCGAGGTTTAGCTCTTCAGGGGTTGTGGAAACCTGTCTACCGGTCTTTTGGGCGCAAATGAAATAAATACGTCTAGAAGCAGGTGAGTGAGGAACCCAGTGTACCCCCTAACCACAGCTGCCAACCACAACTCCAAAAAGTTGCAAATTCCCGAGATTTTGCTATTCGGGGGCTGTGGCAGCCCGTGTGCCTGACTTCTGAGCATGTTTCATCATTTTATTAGATGTATGGTTACAAGGCCCCAAGTGGAAATTACAAGGGCTGGACAGGAGGCACCTGCACGTGCTTCAGTCGAACAGCTGCTTCCTCTCAGATGATGCACTTCATTATGCTGACCGTGCTGCCATGTCTGGCCTTGGGTAAAGCAGAAAACAACTCATAGCTCGCCAAACCACAACCCCAAAAGCTGGAAATTCCACACATTTACCTCTTCGGGGGTTATGGGAACCCGTGCGCTCCCCAAAATAGAAGCGCAAACGACCAGGTTCACAGGGTAAGGTTGCAGGGGTTGTAAACGGATTACGGATTAGAACGGTTTACGGATTATTCGGATTGAGCCCTTTTTTCGCATTAGCAGCTTTACGGATTAGTTTTACAAGCGCGCACACTTTGATGAGCCGATAGCCCAGATATATACTGTATCACAATCAATAATTCACAATATTATATATAATATATATAGACGTATTACTGCATGTATACATACGTATATACACAAAATAATATATACTGTATAATCTAAATTAATCCAAGCTATCCAACATTATCCAAGTATGTTTGGATATGTTTTTTAATTTGATCAGGTCATCGATGAGGTGGACACCAGCGGTCTGGGTACTCTGAACCTGGACGAGTTCAAGTCCATCATGCAACTGACGCTTGGAGGGGTCTGCACCAGTTGATGGGTGGTAAACATCCCACTATTTTTTATATTTGTTAGTGTTTCACCCATCAACTGTATTTCAACCAGTTTCACTATTTATAGTGGAAGAAATATAGTGTTTCAACCATCCGTTTGATGGTTTATCGGATTTCGCAACCATCCACAGTATTTCTACCAGCTGGTAAACCTACAGATAGCGAACTGGAAAATCACCATCTTGAATAGGTAAATCAACATAAATCAACTATTTCTATGGGCCATTTTTAAAAGTTATTCAACAAATTACCCACAGGATATTGAGTATCAACACATACAATTTCAGAGGCACGTGAAACAATATCAAATATGTATTAAATCCGTCAGTTGATACCACTCCATGGTTTATCTCACTACCAAAATGAATTGGACTTGGTAGGGCCTCATGCTTTGGAAATGTAGTTTCGCCACTGGAAGTTTAAGTTTTTGGAGGTTGCGCTTTAGTTGCACGACCCTCCACATTTTCAGTTCAGACCAATGGCCCTGTTCTTTTCATCTGAGGATTCAGATGCGGGAGGGTTTCAGCAAGAGCGAGTATGAGGAGCGAAACTCACTTTAAGTTGCTATTGCTGCATGATCACGAACGCTTCTGCTAGCTGAAGTCCCTTTTGCTTTAGCAAGGTATTGGGGGGGCTGGAATCACAAGCAGTTTGGCCGTGGATCCCCCGGGGGACACCGTCGGCATGTCGCCAGCTTTCATCCCTTACCCCTGGGCCTCAAGTGTGCTGCATGCATGTTGTGTAAGAGATTTCAACAGAAGCAGCACGGTGTGTTGCGTATCACCGGCAGGAATTCATTGCGGTTTTTCAGCGCTTTGACCGTGACAACTCCAACGAGTGTGTCGCGACCTCATGCAGTGAAAAGTGCCAGATGATCTGAAATCAATGAAGAAATGATGACACAGTACAGATACAAAATTCTACAAATGGAGAGATGGTGTGGTTTCCCTGTTCATTGCGACTCTGTCTATGTGAACGTGCCACTCTTTGATGCCACAGGATGCTGCTGAATTGGCCTCTATTTTGAACTGGTTGGGCTTCGCCTGGTCGCGTGATCGTATGAAGGCTGTTCTGAAGGAGGCCATCGAAAAGTCAGAGATTTGGAAGTCTCAAAAAACTCTTGTTTTGTTTCATATAAATAAAGCAAAGACCATATTGCAAGATGTGGCAAGAGCATGCAAACAGAATGATCAGAATGGAGGATCCGTTGAAGAGGAACGGGGCTATGTCTGAAAATTGGGATCCCAAAATCCTATTGATGGTTCATCATCTTCCCAATTCAAAGAAAAACATGTGGACCCCCCCCCTCATTTTTGGACAACCTCTCGCATGTTGTTGGATATATGATGAAATATACAGTAATATATCGATACATCCACTTATATTCCTCATATTCCTCTCATACCCCCATTGTATCCCCCGTTATTTCATTGGTTGGTTGTGTAATATCGAATTGATGGGGGATTTTTAGCCACGGTGACCTTGTCGTGACCCTTGTGTGGCCGGAGGTGGATGTTGACCAGAGCGGCTCACTGGACTTGCGGGAGTTCATTCTTTGCATGCGAAAGGTGAGGGAGGTGGAACTTAAGGCGGTGAAGTTCCTTGGATCACAGATGGACATAACTGGGCTTTTTAATGAGAGGACTCACCATGAAACAAGGGTTGAACATGGTTTAACCATCGACACTATGGGAATAGAATGGAATTCTTGGTTGTAACATGTTGTAACTGAGAATTAGTGAGATACCCGCAGATACCCTCTAGTAAAACAGTTTGCCATGGCAAATGGGCCCATGGAAATAAAGGTCAATCATCTACAACTATTTCATTTTCCATGGCTATGTTGAATTACCAGAGGGTAATTGAGGTGGATTGATTTAAAGGACCATGTACGGTAAGTTTTCCCTTCAATTCGGGGCCGGGACTGTCTGGTTGGTAGTTGGCTTCCTAGCTTCAGGGATCATCACGACCTCACTGCGACCGAACCTTGGAAATCATGGTTTGTTTAAGAAGTATCACCCCCAAATGGCCGCAAGATTCAGGTTAGTGAAATATGGTAATTTACCCAGATATATGCAGTTTCAGTGGCATCAAAGCCCAAGACATGATCAGGGTCCCCTAAGGAAAGCCATGGCGGATGCAGATGCAGATGGGAACGGGCTGATCTCCAAGTCAGAGATGCCGGATTTGCTAAAAGGTCTTTAACTCAGAGGCTTTCTATGGCCTTTTGCAGATTCTGCCGTCTTTGGGAAACCATCCTGACATTTTGGAGAATGGTGCTGGTGAAAACTGGAACCTCTCCCAGTCGCTGAGGTTTGGGATATGATCCCTGGGATGTCCACGTTATCCTGGAGGCATTTGCCACGGGCACAGAGCAATAACGCAATTGTTTTTCTTTAGAAAATGGAGTTGTCTGAAAATACAGGACCTCAGAATATCGTGCTTTTACAATCAGTTTCCCAATGAAAACGAGAAATTGCCAGCATTTTTTGGGCAAACCCAGACCAATCCTGCCACTTGCAGGCTCAGCGGAGAGCTGGGTTGGAGGAGGAACAAGAGCTTGAACTTGGTCAGGCGTGGGATGATTGCGTGGATTTTCGATTCTTGATCTACATAATATAAATATTATATAAATTCCTTGGCAATAAGTCTATCGCCCTCTCTCTCTCTCTATGTAATTCTAATTAAATATTATATAGATTATATCAAATGTATATATATATATATATATTAGCTTTTTTAAAAGCCTCGTAAACAATGCTTTTATAGCTCCAAGAGACGCGGTGAACGTAGGGGGTACGAGTGGCTAAAGGATGTGGTGACGAACGTAAGGCGAACGAGTGAACGGACGAGTACATACATATATCAATCCATCCATCCATCCATGCATGCAATACATCAATACTCGACACATCATATGACATCAATACATCATATGACATCAATACATCATGACATCATTTGCGTTGATATGTGTATTACATTATTATATTTATGTATACACAGGTCAGCGGATACACTACTGATCGCGCACGTTGGGCCGTCCGAATGAGGTTTGGCAGGTGCTGACGGTCTATCGAAGGCAAGGCTCCAGACTCATTCACCACCTTTTTTTGGGGATCTAGTGGGTAGATTTTAGAGATACAACTATAGCCGTAATTACATGTAATTACTGTCTTTGGTTGTGTCCAAAAATGGGAGTAGCCACAAAATGGCAATTCCAGTAAACAAAGTGATGATTTTGTGAATTCCCATTGGGAGCACCACTCCATGACTTGTCAGGTATGATGGTTTTACAATGGCGCAGTGCGAAAAGTTCCATGAAATCTTTGAGGAGCACTGTGACTGTGACAAGGCAGGGTCGCGCTGGTTGGATGTTGGGGCAGTGGAGGGTGTGTTACAACGAAGTCAGATATAGCACAAATCAGGCCCAATATTCAGCAGTGCTGGAACGATCTGGAATGGTAGCAAAATCCCATAAAATATCATGTAACAGTAACAAAGGAACGTTTCTGACATGACATAGAAGATATCCCATCCTCAAAGCAATGTATCTACTACACCTGTGCTATAAGGGTTATGCGTTACATCCCAAAGAGGCCAGCCATCGTGGCCATCCGTGGCTTCGCAGGAAACTGGAGAAATTGGAGAGATGGAAAGCATTGAAGTCCCCAAAGCCTTGCGCAGCCTGGGCTTCAAGATCACCTTCGAGGTCCTCGACATACGACGTCTGAAGTCGAAGGTGTATAGACAGAAAGTACGCTCCATAGAATCCCGTGATGGTTAAGTTATATATATATATATATAATTTTGGTTATTTGATAAGGGGAATCATCCCCAAATAGCCTGATTTCAGGTTCTTGAATCGGTGAATCATTGTGGTTTATCCATGTTTATCCATGATCATGATGCAGTGCAATTGGCGTCTTGACCTCCGGGTAATCACACATATGAAACATGGCTACAAGTAGCTGGAAAACTCCCAAACTAAATGGAGGTTTTAATGGGAAGATCGTCGCATGAAAAGGTGGATTTTCCATGATTTTCCAGCAAACCATGGAGCTGACACTGGAGCTCATCAGAGCTCCCAAGTTCGTTTCAGCCATTGCTTTTTCGCCAGGTGGTGCAGAGCGTCATTGGCAGAGTGGACGTGGATGACACAGGCCCGTAGTCGGTTTCCCTTTTTGGTGCTATGCTGTAGTTTAGTGACGTCATGTGATGTCTAATCAGTATATAGAGACATATAGAGCTATTCGTTTTTCTGCAATTGCACTCGGGCGGTCATACTTATCAACCTTTGTCGTTGGGAATTCTGAACGATCTGAAAGTTTGCAGCGCCCCTTTGAGACTGTCAGTGAGCTTCAGGTACCCTGAGTATTTCAGAGTTCCGAAAGATGATTCGCATGCTGGAAGAACGTGCAGCTAGGCTACATTTTGCGGTCTGTGTTCAAAACTTATGGTCGCTGCATTGATTCCTGAGGTAGGGAATTTGGCCATATCATGTACTCAGTGCTAATATTATGAGATTCCACTCGGGAGCTCTCAGCCAATTTGGGGGTTGGGCTTCCGATCATGAAATTGACATCATCGTCAGCAACACCTAGAATTGAAAGGTAATGCTGGAAAACACGGCTTTCTGGCGACTTTTTCCTGCCTTTTCCCATTGAAAAAACTTGGCAGTTGCAGATCCAAGGAATCCAATGTCTACAGACAGGCCTTCCGGGAGAATGCCAAGGCCATCCTCCTTCGCTTTCTCCATCTCCTTTCTGCTGGTATTTCTGGCATGATGTCGGGATACCTCAGTCGTACGCCCTCATGTGCCTATTGGTTGATTATAGAGGATTATACTACCTTTCATGTATAATGTTGTATCATGTATTATCATGTTGTATCCTGATTAGTGTGGTGGGTCGCTTTTGTGTTTTTTTTTTTATTATTGTGACCCAGGAAATTGATTGGGTGGGTCGGTTTTGTGTCAAAAAAAATGTTTTAAAATATTTTTTTTAATTTGTTGTTTAATTTATTTCATTTTTTTTATGTTTGTTGTGGTGGTCCTCTATTGTGTCCAAATGTTGTTTGGAGAAGTGTTTATTTCAATTGTTTCAGTTTATTTTCCAAAATCATTCTCTCCTTTCCTTTTCCTTTCCTTTGCTGATACTTTTCTCTTTTTTTCTCTTAGCTCCATTCTTTTGAAATTCTCAGAAATGCACAATTTCCCAAAATATAGGATGCCTTATTAAAACCCAATTAAAAAACAGCACTCAAACATACTCAAACAATTTTTCAAGGGAGTCAACCCTGATCCTCAATAGTGTGTTTGTTGTGGTGGTCCTCTATTGTGTCCAGTTTTTTTTTTGGAAGTAAAAATTTTCCAAAATCATTCTCTCCTGTCCTTTTCCTTTCCTTTGCTAATAATATTGTTTACTTTCTTAGCTCCATTCTTTTTGAATTCTCAAAATGCCTTATTAAAACCCAACTAGTTACAAAACAGCACCCAAACATTTTTTCAAATTCCACCACATGCAGCACATGCAAGCTGATGCTCTTTTTTTTGATCTCAGACCAAAGGTGAAAAGCACTGAGCCTTGCTCAGTGCAAGGTTGCAAATCACTCAGTCTCAGTGGAGCTTCAGGCAGGTGCAGCTGATGTTGATGAGGTAGGTGCAGCTGAGCTCGAAGAAATAGGTGCTGAAGATGAGCTTGCTGAAAGTAAATTGAAATCAATTGAAATCAGTTGAAAGTAAATTGAAATCAATTGAAAGTAAATTGAAATCAATCGAATGTAGATGAAGTTGATGGAAAAGATTGTGTAGGTGATGTACATGGTGTAGGTGATGGATGATGATGACGGTGGTGATGATGATGATGATGATGATGATGGTGTTGTTGATGATGATGATGATGATGTAGGGAAGATGGTGCAGAAGATTTAGGTGATGTGGGTGATGTAGAGGCTGTAGTGATGTAGATGATGATGTAGGTAATGTATGTGTTGTAGATAAAGCATGTCTTATAGATGAGGTTGATGGAAAAATGTGTAGGTGGTGTAGATAATGTAGGTGAGACAGATGTAGGTGATGATGATGATGATGATGGTGATGGTGTAGATGTAGATGTAAATCTAGAGAAGATGGTGTAGAAAATGGTATAGAAGATGTAGGTGATGTAAAGGACGTAAGAGATGTGGATGATGTATGTTAGGTAGATGAAGTGAAGAGTGAGGCGGACAGCAGTTCTTTGGGAAAAACCCTTCGCACGAGCTTTGGGAATATTGGCCACAGTATTGCAACGCTTTTGGAAAAAACGTTTTTTCATAAAGCGTTTGTGCTGTGATTGCGCCTTGCACGCCCGACCTCTAGAGCAAGAAGGGCGGGGCAATAAACATACTTCACTCATTGCGTGTTTGGCAACTGTTTTTGCTACTGGCTGTTGGGGATACTCTTTGGGCTTATTTATTTTATACAATTTAACATAATTTATATATATATATAAAGAGAGAGAGAGAGAGAGGAATGTTGGAATTTATCATAGGAATACATTCCAATTCATCATGGCCCCATAACCTCTGGCCGCTACTGTACTGATGCCATTTGTGCGCCGCAGGCTGAGAGCATCAGCGTCACTACAGCCCAGGAGATCGCACGGAAAATGGGCTCTCAGTTGCAGAGGTGCGGAGCCCACGGGCTGCTGGAATGGTTTCTTTGGCCCTTTTCAGAGCTAATCTCTTGGCATTTTCTGAAACCAAATAGTTATACATTTAAAAACTAAACTGTTCATTATTATAAGAATACACCTATTATAAGCCAAATAGTCATTATAGTATGTAGTATAACTATACATTTTCTCGGAAACCAAATAGTTCTTGATGAGAAACCAAATGTTTGCATATGGAATCTATTCCGGCAGATCTCAGTAACGAGGCTCTTGCAATCTGTGCCTGAAATGCAAAAGTGTTTTCCAACTCAGAACGACTGGCTACTGGGATGGTATCCAAATGAATTCTGATAAGTACATATGGAGGTTTCCTAAAATAGGGGTACCCCCAAATCCTCCATTTTAATAGGATTTTCCATTGTAAAGCATCCATTTTGGGTACCCCCATTTATGGAAACCCCCATATATGTATTGAAAATTGTACGTGTATGGTCCCTGCTCTGATTCAACAAGTCGCACGCAGAGCCTTTGAGGCAGCACCTGGTGTTTGACGAGAGTGTTGATGAGGCTGGCAAGTTCAATGCTATGAGGGGATTTAAGACGTTTCTACAATGGTCCATCAAATCGGAAATCCTTACAATGGGGAAAGGATGTATAATGTATAAATAAATGAATAGATAGATAAATAAATAAACAAATGTATATATATATATATAAATATGTAATTAGTTATAATCAATTATAATTATACACATATAAAGCCCCCCATGAATGGATATGACCATCCCTCAGTGGGAAAACAACTGTTTTTAGCCACAGTCATCACTGCTGACTTCACCAGTGGCTCAGGCAGAGATACACATTACTGAGGAGGCCTTCACTCGTGCCTGCAGTAACCTTTCGCAGGCCAGCCAGAGATTTGTTTGTTTTCACCGTGTATTGCGAAAGCATTTTTTTTGGTTTAATTATAGTATCTTATATGGTTGTTTTGTTCCAAAAGGCCAAATAAAGCCAACATGAAGTAAGAACCACCGATTCCATATCTTTGTGCCTGAAAGTTGGACAAAAGAAATGCTGCTTCCATGTTCTGCATAACCAAAGCATGAGATTTTGCAATCGGTTCCCGGTTCCCCCCGCATCGCTGAGAGCTGCAGTTTTGAGGAGATGCGAGAGATCTACCGGCAGAACGGAGGCTTCAGCACTGAAGAACTGAAGGAGTTGCAGGTGATGTTCGACAGACTCTTGAATACAAGACTTTTTTGAGTGCAACTTTGCAGAATTGCTGAAACTCTAGATTTTCGGTCACCCAGACGTGATGTACTTCTGGCGCATCTCCATCATAATCAGCAGGCAACGAATCAAACTAAGGATACGACTCAAGGAAGATTGGAAAGATAGCCAACAAGGAGCAATCTCTTGCTGTGTAGGAAGGGAACTTACGGCAGCAGACATTTTGCGTCGCTTCACTGGGGCAGGGGACGGTGTTTTGAATTGTGTCTAAAGATATCTCAATCCGCGCATTTTGATGAAGAAACGTGAAACGTCATACTGCTTCACCATTCCATGCTTTGAACATCTCTTCAACTCTTTTTCCCCAACAGCGTAAGCTTGGGAGCAGCCAAAACCGCACTGCAAGCAAGGTGTCCAGGCACAGGTGTCCAAGCAAAGTTTTTGTTGTTCCCGACAGATGGTCAATCAAGGTTTTTTCTCGGTTTATCTCAAACAGCTCTCAAACATCATTCCGACAAACATGTGTTGATTTTTTCATGTATAGATGTTGCTGTTGGGGATATTCTTTGGATTTATTCTCAGAGTTTGCATTCAATCATAGTATTCACATTCAATCCATCATATTCCATCATATTCCATCATATTCCATCATATTCCATCATATTCCAATAGCATTCCACTAGCATTGCCAGTGTTTCCTTGGACGTCCAGGACTTGGTTCGCTTGGTGGAGACGGTTTGCCCCTCGTTGGCGCGAGAGAAGTCCTTGCGGCCGCAACTCCAAGATATGATGCAGGCAGGGTTCCTGTGGCAACATCTAGTGATCATAGTGATCTAAAATATGGCAGTGTGTCAAAACCTTGTACCCCTGGTGAACATCAAGATAGCTGGTAAATGGATGTTCATTCCCCTAAAAATGGTATTAATAGGTATTGACCCATACCCATATCATAAAATATCTAAAATCGGAGGACTTGGAGCGATGAGCTCGGATGAAAGCAGACTTAAATTGCTCATAGTGGCTCTGTTTTCCAGTTTCTACAGCCTGAGATAGCCTGAGTATAATGGACAAATGCTGTGGCGGGCCATGACGGGTTGATTTAGCCAAGGATGGGCTACCATGGCTGCCAGAAGCGCATGGATTTGAATTGCTGCTTTGTTGACTTTGGCCATTGGATTCATTTGGAGGCTTGCCAGGAGTTCAAGGGCTGCCTCCGTTTCAAAGATTTCTTGAAGCTCATGCGCCTGATCTCAGACTTTCAGGACTTGATCTCACGATGAAATGAGATGCAAGCACTAAGCACGGATGTAGATGAACGCTGCGGCAAAGTCGAGCATACGCAAAGCATAGATAGGTACTATTGCCATTGAGCGACTGTGAGCATTCCCAGTGTTCAGTTGGCTGCCGGTCCTCAGACTTTTCGCATCATTTTGTTCTGCCAGGACAAAGAACGGGCTCAAACAGAGGCTACCTGTATCAAGAACACAGGCGGCGAGTAGCAAAGAAATGCAAAAGGTAGATACAATTGCGCAGCCTCATTTGCAATTGCTCAGCCTTCGTTTCCGTGCTTGGAACTTCCAGAGGTTTTAACAGCTCAGAAGTGCAAGACTTCCGGGAGCTTTTCTTGGAAATGGACGAAGGTTATGGCGTGGCTGAGCTCAGCAAATGGGGTGAATAATTCCCATTTACATGTGGATATATAGGCAAACATATGTCAGAACGAAGCCGTCCAAGAAGCTGGCAACCGCACAAGCAACTCCCAGTTCAGGAAAGGAACTACTGTACCAGAATCAAGCCCAAACCCTCAAAGTAATAGATGCAGCAAGCACATGCAACCACTTGAAAGCTGATAGACTGTATTTGTGGCACCAGAGGCTTGATGAACTGTGTCTACAAAAATTGGTGTGTGAATAAGGGTCTAAAATAAGATACTTCCAGATTCGAAGGTTTATCACCAGCATTTTCCCATAGTTTCACATTAGAATGGCCATGACTGGGGTATAGCTCATTTTCAGACACCCATATCCACAGAATTCTACAGACGTGACTGGTTCCAACATCAGGTTGTAACCTTTGAATCCTGCCGCAGCATGATCCATGCGAAGCTGGGTGGCAGTGGCAGGTAGATGTTTCGAAAATGGGGGACTAATCATCAGCAAGAATGGGATTTCATGGGATTTAATAGGAATTTAATAGGATATCCATGGATATCCAAAGAACCAGGCGCATGACATGGGTTTGGCATGGTTTGGCTGAAAATGGGGTGTACGGTGGTATAGCCTGCCTTTAATGATTACAAAACACCGGAATTCGCGGTACCATATGTTCAGAGTCTCTCTCAAATTGTGGCCCAGGATCACACCTTTGGGTGATAACCTCACCCACCAGCTGAAGCGCATTTTTGACATCCAGACCAGGCTGGACTTATCAAAGAATTATCAAACCTCTCAAAGGCTAAACATGATGGCTGGACATTTGAAGCACTACTGACAGGAAAAAGGTCCAGAATGGACGAGGCAACACTGATGAAGCGGACTTTCCTGAGCTCCTTGGACTTGGAAAAACAGAATCGGCACATGGCAGTAAGATGCAGTAAGTACACTGCCATCGTGTCACATCGTCCTGTCCGGTGATTTTTGTTTTGCAAGGTTCCTGCTTTTGATGAAGCAGCTGCTGGACATGAACTTTGCGAAATTACGGGAGAAAATTGGCTTTGACCGCTGAGTTTTAGTGATGGTTCTCCCACCGAAAGGAGTCCAAGACAGCCATGGAATGAGTTGCTTTAGTTTAGAATCGAAGGAGTTTCTGTCAACTTTGTGATGTGGCTGGAAGCAGCCGCTTTCATGAAGCTGTGTAATCATTGAGCATATTGAGCTAATTGAATGGGAACATTTCAATGTACCTGCTGAGTGTATGGAACGTATTGATATGTGATCGGAGCTTAGTCGGCAAACTTTTCGAGTGACAACTTCAGTAGCTTCTCAGCTGGCCCATTGAACCACTGAGTACCGAAACTTCCAAATTCTTTCCAGATCTATGCCATGCTTCAGCTGGTGAAACGGTGAAGCGTTCAGAAATCTGGCGTTTTCGCCACTGCGCAGAACGAGTGATCAGCACTGAGTTTTCGAAATCGGGCGAAGTCCATCGCGAATGGAGAACGCGATGGAAGTTATTGCATTTGTTGCTGCCAAAGTCCAGTCGTTGTGCCCGAATTTTTGGGAAACTCACCAGTAATTCGTGCAACTGGAATCGGTTTTGCGGGCCTGGCTGGCAGGTTTTCTCGGTGCACTCATAAGTCCTGAGTGTCGTCGAGACAACCTGAACCTAAAGGCTGACCACGTTGAATGGGGGATTTGGTTCCCAAGGTACAGAGTAGTTGAGCCGCGAGTTTGTTGAAACATCGACATTTGAAAAAGGTGAGAGGTGACATAATTACTACAAGCAGCTTTTCATGCCGGCTACTAGAATCTTTGTGTCTTTTCCGTTCATGGCATGAAACAATGTGACTACTTTTCCGAAGCGGCTTTGTTAATGGCAGCAGCTTTTTGCAGCTCGAGGATGCTCCAGTGTAAAAAGGCTGACCATATTTTCTTAACCCCAGCTGTGAGCATACTTCCAAAGGAAGTCATGCCACAATTTGGGGAATCATCGTCCCTACCAGAGGCACAGCTCAGTAGCTCTGGCTATACCTCAGATTATCGATCAAGTTTCTGGTGATGAGTCAGGTATTAGTCTCAAGTTTACCTATATACGTCAAGTGGCAAATGCAAAAAAGCATCAAAAACACGTCTTCCACTGTTTCTTTGCCGGCATCAAAGGTTGGCTCCCTTCAGGTTGGTCGAGCCAAGATAAGCCAACCAAGTCGGCCGCCCATTCCCGTCCAAGGTCAGGTCTTGGAAAGGGTGTGGCCGTTTGCCCATCTCGTGCTTGCGCGGAAGAAAACTGGCAGGTCATAGGTCAATGATGGTCAATGTACAATAGCTTTTGAGCGTGCGGAAGTCCAATGATACCTTCTTTGTTTGTATAGTAGGTTTTGGGGTTGCTGTGTGTTGTGGCAGGACGCTTCTGATCATGATTTGCATTCTAAGACTGCGAATTTTTGGACTGTTCTGAGCTCTGATGGAATGCCAGTCAAGTCCAAGGTGCTGTATTCACAAGGTGATTGGTTGCGGGGAGGCCCTTTGCAGCTTCGAAGCAGTTTGGGCATGTTGTGCTTCTTTTTCCAGTGGGTGAACTGGAGTGAACCATTTTCACTTTGTCCTTTCTGCAGATCTCCATACTTTGACTTTGACTTATATACTTTGACCGTCTGCAGGTGGAAGATGACTCAGTGAAGTTCTCCAGGGGTTCGCAGATGTCAGGACGGGATTGACTTCTATCGTCAAAGCAGAGCAGTTTGCTTCTGGAACCACTCCAGGAAGGGGGGAGCCGCTCGAAAAGCCCGAGCAGGAGCAAGGCGGAGAACTTGCCGGCAGATCCACGAGCATATGATGTTTGCAAATAAAGGAAGATATGAGATATGTGTATACAATTGTGTACATAAGTGTACAATAGTGTACATAGGTATGTTACATACATGGGCACAATGCAAGGGTCAACACTTCGCGTTCAGGAGTTAGATGTGACAGAGTTGCTGTGGATTTGATTTATCATGATTCCCACATTATCTGGTTTCATTTCACAGTTTATCCAGCTGCACAAAGTGAAGGCAGGGCCAAAGTATGTCCAAACCCCGACCGCCCGCAGGTGGCTATGCAGAATTCGATTGTACCGTGACTTGACCCGCACTTTAGTTTTGTCAACAAAACCAGATGGTACCCAATAGATTTTTATTAACTGATATTAGATATTCTCAGAATGCATGACCTAGGGAATCATTCGGAATCCCATTCTCAACCATTCTCAACCACGACAGGGTTACAGCGCAGAGCGCCAGGTAGAGGTGGATAACTGGCAATTTGCCTGGGCAGAGGAACAGAAAGTGGCTTGCTGCAAAACGGTTGGCCGGGGCACCCAGTTGCAACATGTTGCAACGTTACTGGTTTCGGTATGTTTCGGTCAGTGTTACTGTAAGTGATTTTTTTCCCTGAGGAATTGGCTGCAAAGATGATGAAGTGGACATTCCAGAGCCATCAGAGGCTGATAACTTCTTCGACTGCTCAAAGGAGGGGAACACAAATGATGGATTTGTTGCTTGGGTGATCTTGGGTGATACTTTTGTTCTGCGATGGGGCATTGACGAGCATGAGAAGCTTCGGGTAGTTCCAGGATGTGGACATTCCATGCTGTCGGCTGTCGGCACTTCAAATCATTGCAGGATCAGCCTTCTAACTGGTCCCCCAAGCCAGAGACCCAGTGAATCATCATGAATCATCCACGGAACCTCGAAGTGTACACTGAAAGGGGGAAGCCCAAGCCAGGAGATGAATTGGAACTCACAAAGTTGACAGATCAAGCATTTTTGTCCATGAAGGTTCGACACTTGCTCATGTATGCAATGCATGTTCGCATTTTTTCAATCTAGTTTTCTCCGTTTCCGGAGTTGTCGCTGCAGATTTCGTCTAAGGAAAAAGGAAGTGTGTTGCGCGTCCAATGCTGACTGCCAGAGACGACTGCAGGCGGATCAAGCAATTGGACTCAGAAAACCACCCTGAAAATGGGTAGTCTTGGCCACTTCAGTACTTACCAGAGGATAATCTTCATGACCTAGCTGTTTGTGTCCTGGACTTTCCATGACTTTACACTACACCCTTGCTCAGGACCTGATTTTGCCCTGAGAGGGCCGAAGTCCCTACAAAATTGGCCAAAAAACGTGAGGAGGAGTTGAGAAGCCAATGCTTTGCTTCAGATTGCTTCCGTGTTTCGGCTGTTCAAGCCGCTTCGTTCTTGCGGTTGACAGGGAAGATTGGGATCAGTGACTGGGATCAATTCCAAATCTTGATGGATAATCATGGGATCATCGCATTTCTCCTTTAGGTGGACATTAGATGGCAGATGATGGCAGCAATCTCAAACAGATCCAATCTCTGCCAATCTCTGCTGATCTCAGCTTGACCGCATTTGAGTCATTAGAGCTTTGGCAATGCCAAGTTTCTGCGAGCTCGACGCTCGACCAGGGACCAGTCTTCGTTGTGCAAAGTTCACCCGAAGATGTCGGAGTCTGCACTGAGTCGAAAGTGAGTGGCGATTTTTATTGGGGGAAGTGGCTAGCTTGGGGTGTACCCCGGCTGCTGAAAATACAAAAAAAAGATTGCAAAACGAGGCCTCGAGAATGGGGTAGGCAAAATGAGGTCCGGGAATGGAACATGATGTAGGAACATCCCGTTGATTAAGTAAACTACCAGCCATATTTTCCGCAGCTCGAATAGTGCTGCTTATGGAATGCTCGGTAATCAGTGACACATTTGAGAAACGGCGAGCCAGGAAGTTGGCGTAAGACGCCCAAATTTGTGTTCCTATGTGTTCCTTCAACTTTGGCAAGTCAGGATGAGGTACCGGTAGTCTATGCTCGTGTTATCGAGTTGATAAGTTGATTCATCTTAATTCGATGGATTTGTCAAAGTATGCGGTCGTTTCAATGTCAAATGCAGGCAGCAAGCAGACAGGATCCAGCGGAACATGGAGGCATCGTTCGATGAGCCTGGATTCTCGTGGATTAGTGCAGCATTCTGCACAGATCATGGTCATCCCAAGTAATTAGCAATGATATGCCATGATACTATCGCGAAAACTGGCTCCTGCAGTTTCAAGGGTTTGGAAATACATATTTTTTTTGCCCCTTTGATCCGAACAGCTTCATGATATGAGTGCTTGTCGTCACTTCTCCTTGAACGTTGTCTTTTCTACAAAGCACCAACTTATGCTGCTCTACTCAACTCTAGTCACTGGCACCAAGAACTTTCGATGTTGTTGTGCTGAAGTCGCTTCACTGTGGCTGCAAAATACACGAGATCAGGCAGAGCTGGAGGATAACCAGGAAACCATCACGCATACCAAGGTGGGCCATTTCAGCCATTCCAAGCTTGGGGTGTGTGTTGATCCATGTTGATTCTCTTTGATCCTTGCATAAGACCTTCCCAGACTGTGGGAATCACATGGAATCACGTAGGAAGGGGCAGTGACTCAGTGGGGGGCGCTTTTTTTCATTCGCTGATGGCGATCCCCTGTGCAGGAGAGCCTGGCTCGGATCCTTGAGGAGAAATCCCGACTTGAGAAAGAGAAGGAGGCTCTCGAGGCAGCTGAAGATGCTGCGGCTTTCCTAAGTGTCACTGCTGTAGTGGAAGAAACACACCTCTCATTTTACTTGTGCTCAGTAGGGGATGGGGAATGGATGGGAATGGATGGGAATGGGATGATTGTTCATAGGTGTTAACAACTGGTTAATAGTCTAGTTGTTATGGATCATTCCCCCGGTCCCATCCCTTCCCTACTGTGCACTGAGGCTCGTCTCGGGTATCAGAGCAAGGATCTGGAGGAAGCCAAGGCACTGGGGCGAGGATTTCGAAGTGATTCTTATGATACACAGTAATATTATTACAACAACTGTATATACTATCATCATCTATCCATCTTTTATATATAAATATATATATATATATGTTAATTATATACATTGTATTACATTGTTATACATATATATTATACATTGTTATATATATATAACAATATTATAGACATATAATATACATCATATACATCCATAATTACGTAGTTTGTCAAAGCACCCTGAAGCCCGGAACATGAACACGCCCATGCAAAGAATTAAAACGATATGAACAGCAAGAAGTAAGGCTGTCTGTTGAGGCACAAGCAGCTGCTGCCAAAGCCGAACTGGCCAATGAGCTCAGCCGACGGTTTTGAAACCGAGGTGTGTCTTAATAGTGGATCAACATATTTATCCCACTGAAAAGTGGATTAATAGTGGAATTTCCCAGAAACTGGGAATGTAGAAAAAACACCAGTGGATTTGGTGTATACCCCAGTTGTGGACCAACCCATCTAGCAAGAACATTTCTCGGCAAGCAAAGCTTGTCTATGCAAGGCCAAGAAGCCAGCTGAGAAACCTGAATCTGATCCTAAGCTGCAAGAGTTGGTTGCTGGTTGATTGCTGTCCGAAGACATGGCTATGTCCTTACCATTTTTTCAGTGCTTCCATTGCACCAGATTTCTTTTTCTGCCAAAGCCATTGTGATCTCTGGAACAAGGAGCGCACGCTGGAGGCAACCAAAGAGTTCGAGGCATCTACTCGAATGGTGTTGCATGGTCTTGAAAGAACATGCATACTGAACAGAGAACTGATGCTCACCCCTAATGTTGGCAAAGCAAAATAGCAAACCATCTCCAATATTGCCATAAATGGGTGGTATAAACCATCAAAACACTGGTGGTTTATTCTTGCGACTTTACTACTGGGAACATTAATAATCATCAGCCACCATTTTGAAGTTCAGCAGCTGACAGAGATCTCATCAGGCAGTACTCTGTCTCGAGGCCAAAATTGCCACCTTGGAAGCCCAGTGCAGAGAGGCTTGGATTGGAGCTTTGGGCAATTTCCATCAAGCCAAAGATTTGCACCACATTGTCACATGCATATCATATCATATCACATATATATATATGCACGTATATATATAATTCTATATATACGTATAGCATATAAGATATGTGTATGTGTATATGTATATTACCTACAGTATAATATGTTTGTATTACATGCATATCATATGTATATATACTTTAATTATGTATGTATTTACATACACAATGTACACGCACACATAATAAATGAATAGATACGTAAACACACACACAATTGCATAGATAGACATAATTTAATACATATTCAATCATATTCATATACACGGGGAAATATAGATCAGAGTATAGTACATATGGGTACGAAGTGGTCCCACAGAATGGATGGTGGATGGTTTTCAGTCCCAAGAAGGATTGGTGGGTCTATTGGTACCCCATTTGTTGCAGAAAATGATGGGCCCCCACTAACAGGGGCCCCATAGTCTACCATAGTCCCAATTGACTCCAACCCCCAGTTCTGCGTAGTTAGACCATTTTCCAACCCCGATTTGTTTGGGTCGAAGTTTTGTATCCCCAATAACTGGTTGGTTCTCACCAGAATAAGTGACGGATAGTGACGGACCCATCCCATCTGCTTCAGGGAATCCCAGCGACCACCGAGGCGTCAGCTGCACAGCGTGGTCTGCAGGAGGAACTCTCCGAGGTACTTTGGAATCCGCCAGAGAGTTGGGGCTTAAAATCATGGGGTTTTTCTCATTGCACAGCGATGATATGGGAGCGAAATCCTCGTTCCGGCATATGGCCATAAATTAAACATAATTAAACTGGATATAATTGCGGCAAATCCACCATTTCTTGGCACACCCATCACAGTTTCTTTGCAATGCAATCTGGAATTTTGTCAGGCTGAGCGCGCATTGGCAGCTGCTGAAGTTGAAAAAGTTGGAATCTGAGTCATTTGGGGTGCCATGATGTTCTCGACCTTGCGGTGGTCCATAGGAAATCCATCAAAAACGTGCCACTTTCGGAGTTTCGACACACAAGCATTGCATGATCTGCATGTTCGTGGGTTGGTTGACTAAACGAGGACGAACTGAGAGAGCGAGCCCACCAAGCAGAGGCGGGCTTTCTAATATCCCATTCCATCATGGCTTTGTTGGAAAATATCCCATTTCATCCCATGGTTTCTCAATGTTTCTCATCTCATCATTTTCCAAGTGCAAGTTGCCAATCAATTGCTCATGTTTTTTGGCCAAACCCCTGATGTGATGTTTCATCAGTAGCTGATGAACACATCCGATTTACCAACGGAGGTTCAGCTACAGCAAGAGTCTGCAGCATCGGCAAAGAAGGCCGAGAAGGCCCTTGATTTCGAAGATGGGTGGGGGGTACCCCCATATATTAGGGGCGTATATGGCCATTAAATGGGGAACAGGATGATTCACTTATGGATTTTGGGGTACACACTTGTTTGGACAATCAGTGATGGAAAATCATGTTATAACTCCAAATCATCGGCTTAGTTGCAGCTTAATTTTCGGCTAGACTGAGGTTGCAATGCCTGACAATGCAGACATTGACATGATTGGCTCATGACATCTATATTGAGAAGAGACCTTGCTTACTCATTGTCAATCATATCAATCTCTCTCAATTACTGCCATGGATGGTTATTTCTGGGTGGCTGGTTGACTATCGATGGTGATTATCATGTGATATCATGTGTATATATATATATAGATTTATACATAAAATTATATAAATTATATAAATTATATATGTATACAACCACAATCATGTGATTTTTCATGATTTTCAATACCATCCAACCCATCCAATGGGCCAATGGGTCATGCTTCGATCGCTTCGCACATGGTGAGTTCAACCCCGAGGCCACCGAAAAGCTGCAGTCCACCTTGCGGGACTTGGAAGCTGCAAAGGCACAGCTTGAGGCGTGGTTCGGCTCAGAGCGAGGCTCAGAAAAGCCACAGATCCATACAGATCCCACAGGGGCCCACCTCAGAAAACCTTCAGTTTTACAACATCTACGTGGTTGAAGCTCAACTGGTTTTAAGTGACAGAATGTTTACCGTGATGCTTTGATATGTTTCGACTTCTACTGTATCTGATGTTATCGGGAGATTATTTCGGAGGCGATGCTAAACAGCCTTGCAAGCCTGGATGCGAAGCATCCAGTCATGTTTGTTCCGTTCGGTTGGCCAACGGTTATGAATGGACTACCAGCCTTCCTTTTTCGGTTGTCCAAAAATTTTTCGGACCCCCCAAAAGCCTCCAAGATTTGACATGGCGCCTTGACGCCTTGGCCACTTTTGAGGCAGAAAGAGACCAGCTGAAAGAGAATGCAGCTAATGGAAATCAGGCCACCGGATATTGAAATCCTATGAAATCCTCGAATCCTGGTCCTTTGAAATTTGAATGTACTAGATATAAGAAGAAATAAGAAGAATAAGAAGACATGTTTTCAACGCCCCCTTATCAAATCGTAGTCACTTTCTGGTTAGATTGTTGTGGCAAAATGTGAACATTAAATCGGGAGGCCAGATCTCATATCTCAGTAAGAATCGGCATTCCACTACCTCTGCATGGCTTTGATTCTAGCTTGCCGTCCCTGGCCACATGGCTGGTTTCTTACCAGGCTGGAGATGTCAATTCTCGACAGCTGGAATCCGAGAAGGCAGAGCTGGAAGAGAAGCTTCGACAAAAAGAAGAAGCCACTCTGCCAGCGAACTATACCGGGTTGGTGCCCTATAGCTAGCTAGATTGGTTTATACAACTAGCCTAACTAGGGTTTAAGGTGATGATAGCTATAGTACAGCTATAATTCATGGGTTGATACTCCTAACTAGGGGGCACCACTGCTGCCTGGCTGATGCAGCGAATGCTGAGGTCATTCAGAAGTTGCAGGCAGAGAACAAGCAACTACAGGCACAGCCAAGACCAGCAGATTTGCGGGAACAATCTCTCACTGATTTGGATTGGCTAAGGTGATCAAATCAATATATATAATTATAGGTTTGTTAGGTTTTATTACCTCAGGTTTGAAGCATATGTATGTTGATTATGTTGCTGATCAGACATGTCAGTGCTTTTTCAGTTCAACGTATCAGTTGCTGCTCAGGAGAAGGCCGAGCTGAGCTCTGAAACTTCTGATGGATCAGACTTTGCTTTGCCGTTGCCCGACTCTCCAGAGAAAACTCCGAAGTCCACCAGCCCCACGAAGGCCAGGTTCTGGTCGAACCTTTATAGCAGCTGAACCACTTTTAGAGGGGCCAAGTCCACTGGCGCAACACAACTCTTTGATATCCTGTGGAGGCTGTGGAGGGGACATATCTTGTCTAATTTCAAGATACAGAAGCAATAGGAGGAAATTCCACAAATTGTGTCAGTAGGAAGTTACAGATCCTGTCAGTTTCTCCTCTACTATCTTTAAAGAAATGTAATTACAGGATATTACAGGTGACAGAATCTGGCAGATGTTTGCTGATACTGCCGTCTGCCGTTACCATCCGTCATCGGGATGCAATAGCATTCTCTGATAGGAGGTTTGATTCATTTGAAGTGGTGGTTGCTTCATTTTCGCCCAAACAGAGCAGACGAGGCAGAAAGAGAACATTTGAAGAAGCTTGCGGAAGCAAAAGCAGAGGTGCCGGTGCCCCCGTATCTTTCATTTGACTTCTAAAACCCAAGACAGTCCTGCTCCAGATTGGCGTGTCCCAAAATTAGGCACCTGTAAATCATCATTGTACATTCGAAAACAGCAATTTTGGGGCATTCCTGTTTGGACAGTCCCAAATTGTGCAGAGGATCGCGCATCGGACGCACTGCTGTTTTTGCGGGTTGGCTGCAGGCCGAAGAGATGGAAAGGCAACATGCCGATGCCCTGAAAGCCGCTCAGGCTGCGAGATTTGTTGTCAGGACTTTGAAAATTTTGGATCATTGTTATGGTTGCTTTTGTGAGACTGTGATTGACATGGCATGTGATTATATGGCTGTATATGTTTTTTTTTAAATGTTTATTATTGTTGTTATTGTTTTTCTTCCATGGCTTTCTTCAGCATGTCCGGGCAACATGGCAGTCATTAATTTGTTATGGATGCCATATCATGCGAGTACTCGTATTACGTCCAGTCCGAGTTAGAAGGCCTCCCAACTCCAGCATGTTCCATCAAGAAAATGTGATTCACCTCTTGAATTTAGCGATGTCCAGTGTTCAGCTGCAGGGCTTTGTCTCAAAATATGGAACTGCCGAATCCAGTAATCATCATATATTGCATGGCCATCCATCTTGGAGGTATCCAGAATACCGGATCATATCAACTGTGGTATATAATCATATGACATGGATTGAAATGGCCATAATGGAATACCGGATCATAAATGGAGGTGTCCACTATCCCCCTTTTCCGGAGAAACCCTAATATCAACTATATTCTCTTGTCAGAGCACAGACCCTCAGCTGGCGAGGCAGAAAAGGAGGCACTGGAAAAATCGCTGGAAACCGCAAAGGCTGAGGCGATGAACCCCTCAGCAAATCAATCACCATCTGTTGCATCATCGATACATTGGATGATTACCGGATTTACAAAGAACAAATGGAATCCATCATTGTGCGGGAGCGTTTTCGCTGCAGGCGGAGGCTAAGGAGATAGAGCGGGCCGATGCAGTGAAAGCAGCTGAGGCTGTGAGTTTTGGGGTGAACATTGCAAGATATTGCAAGATATATTTGATAACATACATTGCGCACGACAGCATGATACAGTCGGGGATTTTGCTTCATGTATCTCTTGTATACTGTAAGATACTGTAGGCACATCTTCCAACATCAACATTCCGCCGCGTCCCAGCATGCGCTTTCAATTCGCAAATTGTGTTCGTCTTGGCTGTCGATTGACTTTGTTTGATGAATTCTGCTTTGACTCACTGCATTCCCCAAGAGCCGACATAGAGCCGACAAATCGCGGAGCTCTTTTGTTGATAGTGTTTGATAACGTTTCGTGCGAGAGCCGAAAACCGACCAATCGAGAGGCAGAAAAAGAGGCCCTGGAGAAATCGCTAGAAACTGCAAAAGCTGAGGCGCGAAAGATTTTGGGCGTCTTTGTAATGCCACAATCATAGTCACTCGATGTCATTTGTGTGGTATGAGTTATGGTTTGTCTTGTTCTCAAACGCGTGATAGACATGACATGTTTGACAGAGGCTGAGGAGAGGGAAAAACAACATGCAGAAGCCCTGAAAAGCAGTCAGGCAGAACTCGCCAGATGCAATGCTACTTAGTGCATCTTAGGGTATTCAAAAAACACTGCAAAACACTGCATAGCACAAAATGACACAAAATGAAACATGGCATGACTTCATTTACATACAGGTAGCTGATGGTAGCTGATGGTAGCTGTAGGAGATGTATGGAGATGCCAGAGAATTCCAGGCATCTCTAAGCGATTCTTTGCATGCGTAGCCAGGAAGAGAAGGAGAACCTGGAACATGTTTCAACAACGGTTCAGGAGGCAGACCAACATCACCTGATGCCGTGTCAAGTGCATTTCTGTGTTTCCGATGCCAGTTTCCTATCATGCAAGACCTTACATGTAAGATTCTGGATAATTTTGATGCTTTACTCCCAGACTATGTCCTGCATTCTTGTGTTGCTCAATGTTTCCAAGGCTGAAGAAAAAGAGAGGAGACTTGCTTCCACCATCGAATCCATGCAGGCAAGTCACATTGCAGAACACAACTTTGAGGTCAAGATTTTGGACAAAGTGTGAGTGTAACCAAAAAGTCTGAAACGATAGCATACTTTGCAACCCCAGTCCTTAACCCTCCTCGGCTCATCGATTGCAGGCAGACAAAGAGAAACTGGAGAAACTACTTGAAACGGCCAAGCAGGAGGTCAGGGTCCCTGGGTCACGACCAAGAAACATGTGGTGTTCAACCAGAGCTGACGGCGTTCATCCATCCTGATCCATTGAATGTGCAGACTGCAAGTGCTGTACATGCAAATCATGTCAGAACGTGTGAACACTGATGATGTAGCCGCTTGGAATCTAAATGATGTACAGTTCTTTGCTGCAGGCGGAGGCTAAGGAGATAGAGCGGGCGGACGCAGTGAAAGCAGCTCAGGCTGTGAGTCTGGGGGTGAACATTGCAAGATGTTGCACGAGATTTGTGTGGATATTTGGGAACATATTTGTGCACGACTTGTTGGACAGCTTGACAGCTGGGTATTTCTCTTTAACTATTTATGCATCTGTATGTACTGGAAATCTGGTCAAGCAAATCTTCCAACGTTGTCCTGCGTCCCAGCATGCGCTTTCAATTCGCAAATTGTGTTCGTCTTGGCTGTCGATTGACTTTGTTTGATGAATCCTGCTTTGACTCACTGCATTCCCCAAGAGCCGACATAGAGCCGACAAATCGCGGAGCTCTTTTGTTGATAGTGTTTGATAACGTTTCGTGCGAGAGCCGAAAACCGACCAATCGAGAGGCAGAAAAAGAGGCCCTGGAGAAATCGCTAGAAACTGCAAAAGCTGAGGCGCGAAAGATTTTGGGTGTCTTTGTAATGCCACAATCATAGTCACTCGATGTCATTTGTGTGGTATGAGTTATGGTTTGTCTTGTTCTCAAACGCGTGATAGACATGACATGTTTGACAGAGGCTGAGGAGAGGGAAAAACAACATGCAGAAGCCCTGAAAAGCAGTCAGGCAGAACTCGCCAGATGCAATGCTACTTAGTGCATCTTAGGGTATTCAAAAAACACTGCAAAACACTGCATAGCACAAAATGACACAAAATGAAACATGGCATGACTTCATTTACATACAGGTAGCTGATGGTAGCTGATGGTAGCTGTAGGAGATGTATGGAGATGCCAGAGAATTCCAGGCATCTCTAAGCGATTCTTTGCATGCGTAGCCAGGAAGAGAAGGAGAACCTGGAACATGTTTCAACAACGGTTCAGGAGGCAGACCAACATCACCTGATGCCGTGTCAAGTGCATTTCTGTGTTTCCGATGCCAGTTTCCTATCATGCAAGACCTTACATGTAAGATTCTGGATAATTTTGATGCTTTACTCCCAGACTATGTCCTGCATTCTTGTGTTGCTCAATGTTTCCAAGGCTGAAGAAAAAGAGAGGAGACTTGCTTCCACCATCGAATCCATGCAGGCGAGTCACATGTTGCAGAACACAACTTTGAGGTCAAGATTTTGGACAAAGTGTGAGTGTAACCAAAAAGTCTGAAACGATAGCATACTTTGCAACCCCAGTCCTTAACCCTCCTCGGCTCATCGATTGCAGGCAGACAAAGAGAAACTGGAGAAACTACTTGAAACGGCCAAACAGGAGGTCAGGGTCCCTGGGTCACGACCAAGAAACATGTGGTGTTCAACCAGAGCTGACGGTGTTGCTTGATCAGTGAAAGCAAAAAGTCAGCCAGAATTTTCCTTTCACTTTCCTTTCACTTTCAGCAAAGGTGTGCACTAGTGCAGGATCTCGGAAATTGAAGCATATGGTATTCACCCCGCTTCGCGTGGGGTGGCCGCCCACACCGCAGGTTTATTTCGGTCCGTGAGAGGGGCTAAGGGTGGTTTTCCCCCGTGGGGGTTCCCAAGCTAGGGAATTTTCACTTTTCCCCGCCGTGACAGCTTCCCAAGCTATGGAATTTTCACTTTTCCCTCCCTTGGAGGCTCTCCAAGCTGCTGAATTTCAAATAGCTAGACAACGACGCCTAGATAGTCACCCAAATCCCGTGTTCTTTGAATGTGTTTCCATGTTTTTGCAATGGTTTCCTTCAAAGCACGGTACTTTACACTTTTGTCGCCATAAAACCGGTCGAAAACATCATGTTCGACAATGCTTCCAATTCCCTTATCTCCCCAACCGTTGAAAATACCGCTATTTACAGTGTTTTCTTCAATTTTTCCATGTGCCAATGCCGGTAGCCAACTCCAACATATATATAAGAAATCCTTCCAAAACATTGTTTTTGACAGTGTTTTTCCAATGTTTCCAGTCAAACAGACGGTAATTTACACGTTTTTTGCCATAAAGGCAGTAAATCCTTCCAAAACATTGCTTTTGACAGTGTTTTTGTAATGTTTCCAGTCAAGCATACGGTAATTTACACGTTTTTTGCTATAACGTCAGTCCAAAACACTTGTTTTTGCAGTGTTTTCAATGCTCTGGCATCCAAAAACCCTGCAAAATCTTGCTATGTACAATGTTTTTTTTTCATTTTTGGCCGTTTTTCCATTGCCGGAAAGCTACCAAAATGACCCAAAATTCCATTTCAATACCCTCTTGCGCTCAGACACCCAAAAATCCTCGAAAAATGTCGAAAACACCACCGTATTCTGGTCTCGGTGCGAAACCGTTTTTGGCCCCCCCCCCAGCTAAAGCTGATATAGTGACTGCTATATTAACAAATGTCATTGAGCATTTAGTGTTGCTGTTGCCCCCCAATAAGCACGCCTTCACCGCCAAAGCGGTGTGGGCGGATTTGTTTTCTAGTATACGACTATTGCGACTATTGCACCATATTTGTTCAATCCGTGACATTTCTCTAATGCGAATGGTTTACTATGGTTATCTATGGTTTACTGCCTTCAGGCGCAAGAAAAAGAAGAGAGCCTTGCTGGAACGGCAGACGCCCTGAAGGCACCAACCTCCAACCACGTGTTGTTTGCTGAATTGCTCGAGACATTGAGGCAGACAGATTGACTACTGGCGATTTGTGCTCAGTTGCTTTCAGGCAGAGAAAGAAACATTACAGCAGGAATTAAGAACAGCCCAGAAAGACGCAAAAGAGGCCCACTTTGTCAACAGTATCGTTAGTATTCGACGATCATGTGTGGTTATACGTCCTCCCGCACCCAAAATATGCGGGTGGCCACGAATTTCTCAGCCAGATCTGGTCCGCATTCTTTCGGCAGGCGGAAGAGAAAGAGAAAAAGATCAACAAACGCCTGGAGCAGCTGCAGGTTCCCAGTCACTATCATTTTGGGGCATTTGCAGATGATTCCTGCTACTTGATGTGAATCCAGCCAAGCTTTCCAGCAGATGGTGATGCTGGCCCTTGGCAACCCTGTAAGAGCCAGTGGATAGGCTGCCAACAAAGATCTTGAAGATCAACTCCGAGCAAGTCAAGAAGAGGTTCAGCATAGGTTTTCCTCAAAACAGGGACTCCCCCCGCCCCCCGTTAAAAAAAAATTGGTTGGTTGAAGACCTCACTGTCCTCCTATTGTCAGGAGCATGAAATGCGGTATGCCTCATTTTTGCACAAACTTTATTTGGAAGCGTCCCTGCCTGTGTCACAAATTGTAGCTTGCTGGATCAGAGGTGCAACAGAGTATACCCTGTTCTGGCTTGCACGGTCCACAAGTCATCCTTGTCAGGCAGCGGCCCATTTGAAAGCCCAGCTCTCTGGGGATCAGGTGATTGGCCGAATTTGCAGATCAAATGACAAGATTCTCTAGTAGAAATGGTGGCCTGCAGGAATCGTGATATGCCAGATTGGCGCATCACCTTATCGTTTCATGCGCATAGAAGGACATGCGAGGATTTTTTTCCCGTTATTTTTGTTGCTTCAATGACACGCTTCAATAACACGCTGATTCAGTGCTGATGTGCCCATGAAATGGAGTGTGGGCATAGCCAATCTACACCTATTAGTGTATAGCTATCATAAATTCCCATTACTTTAAGATCGATGATAAACATCCATGTCCAAACCGAGGCAAAATGCCACAAACGAACAAAAACAATACAAGGGCTGCAACCAGTGATTGTGCGGCAGATCTTGGGCATACCTGCCAGGCCAGTGTTCGGCTCAAAGAGAAATTGGCGGAGATGGAAGCAGCCAAGGCCACCGCAGAGGCCAGGGCACCTGATAGAACACAGTACTGTACCTGGACAACTTGAGACACGTGTTGAAACAGAAACACACGTTCGGTTCAATTGGAATTTTCTACCTTCATCTTTGTTTCCTTGGGAATCAACTTGCTTCCGGTGTTGGTGTTGTTGGTGTTGTTGGTGTTGTTGGTGTTGTTGGTGTTGTTGGTGTTGTTGGTGTTGTTGGTGTTGTTGTTGTTGTTGGTGTTGTTGTTGTTGTTGTTGTTGTTGTTGTTGCTGTTGTTGTTGTTGTTGTTGTTGTTGGTGTTGGTGGTGGTGGTGGTGGTGTTGGTGTTGTTGGTCTTGTTGGTGTTGTTGTTGGTGTTGTTGGTCTTGTTGGTCTTGTTGGTGTTGGTGTTGTTGTTGTTCCAATAAATGTTGTATCATCGTGTGGCATTACCATGTTTGTGAGTGGTTTTCGATTGGTCGGGGTCACTTGTCAAACTATGAGTGAGTACAGATCATTCTGCCTGTACGTGCCAGTCTGCCAAGACAACCTTGGAGGAGAGGCTAAGTGAGAAGAACGAGGCCCACCCCCAGCTACACGACCTGACAAGATTGCTGGATAGGGTCCTAGTCACAGCGATGTGCATTATATACTTCAGCAAGTTCAACACTCCACCAATGCCGTTGCATTTTTTTCCCAAAGGAAGTGACTAAGTGAGTGTCTCCAAGAAAACGGTGACAGCTTCCAGGTGATTAGTGACCTTCGAAGCGAACTTCACAAATTGGAGGTGCAGCGACTCGCACCACGCTGGCGGATGCTGGCGGATGCTGGCAGTAAGGAAGTGCAAGGTACAGGTACAGTAGTGGCATTTTCCCTAAACGTCACAGAGTTTTGCCAGGCGGATAAGGACAAATCTGAGCGTTTGACGATCTCAATGAAGAAGGAGGCCAAGCATTTTTCAATAATGGAAAGGAGGATACCTTGGCCTACTGGTAGTGTTCTACGTTTCATCAATGCGGGGTAAGACAATCAGCAAATGACATGGTTTGCCGGAGCAGAAGCCTTACGAATTGGATTGGCGTGCTGGGTTTGCAACTCCTGTGTAGAGGCAGATGAAAAGGAGAACCAGCTGAAGCAAAAGCTGGAAGCTGCACAGGCGGCAGGGTGAGACAGTTTCATGGCCCCAAGACTCTCTTACAACTTGAACATACTTGAACCATATTATTGAGATATCAATCAACAGAAAAATGTGCTTGCTGCATGATTTGCCGCAGGAGTGTATCTTTTGGAGTAGGAGCAGCCATCTCAACACCGTTTTACCACCTTCACTAGAAAGGTTCGTTTCAGCATGTTTCAACCAATTTGCATGTCAGGAGGAAGCCAAAGCATCTGCACAGCGCTTGCAGGAAACCTTGGCAGCCAAGAAGGAGGCTGGCAACACAAAAGAGTGAGGAGTGAGCAGTGATTTGTCGTCCCGTGTTGTGGTTGATGGCTGATATGATATTGGGCCAATTCCAAGTAGAGAAAAAGGGATTGACTCCAGGCGAGTGGAATGGGAATCCCTATCAACCAGAAGTTCACCCCGCAAGTTTTTTCTGCAGGTGGAAGAGGAGAAGGAACGAGCAGAAGCTGCAGCGGCGGAAGCAGAGGAAACTTGCAGCACTGTGGTATCATGAACAGTTTTTCATACTGAAACAATTTTCTGTGATTCCGCACAACTCAAACAATTTTGCCATTCTTCTTTGCCACGTAATTGTGAGAAAGGCCCAAAATCCTTGACCACATTGACATTGATTTTCAGGAAAAGTTGAAAGCTGCCCAAGATGAGGCAGATTGTTAGGGGCACGCTACCACTTTGCTACCAGGTTTTTGATGCTGGTCCTGTGGCAGGAAAGAGCTGAAAGGTTTGATGCATCGACACTCTTGTACTTGGCTGTGGTAAGCTTCAATGAAGTATAAGTATATATAAGTCATTCCTGAAGTCATTCCTGTGTGCGGGGGGGCAGATGCATAGAAAGTAAACGTAGGCAGCAATTTCTTTCTGTCTCGCTATGGGCTAAATACAACATTGATTGTTTGTGCCACTGTCGTTCATAATATGTCCGTGAACATCCCCAGACATCCCCAGACGGTATACTGCATGTTTGGTTGGAAGGTCCGAACGGCAAGGGAAGCACAGCATGCGAGTGAAGAGGTCCGCTGCTCAGATTGAGTGCATGCATTAGACTCTTAGGCAAAAATGCATCCGATCTTTTTTGCACTATCCCAGAGTCCAGTCTTGCTGCTGACATGGGGCCATCAGCGATAACATGATTCATATGATGCAATTATGATGCTATGCGTGTGAAAGAAGTGACACACACACACACACGCACACACACACACACATTCAAACTGTTCAAAGTAAATGCTATTTTTGCATTTCGCAGTGGATACACACAGTACAGGAAGATGAATCTGATCTTTTGTGCTTGGGTTTGACAAGGCAATCTTGTAATAGCTTGTCATATGTTGTAATATTTTGTGTTTTTTCATGATTTTGAAGCAACTGGAATGGAGAACGTTTGGGATCCTTTGGGAGGCTTGCCGGAAGATGGAGGCAAGCGCTTCAGAGAAAGCAACTGCTTTGGCAGACCTTGAGGCAAGCTTCTGTTCAATGAATTGTAATGGGGTGTGTCAGGACCTTTTCGGAGGGCCACGTGTTCATCGTCGTGCAGCAAAACTCCCAAATCTGCAAAGTAAATAGTGAATTGCTACGCTGCTACAATGCCTCTGGCCATGTGCAGGCCATTCGGACTGATCTTCAATCAAAGCTGGCAAATGCACAGGAGGAGGTGCTGTAGCAAGTTTTGCATTGCTGCAGATTTTTGACCTTGGTCCCTGTGATGTGACGAAATACCATGCACTTTTTGGACAATGGGGAGCTTGGATGTCATGAAGATTGAATTGTATAATCTATATGCATCGAATGTTTCCCATAGACACTTCAACGTCACCGCTGCCAGATCTGCCAAGCATGTTTGGTTGGAAGGTCCAAACGGCAAGGGAAGCACAGCAGGCGAGTGAAGAGGTCCGCTGCTCAGGTTGAGTGCATACATTACACCAAAATGATCCAAAAGGCATTTCATTTTTTTTTGCACTGTCCCAGAGTCCGGTCTTGCTGCTGACATGGGGCCATCAGCGGTAACATGATTCATATGATGCAATTATGATGCTATCCGTGTGAAAGGAGTGACACACACACACACGCACACACACACACATTCAAAATGTTCAGAGCCGTTGCTATTTTTGCATTTCGCACTGGATACACACAATACAGGAAGATGAATCTGATCTTTTGTGCTTGGGTTTGACAATGCAATCTTGTAATATCGTGTCATATGTTGTAAATATTTGTAAATTGTTGTAATATGTTGTAATATTTTGTGTTTTTTTCATGATTTTGAAGCAACTTGAATGGAGAACGTTTGGGATCCTTTGGGAGGCTTGCCGGAAGATGGAGGCAAGCGCTTCAGAGAAAGCAACTGCTTTGGCAGACCTTGAGGCAAGTTTCTGTTTAATGAATTGTAGTTGGGTGTGTTAGGACCTTTGCGGAGGTCCACTTGTTCATCGAATGAAGCAAAACTCCCAAATCTGCAAAGTAAATAGTGAATTGCTACGCTGCTACAATGCCTCTGGCCATGTGCAGGCCATTCGGACTGATCTTCAATCAAAGCTGGCAAATGCACAGGAGGAGGTGCTGTAGCAAGTTTTGCATTGCTGTAGATTTTTGACCTTGGTCCCTGTGATGTGACGAAATACTATGCACTTTTTGGACAATGGGGAACTTGGATGTCATGAAGATTGACATGTATAATCTATATGCATCGAATGTTTCCCAAAGACACTTCAACGTCACCGCTGCCAGATCTGCCAAGCATGTTTGGTTGGAAGGTCCAAACGGCAAGGGAAGCACAGCAGGCGAGTGAAGAGGTCCGCTGCTCAGGTTGAGTGCATACATTACACCAAAATGATCCAAAAGGCATTTCATTTTTTTTGCACTGTCCCAGAGTCCGGTCTTGCTGCTGACATGGGGCCATCAGCGGTAACATGATTCATATGATGCAATTATGATGCTATCCGTGTGAAAGGAGTGACACAAACACACACACACACACACACGCACACACACACACATTCAAAATGTTCAGAGTCGTTGCTATTTTTGCATTTCGCACTGGATACACACAATACAGGAAGATGAATCTGATCTTTTGTGCTTGGGTTTGACAATGCAATCTTGTAATATCGTGTCATATGTTGTAAATATTTGTAAATTGTTGTAATATGTTGTAATATTTTGTGTTTTTTCATGATTTTGAAGCAACTTGAATGGAGAACGTTTGGGATCCTTTGGGAGGCTTGCCGGAAGATGGAGGCAAGCGCTTCAGAGAAAGCAACTGCTTTGGCAGACCTTGAGGCAAGTTTCTGTTTAATGAATTGTAGTTGGGTGTGTTAGGACCTTTGCGGAGGTCCACTTGTTCATCGAATGAAGCAAAACTCCCAAATCTGCAAAGTAAATAGTGAATTTCTACGCTGCTACAATGCCTCTGGCCATGTGCAGGCCATTCGGACTGATCTTCAATCAAAGCTGGCAAATGCACAGGAGGAGGTGCTGTAACAAGCTCGGCATTGTTTTGCTCCAAGTGTTTGGTAAATGTAAGATTTCATTTTTCCGGTTTGTCTGATTGGCTAGCAGATTGGAGGTTGCTGGGGTCGTTGTTGGTAAGGATAGACTCATAGACCAAACGCCTCTTTGCATCCATTCAAGATCACCCATGGTGGCTTCCGACAGTCTTGATTGTTTTCTTTCCATCTGATCTTCGTGCATGGAGAATCTGAGAGGCTCGTTCAGCAAAAGAGACTAATCATGCCAGTGAGGAGGCCTCTGCTCTGGGTTGTGTCAGCACATGAAAGTGATGGACTATTTATCTCACATGCTTTTTATGAATTTGTATTTGAGTATATAGGAACAGTGGTGGGAACCCGGCAGGCTTGCCAGAAGATGGAAGCCCGTGCTTCAGAGAAAGAGACAGCTGTGGCAGACCTTCAGGCTTGCAATGAGACGAGCGAGAATTTCTGGTGAAATGGATTGGCAGCTGCTATTTGAATGACAATTGTGCTGTTCACTTGGGACTTGCGACCCGAGTGGGGTCAGTTTCTTGATTGGTGATTTGATACCTGAACCATTGGCAGAGGCCAAAATCGAAGAGTTGAAAACAGCCTTGGCCACCGCCAAGTCAGAGGCACGACAAGAAACAACGCCACTGGGGCGTTGGTCAATACCCAAATTAGCTGGATCTGCCTTTGTTTTGCATTATGTGTTTCAGGTTGAGCGATCCTCGTTCTGATCACTTGGTTGATGTACTGGTGCTTTCTTTTGGGTCGAACTTGCTGTTCTGTGCTCACAGCCGCATTGCTCCAGAGTTGACATGTTGTTTTCAACTCGCCAAGACTGTTCAAGGCAGAAGAACTGAGACAGTTGGCTGAGTCCAAAGAGGTCCTGTGCTTTCAGTGCTTTCAGTGCTTTGACAGATGTGGAACCTGAAATCATTCGGGAAAGTCGCGCCATCAAGATTTAATATATAATGTTGCATGCATGCCCTAGTGTACTTGAGCGCTTTGTGACTTGTGCCACCAGTGTTTGTCCTTTATGATGTTGAAGTTGGAGGTTGAAAAACAGACCTTGGCGCAAGCCATTGCCACCAGCAAGAAGGAGGTGACAACCCAAGCAAACGTGTTTGTCTATGTTTGTATTTTTTGACCTTTCAATTTGGATCAATTTCGCGTGATAATTTGTAGAAGAACTTTGTGCCGCGACCTGACAAGTACCCATCGCTGAGCGACAAGAGTCCATTGTCCATTGCATTCGCAAAGCCTTGAAACATACTTATAAGACTTAAGTAATCTATGGTAGTCTTGAGCATTTATACGGTTATACGCACTTGAAGTTGTTCTAAACATGGCTCTTGTGAGAAAGCGTGTTGTGAATGTTCTCCTTTGTCACAGGCTGATGACAAGGAGACCAAACTGTCCCAGGTTGAGGCCTGGGGACGCGGACCCGCTTGTCACATGCGATACGTGGCGAAACCCAGCAGCCCAGGCACAAAAAACAGAATTGGAAAGGCAACTGAAAGAGGCCAAGGACGAGGCTCGGATTCCATCTTCCGGTGCCTCTGACTCTATAGTTTTCACCCTACTAGTACTAGTATCATTAGAGGTTCATTATACTCAAATCTCACTGCTGTGGATGCTTATGGGCAGAATTCTCAACAATCTGGCTGGGTTTGGCTTCAAACAAAGATAGTCAAAAGCCATGGGCGTCGATTCTCGGGGAATCGTACAGTAATCTCTTCCGTCTTAAGTCTTATGTTTCATTTTCATCCATTTTCATCATTGTAGCACTTTCACATTGGTCAGCACCTGTCTGAAATTACTCTCCACAATGAGTGCCAACAAGGCTGCCGCATATCTTCATGCTCAACTCTCAGGGTCGGAGGCCACTGTGTGAGATTTAGTCCGCTGAAGGTTTTGTTTGTTCCAAGCTTATCCAGCTTGGTTATAGGTGGAAAATAGACGATCACAGTCCGACAAAGCTTGCGGGGGTGGGTTTCCTCAGGCTTCAAATATGGCTAATATGCTATGCATTCAAAAAATATACATTTCAGGAAAGTTGGCATGCATCAAGATAGACTTTGAAGATCTTTGAAGACTATGGTATCCACACTGAAATGAGTTTGAACCGTTGAACTGCATCTAGCAATGCTCCTGGCTGCCCTCTGATCTAGAGACAGTGTCCCTCCTCACCTCGCTTTGACATTTCAGCCATGCTTCAGGCCAGTGAGAAACTCCAGGAGAAGTTGGCAGTGTTGGAGGCCAGTTGACCTGATCAAGCCTCCTTGCAGAGTCCCTAGATCCATTCTCAAAGGTTCTGTTTGTCTTCGAGTTTGGCAAACACTGTTGCCACCACTGCAGTGGTTTTCGTTCACTCAACCGTAGGTGGGAAGTTCAAAGTGGAGAAAATAAGATACTGTATGTGACGTGTATATTATATATATATAGTATTAACATACAGACAAGCAGAACATCCTGCAAATCGTCAGGCAGACAAGGTAAGCCTGGAAAAACACGTTGAAGACTTGAAGAAGGAGGTAGGATCTCAAGGGAAACCTGCGCAAGTCCACCATGCGGTTTTACTCTATTTGTAGTTGAGTGGTCCAAAGTTTGGTATGCGTTGAAGAGTATTCTACACCTAGAAGCCTTTTGATTTGAGCAATTCTCAGCATTCCCAACAGACAATCCATAGCTAAAGTTGCCAGAGACCAGAGGCATTGACCCCTGGCCAGGCAGAAACCAAAGAGGAGTCATTGCTTCAAAAGGCAAAAGCATCAGAGGCCGTCTCGCTATGGCTGTCAATCACCAGATTCCAATTCCATCAACTCATCACTGGGATGAGTTCGTGTTGGGATCTATCGGGGATGAATCGTACTATATACGGATATGCATGGAGAATGGATGTATATAACTAAACGTATATATATATATATATATACACATTAATATACACCTGGGCCGGATGGGTGCAGGTCCGAATTAGTTAAGTGGCTGTGTGAAACAAACCGAACCTACCTGTTAGAACTTTTCAATGACATTTTGACTGTGGGCATCTTCCCTGAATGTTTCTGTTTGGCAAATATTGCTGCGTGCTACAAGAAAGGAGATGCCAGCCAAATGAAAAATTACAGACCTATAGCATTGCTTCAGGTGTTTTACAAGATTCTAGCCAGTCTAGTCCGTAATAGATTTCAACCAGCTTTTGAACCATGGATTCAGCGGACTCAATTTGGTTTTAGGCCCAAAAAATCCACTTCCCAAGCTATATTCATTGCTCGGCGTCTATTAGATATCTCTGAACGCCAACACACAAACCTTTCCTTAGTTCTACTTGATTGGGAGAAAGCGTTCGATAAAATCTGCCAATGCAAGCTTCTTCAAGTGCTCAGACGATTGAAGACACCTCCAAACATGTTGCGTTTGGTTTCAATGATCTATCGAAATCCTAAGTTCAGAATCACCGCTGCTGGGACTTCTTCGAATTATAAAACGCAAAATTCTGGTATTCGACAAGGATGCCCTCTCTCACCGTATTTATTTGTGCTCTTAATGTCCGCGCTTTTCTCAGACATCAAAACTAAACTTAACACACCAAAGCAAAAGGAACCTATTAGAGGCATTCGATTCGCTGAAGTTCTGTACGCTGATGATACTTTACTTTTTGGGACCCACACTCATACGATTAACAAACTTTTGCACGAAATACAAGGGGAATCAGACTACTACAATTTGAAATTGAATTACGACAAATGTATTAATCTGACTCTCCACCAACGACAGTCCAGTATCAAATATTTGGATGGCACACCTGTCCCACGCAAAAGAGAAGCAACATATTTGGGTACTTTACTTTCTGATAGTGTAAATAATCATCGTGAAGTCAACAACAGATTGGCAGCTGCACTTACTACTTGCAACAGGATGAAACTGTTTTGGGACAAGGCTAATACCACCATCCGCTGGAAGTTGCGAGTTTTTGATTCTATCCTCCGAAGTAAAGTTTTATATGGACTAGAATGCATTCAGCTCACACAACCAGACCTTGATAAAATCAATTCTTTTCAAATGAAAAGTCTACGTCGCATATTGAAGATTCCTCCTACTTTCATTGACCGTTCCTTTCCGAATCAAAGAGTGCTGGATGTCTTACGAGACACACATCACTTGTCTATCCATCTATTTTCTCAGATTTGGTTAAAACGCAAACTGAAATTATTTGGTCATATTCTTCGATCTAGCCCAGATGACCCGCTGCGACAAGTCCTCTTTGAATATAACTCTTTCACACCACGTATAGAGTATCGAAGGCCAGGCAGGCCCCGTACTGATTGGCTGTTGCAGTCATTCAAAGATGCGTTCGCTTTGTTAGGTCGAGGGGATGAGTTTGACTCTAACGTCTTGGAGCATATCCAATTCATAGTACATAGTGCTAATGCCAGACAAGGCGTATTTGCATAAATGCTTGCTTCCTTGCAGGTTCCGGTTCGATCACCGAATGCCGTCAACGAATGTCTTCACCGAATGTCGTCACCAATTGTATTCACATACCATGAAAGATAGGTTAAAAACTCTGATGGTGACTCGTTTCAACTATCGAATATACAGTTCTTGTCCTTTGACTGATTCTTTATTTGCACTGTAAATTACCTACTATTTTTATCCACACCCGTCTTCTATACTACCTGCGGCTCATTGTCACGAGGAAGGCTAGCCCGTAGTTAGCTCTGCTGTTCGTCCAATTCGTTCTCCTGAGCCTTCTCTTTGAACTGGTTGTTTTTGAACACTGATACTGGCTTAGGTTCGGTGCACAGACTTTTTGTGAGTCTGCACTTGGAAAAAAAATAAATATGGAGACCGACAATATATATATATATGATACATTATGATACTTTTACCAGTGGTTCCATCCTTTAGACCACTGCAACGCAAGATTTGCGTTGCGTGTTAGGCTGCTACGGCGGAAATTCACTCCCAACTGCTATCGGCCAAGGAGGAGGCAGTCACAACAATGTTAGTGTATCAATGGTGGTATATGACAACATATGATAACAATATGACTCAATATGTACTATAATATCTATAATGGCAATCATTTTGATATGGTATCACAACAATGTTACATAAAATTATGAACATATGTTGTTATACCGTTTTAGCGCAATTAGTCCATTGTGTTTTACAACATGTCAATCTTTGTGCTTTAATTCACTTTGGAGGCGGCATCTCTGCAAGCCCAGCTCTCTACGACTGAGGCAGACAGATCCGATAGTGTGAGGGTAGGATTTCACTGAAGTGAAGACAAGTCATGAAATCATGGATTTCCAAGTTGTAAACTCTTTTTTTGAATTTTTATGCACAGCCAGTATTTCTCTGCAACTAATGTGCCAAGTTGAGACCTGCCAAACTTGCAGCCAGGGCAGCAGAGGATGCTCGCCCTGCACAAACTTATTGGATTCACTAATGATAGATGCTAAGTTTCCAAGAGATGGAGGATACAATGCTATGACTACAATTACACACATTAAACCCAACTGTTACAGTATGTTGCAGTTGCAAGCAAGAAAATTATGCAGCCACAGCCCCCAGACGCAGACAGGTTGACCTTTGCTATTGCTCCTTGCCCCATGGAAACTTCATTAATTTGCTCCGAGCGGGCAGGTGGCAAAGGTTGAACTTGAGAAGAGCTTAAAAGAAAGGGAAGAAGTTGGGACCTTGAGAACCTGAGAGCAGGCATTTTGGCCACTGGACACTGTCAGATTTTCACACGGTTTTCTCTCGATTGCCGAGAAGCCGCTAGTTTAGCCTGTGACCACCAACCATGGAATAGCCACTGCTTCGCGGCTGATTGGTTCGAAACTTACTCACCATTTTTTGGCTGCCAGCTTCAGACATATCATCATTTTCCTCAACTTCTACTGTTGATGGTTGTTGGAGGTAGTGAATAGGAGAGAAGAATGGAAGTGACAACCGCAGCACTACTTGGTGGAACCAAAACAGCACATTAAACCAGTGCTGAGATGCAAATGGAGCACTTTGTCAGCATTTCTTGCAAAGCCAAGGTGGTTTCCAGCCTCCGAGCAGATGCTGCGAAGCTTGGGGTCTCTTGCCTGAGATCTTACACAGTGACTCTGAACCCTTCAAGTGATCTGAAGTAATACAAAAATAATTGCAAGGAAGAGATTCAGAACATCAAGCTGAGTGAAGCAAACAAGGCAGAGGTGCAGCTCTTGGGATCACTCGGATTCAAACATTGGTCCAGATTCTTCAATTCAACATTCCTTTTCAATCCTAACCATCTCGTGAATTTGTGGAGTCTCAGCTTCCTGCCTCTGACTGTCTTGCAACTTGCCGGCAGGCCGAAAGTGCTTCCCAGACTGCCCAGGTGCGGCTTCCATTTCATTCCCGTCTTTTGAAGTTGTCATCTTCTGCATATGTCTGCATATTTCTGCATATGTGGCCTAAGAATAAAACTCCTCAATTTCTCATCCACAGCCATCCAAAATCGAAAACATCATCTGTGCCACAATCAATGGATGGGATTGAAACTATCCAAACCATCCCCCCAACACTGCCAGGTTTCTGCACTGCAGGCAGAGAACAGGCGCTTAGACGCGCTTCTTCAGGACGCACTGGAAACAGTTGGGATCAAGCCATTCGCGGTCCCCAACAGAATATGTATATATACAGAATCCCACCACAGGCTGGTGGGTTTTTGGGTGTTTTTAGTGTTTTTCATATCATACATATGTTTAAACATTAAAACAATGCATAATCATATATATATATATATAACTTATATTACAATAACATATAAAACATCCATCAGTCATCCACTGTGGAGGTTTGATGATTCTGACCCATATCCATTTTAACGAATTTAGCATTTTGCATGTCGCAGTACGTCATGATTCAAAGACATGACCCATGTCTCAGGAGGCCAATAAGCAAAAGGAAGACATCAAGAAGGCATCGAGCAGGGTAGTTCGGATCGAGCGTCTTGGAGGGAGCTAGTAGTTGATCCGGACCAGGTCAAGCTATGCCGAAAACAAATACATTTTACCCTCTGGTAAAGACTAACATAGCTATGGAAAATCCCAATTTTTAATGGGAAAATCCACTATTTCAATGGCCATGTTCAATAGCTTTTTGTATGTTTACCAGAGGGTATCATTTACCATCATTTCTCCAATGTTCTGGACTTGAATCAACTGGTCATGGAGGGTTCCAGCAGAGCTCAATGTTATGTCGTTCAGGCCAACAGCGGCCTCCAGGAGGAGAATGAAGATGACTTGCGATGACGTGCAGCGCAAGTGGAGATAGCTACATCAGATATACTTTGTTAAATAAATATGTATATATATATATAATGTTAAATATGTTTGCATCAATCTTCTCCAGGTCTTTCATGGAGTTACTAAGTTACTAAATCTATTGAGTAGTGGAAAAGTCGTCGAAAGTGCAATGATTTGTTGGAAGGAATGCCAGCGATTGCGAGTGGACAATCAGGGCCTTGAGCATGATGTGGTGGACCTGGCAAGGCACATCCTGAAACTCTTGGCCAGCATAGAATTTATTGGATCAGAAAACAGGTTGCAGGACTTCGGTTGTTGTACTTGGTACATGTTTGTAGATGCTTCCACTTGATTGTGATTGTGAAAAACCATTGAGAGGCTGTAACCGCGAATTGGAGCTCAACCCAGTAATTTGCTGAATCCATGTTCTTCCATGGTCAGGATGTTGACGGAGCTGAAAGCTGCAGTACACCAGCCTGGAGCCCAAAGGCACTGTAGATCATGGCTGGAATTGGGTGGTTTCAATTTGTGGGGCAAGCAACAATGGTGGCAGGCAAATTCCATCAAGTTATATTTAATATTATTCAATGATATCAAGTTTTGCTTTTAAACGTTTTTGATTTTGATTGTTTAACTGTCCCAGCTACATCTTTTCACCAAAGTTGCCACCAAAGTGTGGAGATTTGGTGCTGAGGTTTGCCGGTGGTGAACTTGGAGGCTCATAGCCGACTCACCCCGAGGCCGCCCTGCCAGAGGTTTATCATGTCACCAACTCTTTAGGCTTTGTTTGGAGTTTGTTTAAGGTTTGTTTAGGTTGTCATTGAATAGGGTGTTTTAGATTGTTTTAGAGTTTTTACCACGGTTTTAGTAAGATTTTACTTTCAAGGCTTACTTGGGGTTTCATGTCAGATTTAGGTTTTAGGATTTAGGGTTTTGTGTTTTGGAAACAAATCTCGTCAGCCAGTCGGCCATTCCGCCGACATGCCAAAATGCATAAAACACTGGCCATGCGCGGTCAAAACGCACGTCCCTGGGATCCACTCATCAATGTCTGTACTTCATACTTTGTTATTGCATGTTTATCCAACTCTCTTCTTGATTCTTGATATGTGCAGGTCAAAGGAAACGATGATGATGCCAATGTTGCTGGCTCTTGCGTAGGGCCATGAGGGGACGTGACAAAGGATCATAGCCGCCCTTAGTTCAGCAAGTCATAAAATACCGGTGAGTTGTGGTGGGGTGAACTCGATCCATGAGAATAAACCTGGACCTAGACAAAGGACCATTCAGAAAGGAATAGAACAGATTATTGCCGGATTTGGATGAGAGGGTTCTAGATGCTAGCTGATTCATGTTTACTTTCAAAGGCATGTGGCTCTCGACATTCAAGATCCATCAAGATCCAAGGACAGTGTTTGCAATTTGGTTTGTCCAGTTCCAACAATCGCGGACCTATTGGCTCAAGGGGGCCGCCTTGCCGTGTGGCACGATATGTCTTTGCCTCAGATACTGCAGCGTATCATCTGGCCAGCTAGGGGGCAAGCTGCTGGCGATCTAGTCGTGCTGGCAGTGAAGATGACATGGTTTTGATGAAAAACATCTACCCCCTGCCTCAAACTGAATGGTTTACACATGTTTGAGGGATCCAGAACTATGACTATCCAGTAGGTATGGCTCAAAAATATTGACCCCCAGGTTAGAATGGTTAGATACCGATTGGACCAAACATGACCAGCCTGATTTGGATAAATTCCATTCCATTCTCCATGGGAGCCAGGTATTGCTACTGCTGCTGGCAAGAGGATCCCAAGAAGCAGCAGTCACTGCCTGAACGGCGTACAGGGTTTGTCTGAAAATGGTCCACCATGGTCTACCCCCAATTCTAAGGGAATGTCAAAGATTACTATTATCTGAATTATCTGTCCAATTTACTGTGAATTGCAATTTGTTGAAGGGGTATGCCCAAATTTTGGACAAACTCATATGAGACGCACAGAAACCAGTTGTAAAATGTTATAAACCTGCTTTTGCATTATTGACTATGCTCATGTATGCACTCTGGCACTTGTTGTTGCAGCATTGCACCCTGCTCGTGTGAGTGACAGTTGTGTGTAATGACATGGCCGCGCAAGAAGCCAAAAGCTGCACTAAGTCCTGTGCAAAGTCACGGGAGATCTCCATTTATTGCAGAGCATCAACGTGTGTTGGGACCATCTTTGGCTGAGGCAAACAGTCCTAGATGTGTCAGATGAGCGGCAGCGCACAGTGGTTCACACAGAAAACGCCATGTCTGAAGTCAAGGAGGAGGAGGACGCGGCAGTGAAACGTTTTTGGATGTTTGTGTTTTTTTTTTGCACTGCCAAGCATACTGTTTGGCTGAGAAGATGCAGGACACGCCGCACACCTTCATGGTGAAATTCCAAAGAAAGGGACCTCTGTCGATCGACAAGACTGACATTCACAATGCACAGGGCTCAGCAACTGATGTTTTCTTTGCATGTCAGCAGATGGGTTTCAGCATGTTTCAAACCGGTTGTATGCCCTGAACTTCAACTTGCGCTCATTTGCTCTCTTGATGGGCTTCATAGATTTGCCTGTTGTGCTGAGGTTGTCATAAAGGACGTGGCAGGCCCTTTGATTGAAGCTTCTCAGCACTCGAGAGCGGTGGAGTTCATAATTGCATCACACAGAAAGCAACACGCAAGCACCACCAAGCAAGACTTGCATTGCACAGTGCCCCGCACGGGCCAACTGCCAAACAGCGTTTGCTTTGTGCCATCCCACAGACCAGAGCAGTGTAGTTTTGTTCATGAGCCAGATTCTCTTCGTGAAGACCAGCTTTTGCCAAGGACTGGAACGAAAGTCAGGCTTCGGAACATCAAATAAGAAGATATGACAGAATTGTACAAGTGACCCGGCAATGTCTCTCAAAAACCCTCAGCGGTTGAGCAGGGGAGGGTGTAGGAGTTAAGGCAAGGACTACGGTGACTACGGACTACCATCACCTATCCGTACTAGCAGCAATACTTTTTGAGACGAGATCATGCTGGACACGCTTCAGTCGCTTTGGCTGTAAAGTTTTCTCGCCATGCCACATCTCATGCCACGCTCGAAGTGCCAAGGTCAATGGGAAAAAGATTTCCGGTGTGGATGTCGACTTGCACATAGAGGACGTCCTTAAACGCTTGGACGATGGTTGAACTCAGCTCAAGATGATGATGATCCAAAGATATCCAATGTAGGAAACCCATGGAAACCCCGAATCACTGCCATGTGAAACAGTGGAGGAGTCATGGGTTTGGGGTCCCCATGGGTCCCCAATGAGCATGTTGAATATCACACTTTGAGAGGCCTGTGCCCGCCACGGGCCTGGAGTGGAATTGGTTGTGGGCAAAATGAACAGGTTCGGTGTATAACAAGATATAGTAATAACAGTGATCATGAATCATGATTATATTAAAGGGCTACGCCCTCTGCCGCCGACCCCTGGACACTGGAGGGTCATGCCTGCCTCTGTGTCGTAAGCATGAAATGAACCCTAAAGAAACCAGAAACTGACCTAAACAAACCATTTGTATGTGCGTTTGGCACTGTGCACATGCAAGCAGCATGGACCCCTGCAGGATGACACGCACAACTATGTGTTCTGACACTTTTTCATGGCTCAAGAAATAGGAGCTTTCGTCATTGGGCAGGTGTCTTGGGGACCTAAAGGGTTGCTCTAGCACTTAAGACCCATACCCGAAGCCCCCGTTCGTAACCGCAGTATGAAACTTTAAATGGCATCCTAAAGAGAAACCTGCGTTTCTGCACTGCCAACTGCCACCCTGCTCGTGTCCTCCTGGAGCCGGCTTTCGTTCTGCACCGCTTCGGTCCAAGCTGGAGTCCAAGGATCGTGTCGCAGGGCTAAAACAACATGGCAGTGAAGGACGGATTGGGCCGCGGCCCGTATCCCAGACTGCCAAACGTCACTTTCTGAACCGACTAGAAACTAGCTCCAAACCTTGACTTTTCCTACGTTTCTGCACTGCCAACTGCCACCCTGCTCGTGTCCTCCTGGAGCCGGCTTTCGTTCTGCACCGCTTCGGTCCAAGCTGGAGTCCAAGGACCGTGTCGCAGGGCTAAAACACCATTGCAGTGAAGGACGGATTGGGCCCGCGGCCCGTATCCCAGACTGCCAAACGTCACTTTCTGAACCGACTAGAAACTAGCTCCAAACCTTGACTTTTCCTACGTTTCTGCACTGCCAACTGCCACCCTGCTCGTGTCCTCCTGGAGCCGGCTTTCGTTCTGCACCGCTTCGGTCCAAGCTGGAGTCCAAGGACCGTGGCAGTGAAGGACGGATCTGAACCGACTAGGAACTAGCTCCAAACCTTGACTTTTCCTGCGTTTCTGCACTGCCAACTGCCACCCTGCTCGTGTCCTCCTGGGGCCGGCTTTCGTTCTGCACCGCTTCGGCCCAAGCTGGAGTCCAAGGACCGTGTCGCAGGGCTAAAACACCATGGCAGTGAAGGACGGATTGGGCCCGCGGCCCGTATCCCAGACTGCCAAACGTCACTTTCTGAACCGACTCGAAACTAGCTCCAAACCTTGACTTTTCCATGCGTTTCTGCACTGCCTAACTGACTGCCACCTGCCGTGTCCTCCTGGAGCGGCTTTCGTCTGCGGTCCAAACCTTGACTTTAACGCCTGCGTTTGCTGGCACGCCAACTGGCCGACCCGCGCGTGTCCTCCCCTCCTGGAGCCGCTTCGTTCTGCACCGCTTCGGTCTAAGCTGGAGTCCAAGACCGTGTTGCAGGCTAAACACCATGGCAGTGAGGACGGATTAGCCGCGGCCGTCTCCCAGACTTGCCAAACGTCACTTTCTGAACCGACTAGAAACTAGCCCAAACCTTGACTTTTCCTGCGTTTCTGCACTGCCACTGCCACCCTGCTCGTCGAGCGTCCTCCTGGAGCCGGCTTTCGTTCTGCACCGCTTCGGTCCAAGCTGGAGTCCAAGGACCGTGTCGCAGGGCTAAAACACCATGGCAGTGAAGGACCCCAGACTGCCAAATGTTGAACGACTAGAAGCTAGCTCCAAACCTTGACTTTTCCTGCGTTTCTGCACTGCCAACTGCCACCCTGCTCGTGTCCTCCTGGAGCCGGCTTTCGTTCTGCACCGCTTCGGTCCAAGCTGGAGTCCAAGGACCGTGTCGCAGGGCTAAAACACCATGGCAGTGAAGGACGGATTGGGCCCGCGGCCCGTATCCCAGACTGCCAAACGTCACTTTCTGGACCGACTAGAAACTTAGCTCCAAACCTTGACTTTTCCTGCGTTTCTGCATTGCCAACTGCCACCTTGCTCGTGTCCTCCTGGAGCCGGCTTTCGTTCTGCGGCCCGTAGCCCAGAGTGCCAAACGTTACTTTCTGAACCGACTAGAAACTAGCTCCAAACCTTGACTTTTCCTGCGTTTCTGCATTGCCAACTGCCACCCTGCTCGTGTCCTCCTGGAGCCGCTTTCGTTCCTGCACCGCTTTTTCGGTCCAAGCTGAGTCCAAGGACCGTGTCGCGGGCTAAACACCTGCAGTGAAGGACGGATTGGCCGCCCGCGGCCGTATCCCAGACTGCCAGACGTCACTTTCTACCGACTAGAAACTAGCCGCCAAACCTTGCTTTCCCTGCGTTTTCGCCACTGTGCCAACTGCACCCTCCTCGTGTCCTCCTGGAGCCCGACTGCCAAACGTCACTTTCTGAACCGCTAGAAACTAAGTCTCCAAACCTTGACTTTTCCTGCGTTTCTGCATTGCCAACTGCCACCCTGCTCGTGTCCTCCTGGAGCCGGCTTTCGTTCTGCACCGCTTCGGTCCAAGCTGGAGTCCAAGGACCGTGTCGCAGGGCTAAAACACCATGGCAGTGAAGGACGGATTGGGCCCGCGGCCCGTATCCCAGACTGCCAAACGTCACTTTCTGAACCGACTAGAAACTAGCTCCAAACCTTGACTTTTCCTGCATTTCTGCACTGCCAACTGCCACCCTGCTCGTGCCCTCCTGGAGCCGGCTTTCGTTCTGCACCGCTTCGGTCCAAGCTGGAGTCCATGGACCGTGTCGCAGGGCTAAAACACCATGGCAGTGAAGGACGGATTGGGCCCGGCCCGTATCCTAGACTGCCAAACGTCACTTTCTGAACCGACTAGAAACTAGCTCCAAACCTTGACTTTTCCTGCGTTTCTGCACTGCCAACTGTCACCCTGCTCGTGTCCTCCTGGAGCCGGCTTTCGTTCTGCGGCTCCAAACCTTTACTTTACCTGCGTTTCTGTACACTGCCCAACTGCCAACCCTTCTCGTGTCCTCCTGGAGCCGGCTTTCGTTCTGGCACCGCTTCGGTCTAAGCTGGAGTCCCAAGACCGTGTCGCAGGGCTAAAACAAACCATGGCAGTGAAGACGGATTAGGCCGCGCCTATCCCAGACTGTGCCAAACGTCACTTTCTGAACGACTAGAAACTAGCTTCCAAACCTTGACTTTTGACTTTTCCTGCGTTTTCTGCAACTGGCAACTGCACCCTGCTAGTGGCCTCCTGGAGCCGCGGCTTTCGTTCTGCCGCGCTTCGGTCCAAGCTGGAGTCCAAGGACCGTGTCGCAGGGCTAAAACACCATGGCAGTGAAGGACGGATTGGGCCCGAGGCCCGTATCCCAGACTGCCAAACGTCACTTTCTGAACCGACTAGAAACTAGCTCCAAACCTTGACTTTTCCTGCGTTTCTGCACTGCCAACTGCCACCCTGCTCGTGTCCTCCTGGAGCCGGCTTTCGTTCTGCACCGCTTCGTTCCAAGCTGGAGTCCAAGGACCGTGTCGCAGGGCTAAAACACCATGGCAGTGAAGGACGGATTGGGCCCGCGGCCCGTATCCCAGACTGCCAAACGTCACTTTCTGAACCGACTAGAAACTAGCTCCAAACCTGGACTTTTCCTGCGTTTCTGCACTGCCAACTGCCACCCTGCTCCTCCTGGAGCCGGCCTTCGTTCTGCACCGCTTCGGTCCAAGCTGGAGTCCAAGGACCGTGTCGCAGGGCTAAAACACCATGGCAGTGAAGGACGGATTGGGCCTGCGGCCCGTATCCTAGACTGCCACACGTCACTTTCTGAACCGACTAGAAACTAGCTCCAAACCTTGACTTTTCCTGTGTTTCTGCACTGCCAACTGCCACCCTGCTCGTGTCCTCCTGGAGCCGGCTTTCGTTCTGCGGCTCCAAACCTTGACTTTACCTGCGTTTCTGCACTGCCAACTGCCACCCTGCTCGTGTCCTCCTGGAGCCGGCTTTCGTTCTGCACCACTTCGGTCTAAGCTGGAGTCCAAGGACCGTGTCGCAGGGCTAAAACACCAATGCAGTGAAGGACGGATTGGGCCCGCGGCCCGTATCCCAGACTAGCAAACGTCACTTTCTGAACCGACTAGAAACTAGCTCCAAACCTTGACTTTTCCTGCGTTTCTGCACTGCCAACTGCCACCCTGCTCGTGTCCTCCTGGAGCCGGCTTTCGTTCTGCACCGCTTCGGTCCAAGCTGGAGTACAAGGACCGTGTCGCAGGGCTAAAACACCATGGCAGTGAAGGACGGATTGGGCCTGCGGCCCGTATCCCAGACTGCCAAACGTCACTTTCTGAACCGACTAGAAACTAGCTCCAAACCTTGACTTTTCCTGCGTTTCTGCACTGCCAACTGCCACCCTGCTCGTGTCCTCCTGGAGCCGGCTTTCGTTCTGCACCGCTTCGGTCCAAGCTGCAGTCCACGGACCGTGTCGCAGGGCTAAAACACCATGGCAGTGACGGACGGATTGGGCCTGCGGCCCGTATCCCAGACTGCCAAACGTCACTTTCTGAACCGACTAGAAACCAGCTCCAAACCTTGACTTTTCCTGCGTTTCTGCACTGCCAACTGCCACCTTGCTCGTGTCCTCCTGGAGCTGGCTTTCGTCCTGCGGCCCGTAGCCCAGAGTGCCAAACGTTACTTTCTGAACCGATTAGAAACTAGCTCCAAACCTTGACTTTACCTGCGTTTCTGCACTGCCAACTGCCACCCTGCTCGTGTCCTCCTGGCGCCGGCTTTCGTTCTGCACCGCTTCGGTCCAAGCTGGAGTCCAAGGACCGTGTCGCAGGGCTAAAACACCATGGCAGTGAAGGACGGATTGGGCCCGCGGCCCGTATCCCAGACTGCCAAACGTCACTTTCTGAACCGACTAGAACTAGCTCCAAACCTTGACTTTTCCTGCGTTTCTGCACTGCCAACTGCCACCCTGCTCGTGTCCTCCTGGAGCCGGCTTTCGTTCTGCACCGCTTCGGTCTAAGCTGGAGTCCAAGGACCGTGTCGCAGGGCTAAAACACAATGGCAGTGAAGGACGGATTAGGCCCGCGGCCCGTATCCCAGACTGCCAAACGTCACTTTCTGAACCGACTAGAAACTAGCTCCAAACCTTGACTTTTCCTGCGTTTCTGCACTGCCAACTGCCAACCTGCTCGTGTCCTCCTGGAGCCGGCTTTCGTTCTGCACCGCTTCGGTCCAAGCTGGAGTCCAAGGACCGTGTCGCAGGGCTAAAACACCATGGCAGTGAAGGACGGATTGGGCCCGGGGCCCGTATCCCAGACTGCCAAACGTCACTTTCTGAACCGACTAGAAACTAGCTCCAAACCTTGACTTTTCCTGCGTTTCTGCACTGCCAACTGCCACCCTGCTCGTGTCCTCCTGGAGCCGGCTTTCGTTCTGCACAAACTCTTCGCCCCTTCTGGCATCTTGTTGCTAGTAAGGCCTCCTCTGACGCGCTCCCCCTGCTGACGGCAGGGGTCGGCGGATTACCCATAGGATCCATGTATGGTATATATGCTAACATTGGGGGTATATTGATGGTAAATGTTACCATATATATCATACATGGATCCTATGGGTTATGATGATATATGATGATGTTAAAACCTAAACCTGATGATAGTGAGTCATTGTGATATTGTGTGGGTCCCTCGATACCCCGATGGTTTGACTCCCAATGATTTACAATAGTGGCGGGCAAAAGTGGCGGTTAGGACAAAGGCAGAGCAGATGTTCTTCTCACTCTGCAGCGCCCTGTAAAGCGCAAGTTGACATTGCACAGACCGGGGCTCCTTGGCTCAGACCACAGCTATGGCGAGGCTGTGGCAAGGGGTGTAAGGCGGCAGGCTTTGTGGAATCCCAGATATTATGACTGTGGCTTTGTTGTCACAATGAGTCTTTCACTCTGTCTTGAAGTATTTATTTGCCGTATATCATATATATATAATTATTGAATATTATTGAATATTATTGAATATTATTGAATATAGAATGACATGGACAACTTTAGATAGCCCGGAATTTCAATGGAGCCATTCAATTCCGTTCCGTAGTTTCGCAAGCTGAGGAAGCTGGGCGTCGATCTTCAGTACCGGAAGTCCAGTGCAAAGCCCTGGTTGACGAACATCACCGACGGGCTGGTGCTGCAATGGAACCAGGTCAGCCCCATGGCATGTCATGTTGGAGAGTTTGAGTAGACTGCTGTTGAGCAATTGGGATCTACACAGAATGTTCATGAATATAACATATGGGTATGGGTCAATACCTATAGCCTATGGATACATTTTTAGTGGGATGAACATCCATTTACCAGCTATTTTGGGGTTCACTAGGTACCAGGGTTTTGACCCATCCCCATATAACATGTGGCGTGTACACATTCCAACGCTCAGCGCAGCAGGAGAATCCTTCTCAAATAGTCACTGCACACGACAGGCTAGTCGCGGCCGGATTCTCAGCAACAAAACGGGCAGTACGGCAGTGGTTTCAGCCCTTTGACACAAAAATTGCAGTCATTGCAGACCTCTGCAATCTTGATTTTCATTAACTCAGTAATTCCCTACTTCTTCGGTTTGATCTGTTGGTGAGGTGAATTCCAGAGAGGAGTTGGATGGCGTGATAGATGAAGTGCGTGGTCCTAGTGACTTGGCCACCGACAAAAACCGGAAGGGGAAGAAGCGAAGGCCATCAAACCAGAATGGGGTGGAAGGGATGACATATGACATATGGATGTTTCCTAAAATGGTGGTACCCCAAAATGGATGGTTTATAATGGACGAGTCTATTAAAATGGATGATTTGGGGGTACCCCCATTTTAGGTGCTGGAAGCCAAGAGGGTAACAGCATGTATTATATCATATCACTAAGGATGGTCTGCGAAGGCCTTTTGATAGCTCAAGTGAAAAAGATCCCAGCGCGAACCACAGGGTTATGAGCCCAAACCGTTGACCCATGGAGCGCAGGGCATCTTCGATACCTCCAAACCCTTTTTGGTCTGATAGGACCAAGCAAAGTTTTCAACTGGAAGCAGCTAGGCCTATGGAGTTGCCCAAAGTACCTTCAGAAGGTGAGGACACGTCCAGGGAAGGGTCAGTGATGTCAGCAAAGCCAGTTGAGGATGGGACTAGAGGGAGAGGGGTGTCAAGAGATGAGCAGAGGAATGAGAGCCGAGAAAGAAGGTTTGAAGAAAGTAAGTACAAGACTCCGCCAAGTGAAAGGGAAGGTGTCACAGGTGGCGGAGGCAGGCAGAGTGAGGGCAGAATGAAGAACAAGACAGGAAAGGGCAGAGGTGAGAAGCGAGAAAGGGAAGAACCTCTCGAGCTCCAGAGGGAGTTGGAGAAAGAGATGGTGATGTTGCTCCGAGACCAAAATGCCAAGCTGATGGCTGAGGTGGAGGAGCTCAAGGCTCGCAATGCACAAACACAAGCATCTGACCAGTCCTGGTCTGCAGTCAGCCCGACAGAAGCATCACAGCCAGAGCCACCACAGACACCAAGACCGAAAGCACACAACACAGGAGCCAGGTACACGCCAGGAGGGACAAAGGTCCCTGAGGGTTCCCCACCGAAGGACCCAACACCACCTCCACCACCGTTACCCCCATATCCTCCATCGTTTTTGGATGGATATGAACCAGTGCAAGAGCACAGACGTGGAGCGAGAGGAGTTCGTGATGAGAGGACATGGCAACCAGCAGCACCAGCAAGCAGTATGCCAGCTGGGGCGGGGAAGCAGGGGCCGCAAGGGGTCGCGAATGCCATGGAGGAGCCCACGGAGTGGGAAGAGGATGAGCAAACATGGTGGACACCACCACAATCTGGGGTCGGGGTGCCATGGGAGGGTGATGGGGGTCCAAACAAGAGCATGAGGAATCTACGAGGAGCCACATGGATGACTCAGGAGCACAGCAAGACATTGCCAAGGCAGTATTGGGGGGAGAGGTTCACACCTGAACCGGGTCAAGCATCAGCAACGGGACGGGATGCAGCAGCAGCGTTGGAGCAAGCAGCAGCAAATATGAATCAAAGACTCTACACTCAGAGGGAGGTGGAGCAGATGATTCAATTCTGGGAAGATAGAAGCAGTGGTGAAAGGAAGACCACCAAAGACCGTGAAGGCAAGGATGACGGTCTTCGAAGCTTCCCAGTGACGTTGCCACAATTGCCTGAGGCCCACATGCAACATGCATCTCTTGAAGCAGGAGACTGGCTGACACAAGTGAGGCCGTTGATAGCAGATGTCAGCGGGTCAGCAGCAGAGTGGTGGGCCAGGGTGGAAAAGGAAACAGCACAAGCATACCAGCAATGGCTGAACAGCGCACCACTTGGCAAGCTGAAGATCCAACCCCCTGATGCTGAAGCATTGGCACAGGGACATGAGCGGCTAGCTCAAAGAGTCGGGGTCATGCTGATGCAAGCAGTGCCAGCAGACATGAAGAAGGAACTGGTAGCATCACGGCAAATGGATGCACCAAGCATACTGTTCAAAATATACAAAACATACCAACCGGGAGGACTAGCAGAAAAGCGCCAAGTCCTAGCCCACCTCACAAGCACACAGCCGGCAGCAAATCCAGCAGATGCAGTCTCTGCACTACGGCTGTGGAAGAGGCAAGCACAGCGAGCAAAAGAACTCAAAGCATCAGTCCCCGATCCCGTCTTACAAGTGCGGGCCTTGATGACAGTTATGGAAGACCTGCTTGCTAAAGACTCCCAAGCCTCGTTTCGAGTCTCCTCACACCGCATGACCAATGGCATTGATAATGCCCCAATGGAAGAAGACATACAACTGTTTTACGACTTACTACTTGCAGAAGCAGAGCAAATGGTCACCAACCATGAAGCATTTGGCAGCACCGCCACAACCAGCAACACAACTGGAAAGCCCACAATCAAGGCAGTGCAAGGCTCACCGGGCAATAGCAAACAACGGGACACTACTTGCCACTGGTGGGGTACGGAAGGGGGGTGTCGCCAAGGGAAAAGGTGCAAGTTTGCTCATGATTGGCAAGCAATCCAAGACAAGGCCAATCGCTGTTGGGTGTGTTCCAGCACAGCCCACTGCAAAGCAGAGTGTCCCACACCACCTGCTCGCAAGACCGATCAGTTGCCAGCAGCAACTGGGGGGAGTGGGGCAACAGGTGGCAGTGGGGGCGGAGAAGGGAGACAAGATAACCCAAAGGGAAAAGGGGGGAGCAAAGGCAAGTCAAAGAGCAAAGGAAAAGCCACAACATCACAAGGCAGCACACCAAGCAGTAGTCCGGTGAAGCCAGAAGGACAGCCTGGACAGGAAGGAAACAAAGAAGACAACGAAGGCAACATATCAGCAATGAAGATGGAAAAAGAGGCAGCCAAGAAAGAAGAAGGAGTCAGTGGTGAACAAGGGGCATTAGTGTCGGAGGTCACCAGCCTTTTGAGGTCACTGAGGGTGCAAGGAGGACCTCAGATCAGGGCATACAACGTGAGGAAACTTCAGTCCGATGAGAATGAAGGCACACTACTGGATGGAGGAGCAACACACTGTTTGAGGAAGAAAGGGTCCGAGGAAGAGTGGGACCAAGCACATCCAGTAACAGTGCGCCTAGCAGCAGGTGAAGTCAATCTCAGACAGTGCCCAATCACCACCACTCTATTGGTTGCAGAAGAAGTGCAACCAATAGTACCGGTCTCCAAGCTCACAGAAGTTGGATACACCATGAGATGGTGCAAGGGTGAGTGCAAAGTGGAGCACCCTAAGCATGGGAGAATCCCAGTCACAATGAGGCAAGGATGTCCAACAGTGGATGATCAACAAGGAGAGAGGATGATGAAAGAAATAAAAGATCATGAGAGAAAGAAGGCAAGAGTGAGAGCAGTCATGAAGTGCGGTGTCTTGGCAGAAGACGAACATGAAAAAGATGTTGCAGCCTTGCAAGCCGCATTCCCGGAAGTGCCAATGAGGGTACTGGAAAGAATCCCGGGGGAGAAGAATTGGGATCCTGAGCAAGTCCCACTCAACAGAAGGAAGAGGAGACAAGTGAAGAAAGCCAAGCTCCTCATGGTGAACATGTGCTCAGGAGGCAATAGCAAGCGTTGGGTCGAGGTTGAGAAACATGGGGTGGTGGTCATCAACATTGACACACAATTGGGGATAAACGCCCTAGATCCGCATGTGGGAGGATGGCTGGATGAGGTAATACAGATGGGAAAGATAGCAATGTGGACAGCAGGACCACCATGCAGAACAGTCAGCCTCTTGAGGATGCGAGGAGATGAGGATGGAGGGCCACAGCAGCTGAGGTTGAGGAACGGACCAGAGAGGTTCGGCAGAGCAACAAACACAGCATCACAACAAGAACAGACAGACCATGACTCAGCACTTTGGCTAAAAAACCTTTGGTGCATGAGGAAGGTAGCCAAATACAACCCGCAAGCGGAGCAGATGCTGGAGCAACCCCAAGATCCCCAAGAGTGGCACCCCAAAGGAAAGGAATGCCAAACGTTCCTGAATTGGAGGGAAACGAAGGAGACAGCAAGGATGCTGGGGCTTCAAGAGGTAAGGCTGTGCCAAGGCGGGCTAGGCCATCAAACAAGGAAACCAACGACCCTTCTATGCACAAGCCCTGGGCTAAAGGAACTTGAAGGAGTTGGAGGAGACAAGAAAGGAACAGAATGGCCCGAAGATCTAGCTGACAGGATGAAGCTGTCGAAAGAGCTAGCGCAATGGGCACCAGGATTAGTAGAAGTTCTAAAAGTGGTGGTGGAGCGAAAGGCAAAGACAGGCCTAGAAGACGCATCAAAGCACCAGAATCATTCACCTTATCCCTAGACGTGGGAGGTCCGTTTGTCAAGGGTCAGGATCAAATACAATACCATGATCCACGGTATTTCATGGTGGCAGTGGTCACTATTCCCATGGCAGGGGACAGACCCATGGTGGAAGGCCTAAGACGACTTGCAGGCGATGAAGAGCCGATGGATGAGATCCCCCAACCACCGGATGGAATAGTGGATGACCTTCAAAGGGAACCCGTAGAACAACAAAATGGGAAGCCAAGGGAGGAATCAGAAGAATCCCCAAGGAAACCCGCAGGAGGAGAAGACGGGAAACCAGACGAGGGAGTCGAAGATCCTCAAGGGAAGCCCATTCAGATTGGGGAACCTGAAGGGGAAGAAGGTGATCCGCTCCAAGAGGAAGAAGAAAAGAAGCAAGACGCCATTGATGAAGCCAGACTGAAGCAACTGGATGAAGCCAACCAACGATGGAAACAGTTCATGGCAGATGCAGAACATCAGCCAGTGAAGTCACTTACAATGGCATTGCCAATCAAATCCAGAAGGGCGTCAGATGTCATTAAGGCCACAGCCAGAGTAGTGGCAAGACTACGATCCCTCAACATACCCATAGTTCGGGTACACACAGACCGCGCCCAGGAGTTTTGTGGGCGAGACTTTCAGGCATGGTTGAGGGCCAGAGATTTATGGCACACCACGACAGCAGGAGACGAACCCAGCACCAATGCAAGAGCTGAAAATGAATTGAAGATCCTGAAGGGTCGGGCACGGACA